AGCATGGCTCGATGCCATTGAGCCATTCCTTCCGCGTCACCTGCGGCAAGCGACGTCCGACGAGCCAGAAAGGCCCACAACCTCGCTCGACTTCGCCCTGTTCATCAACAAAGCCCAGGATGCTTCCATAGACATCCTTAGCTACCTTGGGGTAGAGGCGGGGAAATGGCAGACAGTACTATGGATAGTCAAAAAGCTCACAGAAGACGGGAATTCTCCACTCGACCTGACCGCTCATCTTGAGCAGTATTCATATGCTATATTGCAGGGAGAAGAACACAGGCCTTTGAAAGAGCTGACTGAAGGCCCCTTGCGTCTTCAACGGACATACCCAAACCGCAAGTTGCAACTTACACTGGACGTCGTAACATCCGACCCCGAATCGATTCGCTATTCGCATGTCATGGTCAAGCGAGCCCTAGGACAGCTGTGGAGGAGCCTGGCAAATATGATATTGGCGGCTACGGAACAGAGCAGCGGCGAGCATCACACCATTATGCCGCACGTCCTGGAGATGATTGCTTATCTGCACCACTTGGGCCTGATGCCTGACTCAGTCTACACATATCGAAATCCACAGGACAAGCATGCTTTCCAGCAGCCCCCGACACTCCACATGCTATCGTCCAAGATCTTGACAGCTCTGTCTGACGCGACCTGGAATGCTCACGAAGCTTCCGTCAAGACTGCCAAGGATCGCGCCAACGCTCACTACTTCCTCGGTCACGAGATACCTGGATCGCGTTACAAAGTTCGGGTTACGGAAGTGGCTCCGGAGCTGTGGCTAGAGCTTGTTCTGTGGTCATGTTTGCACGGTGGCTGGACACTTGACGGTGCTGCCATCTTGGAGCAACTGGCAAACAGAGAGGGAGAACACGCCTGGGCACTCATCAGTTGGCGGGAGATCCTAGAAGCAGAGCAGAGTAAGGCCCCAGCTCCGACAACAGCTTGGAACTTGCTTCCAATGAGCGGGGAAGCTGCTGCAAGCGCAGAAGACCGCGCACGAACTCGCAGAACTATAAGCAGCGAGATCGTTACAGGCTTCGTTGACGGACTTGTCAATCAGATGCGACTAGGGGTAGGAGCTCGCGGTGCTACTCCAGAGAGTCTGATTGCTTCTATCAAGACTCTAAAAGGCTTCTTAGACAAGAACAACTTAAGTCTCGGTTCTTCAGCTTGGGACTCCGTCATGGCTCGATTAGTCGAATCTGGCGGCTTCGCCCCCGAGAAGCGACCAGAGCTACTTTTGAGGGTTTTCGAGCTGGCTCCAGGATTTGGTGGTGAGGTCGGCTCTGCAAATGCGTCTGCCTCCGCTAGTACCGAAGTACCTTACTTTTTTGAGCCCACCACCATACCACTCAGCTTCCTGCATCGGGCGATGCGTGCTTTCATCAGTAATGGAGACATCCAGGGAGCTATAACTACACTGTCTATGCTTCAACAACACACTGATGACAACAAACAAAAGTCTGTGGAAGAGTTCTTTCAAGTCCTTCGCAGCAGTCCGCAATTACGACCTGATGAACCTTTTACAAGCCATTTGCCACCAGTCGAGTTTCCAGCTTTTGATATCAAGCTTCCCCTTCCTCTCCTTGCGCGGCTGCTAGATCTAGTCACCGAGTCAAAGCTGTATGATCTGGGCCGTTGGCTACTTTTCTCTGACGATTTGGATGGTCCTCTGATCGGTAGTGAATTACACAGTCATCGTAACATATCCGCATCTGTCATTCGCTTCGGCACAATGGCCGGAGAGAACAAGCTCGTCTTAGACGTCGTCAAGAAGGCCGGTACATGGAACGAAAAATACCAGCAGTACCGCATGCCAGCCGAGATTCTCACAGCCTTGCTGTGTTCACAGATCAAACTCCGTCAATGGGACTCTGTCCGAGGCATGCAAAAGTATGTGGAAGAGACCTCTACATTTAGACCGCGACCCATCATCATTTCGAGCTTTGCTGCAGAACTCCTTCGAACTTCGCCTGGCCCCGAAGAAGTCAAAGTACGCGCCCAAGAAACCTTCACTGGATTGCTCTTCGCATGGGAGAACATGATACTTGGCAATATACGCAATGAGCTCTATTGCACCTTATCCATCATGTCGACCGTAGACAGCGAGTGGAAAGCGTACTGCTCTCGCTTCCTCGCTTTTTCCTCCCGTCAAGCAGTCAGTCTCTCCACTGACGATTTCAACCGCATACTAAGCGGCGTACTCGGCGGCTACGGCAGTGCTAAGGGCAAAGCGATGGTAGAAACTTGGTGTCACACATCAAGAAGATATCTAGAGTCATATCGAGCGCCAGGCGGATTACCCACTATGCCGCAATATCGCGTCACAAGGAGCATTGAGTATGAGGATCGACCGGAAGATATTGAAGTTAGGCAGGAGTCTGGCGCCATGCTCACCTTGCAAGGACGCATCACTCCCAACCGACAGACGATCTGGGCCGTTATTCGGAAGGTGCAAGATGAAGTGGAGAATGAGACGAGAAGTGGCGAGGAAATGGTTGAGGCCACGCGTAAAGAGAAGCGCGATACGCTGAGGTGGGCTGCAGGGATGCTTCATCAATTGGGTTACGAGTATGAGGATTACATTGCTGCTCTAGGCGATCTTGCAGTGCTTGCCAAGGTTGAGGGTCTTGCCGCGCCTAGAGATGTCGACGTCGGGAATGAGGAGGGTGTCGAGCGGCTCAGCGTCTGAAGCCGGCTTCTCTAGCTTGCATGCTGAGATAATGAGGATAGCTTGGGCTGGAACCGACGCACTAGAGGCCCGTTTTTCGGCCACTTGCATATAGTCTACCAGAATCTTGTACATACTGAGTGTCTAGAAAAAGGCTATCGTGGCATCACGAGACTTTGATAGATACATTTGCAAAGGACACAGCAGTCTGAGCTAGAGACGCTTATCCTTGTTTGTACATACACTTGCGTAATCACGTAATGTTGCCTTCAAGATGTATGGGGCCCCTGACCCATCAAACTACTGTGGATGAAGGGCTAGTTGTTGTAAAGACATGATGCGCGTGATCCAGAAGGCGGTGGGCAGGGCGGTGGGTGTCTTTTTGGTAGGTACTGTAGATATTACTGTAGGAATACCGGGGAGCCCTTTGCAACACAATTTTCTGCCACTTTCTACCCCGACTAAGTAGGTAGGTAGAAAAACCGCGTGATCCAGATTTTCAAACCCTGAGTATGTTCGTCGCATCTAGGCTCCACTGGTACTCCACATACACCAGACCAGAAAAGCAAGAGATGTCAACGGCTCCCCGGCCAGACTGTCCTCTGTCATCTTCTGCCTGATCGTCAAGCTGCCAGCGTTGCAACAGACCAAAAGAAAAAAAAGGATATGTGGCCTTCTGGTAGCGAGCCATCCTACAGAAAGTTTAGGTGGTGTGTAGCTGCAATGTAGCTGTATTGCCTCCAGGGGTATACGTGAGTATCTCGGCCAATGAGGAACCTACCATTCATGTATGTACGCATCCGACGGCCAATGGGGAGGATACGCACATATGGCATGTCGAAGATCTCGCATCAGCTCAAGAAACAGACTCGTCCAACCGGCGTACTGTGTGGGCCGGCCCACCTATGCACTCCAAGCAAGGTAAAGCTCAGCCTCACGAAAAAAAAGTTGACCCGAAGTTTGCAGAGTACACAGAGCAGTTGAGCTTAGACCGGTTCACAAGTCGTTGCAACGCACGTGAAAACCTGGAGTAATGTCCTGTATTGCTATTATTTTTAAATAAATGATTTACAAGCGAGCCTCAGTGCGGACGCTGCTGCATCGTGACAAGCAGCAGCGGCCCGCAAGTTGCTGTAACTTTACTGTTTGAGGCGCCGGCTACGTTTGCACCTCTTCACCGCTTCTTCGCCTGCGGGCGCCAGCGTCAATACAGGCCCAGTGCGTATCGATATGAGATGCGTCTGGAGGGGTACAATGCCGGGCGACGTCAAGCGTACTTTTGGCAGATGGTGGATCGCATCTCGAAGACATGGTCTAGCAGGCACAAGTTTTCGTCTTTGATGGTTTTGCTGGGCCAGATATTAAACATGACGATGTCAGGGGAGCCAGGCCAGCGGTAATCTACTCTGCATGTCCTGCTGTTCGTCGCAGCATGTGCAAACCCGGGGGCTTGCGTCTTAGCAGAACCAATAGGCTGAAGCCGTTACCGTGTACTTTAGCCCCGTGTTGCCTCATCGCTGCACGCACTGCGCACGTCCAGGTTAGTTTCAGTGGGGCAGTTCGGCGAGAAACCAAAATTTCCTGATGAGGGGCACGCGACAGGCGCTGGACGAGTGCAATGAATGGGGAATTGAAGAAGAAATTACAAAACCTACTGCGCTAGGTGTATACACGGCCATGTCCTTGGCTGACTTGCACGTCGCGTCGTGGCACTTAATTGGGCGTTGAACATGGAGTCATCGCTGCAGAGAGAACTAACGCGCTTGGACCATGCGATATGTCGCTAGGGCGGAACTAAAAATTAAACATATCCTCTGCCCTCGCCCGCATTTTCTCTCCACACCAGCCCAAAGACGTCAAAGTCACACGAAAACATACCAGAAACACACAACAACCACATCTTTACACCATTAATCGTCGAGACAATGCCGCAGGCAATCGCTGAGCTCTAAACTCCTGGTGCAGCCCTGCCTACGGGCTGCATCAGCCCGACAGCTCACGGAATTTCAACCTCTACGACGATACCAATACTACGACTGCGTGCAGTATCCTCTGCGCAAACTCGTCTCAATCAATTGGTAGTCATCCCGCCTGCGCTGCAGAACAACACCATTGTCATTTCTACCAGCTCAACGCTTGAAGATCGACGAGACACAAAGGGCCCAGCATAGTTCGCCAGCCCTTCCCCTCAGTACACCAAACATCAGTCGACCAAACGCCGCGAACCCATATCCGACCTATCACTCACCTCTCACCATCCCGAGCTACCCCGACTTCACCTGCCACACCTCCGCTACCGAGACGACCTTCAAAGACACCTACCATGGCTCACCTTACCCACGCTCGATCACCCACTCTTGGTGGACACTACCAAGATCGTAAACTCGCACATGAGACTGCCACCAACACCCGCCGCAGTGAGCAGCGCTCTGCCTCTCCCGACACAGTCGGAGGCAGCGCACCCCACACCAACGGACACAGCGGTGACCAATCCGCTACTGAAGGCGCTGCGGACGAAGACGAAGAAGAGGACAGTAGTACTGCCAAAGACAACGAACAAGACGACGACGAGACCGATGCAGACGTGCCGGCATTACCCTACAGCTATGCTAGGGGAGGCAAGGGCAAGGGCAAGCGTCCTGCCATCCGCGTCGAACATGCGGATGACGATGAGTCTCACGCGGAAGAAGATGAAAACATCTCTGAGCTCATACCCAACAAGCATCCAGTTAATCAACTACTAATGAGCAACAAGAAGCGCACCTTTAGCAATCTCTCAAGCACCTCAGTGCTCTTCGGCGACGACTCTACAGATCAGGAGTCGTTCCCCAGACGCAAGATGGCTCGCAAACTGAGCAACGCTTCCAGCATACCGCTGCTAACATACAAGGAAGACGAAGAACCCCAAGTAAGCTATGAAAACGCTATTGAGAGCGACGATGAAGACTATAGCGGCGTCATGAACATCCCTGACGATGACGAATCCGACATTGAGAAGATGGAGCAAGAAGAAGAGAGCTATATCCTCCAAGAGGAGCAATCAGCTACCAACCTTCTCAATGAGTATCGTGATGCTCGACGACTCAGTCTTGAGAGTTGTTTTAGCGATAACATCTTCGATGTTACCGCCCCACTAGACGATGAGTACATGGCAGGACTTGCCGACTTTGGCTTCACTCCTTTCTTTGAGCCGGATGCTCTGCCTGATTCTCCTGTTCCCATGGCCAAGAGAAAGTTCTCAGATGGCTCAGCCAAGCGCGTCCGCTTTGACGACGACGTTCAAGTATCAGATAGTTCCAGTTCGGAATCTTCAGAACTCGACAGCAGTGTTTTCCCTGATCTCTTCTTGGATCAAGATAAGATCCCTCCCAGCTTGCATCAACTTCTTGACATGGACTACGATGATGACAACGGAGACATGGCTTCTCCGCAGTCAGATGCGTCGTTCTGGGACTTTGAGCAGAATGAGTCGCGCATCACTCAAGTTGATGATTCAGATGAAGATGAAGAGTCGTCTGGCGAATCCAGCGGTTACGAGTGTACGGTAGTACCCTATTTTTGCTATTACTCGATGACTAACATTTCTCATCAGCTGACATGGGTGATACCACTGACGAAGAAGACTTTGGAACCGATATACTTCCACGCACACCCAAGCAGTCTGTTCTACAACGACCGGCCTCAGCACCAGGCTCACGTGCCGGCACACCCAAGCCATTTCAACGTAGCTCTCGTCCAATAGGCCGTCAAATTCCGCCAACTCGCGGCATCTTCATTCACGATGAGACTGATCAGGCCATCGCGGTCACTAACAGGGCTACCAAGGCCGTCGCATTCTACCGGCCTCGCACAATGATGATTCCATGGATTCCTTTGACTGATTATCAAAGCAGTACAAGCGGTACCGTCAACAACAGTCCTCGCAATTCCATTGCTCAGCTCAACGGCTCTGACAGCGAGAGCAATGAGGTCTTCAACAATGGTCTCAGTACCGACATCATGCTCAGTGGCATATTTGGATCAGCTGGGGGCAATGACTTTACGTTTGGAAACGAGAGCATTGGTCCTCCAGAGGCCTTCTACCCATTCGTAAGCATATCTTCCAATGGTAACATGGGCCTCGTTGACGAAGATGAGACGGGTTCTTCGAGCGACGAATACGACGATGATCTCAATATCGCCGACTTCATGGACTTTGGCGAGTCAGGGGGAGATACTGATCTAGACGACGACGACGAGTTCGACGAGACCGACAGGCCAGTCACGCCTGCGACTTCCAATGTAGGACATCACGGCTCCACCCCAGCAGCGCCTGCTACCGCCACGCCTCATCGCAAAAGAACCACATCTGATGTCATGCTCGAGCATTTTGACCGTGGCGTCGTCACTGCTTTCCGCAGCAACCAAAACCGGTATCGCGATGTTGCGTCTCTGCCGTCGGATCCTGCGGCGCGGGCCTCGGTTTCTCGTCCTGTCCGGTCTGGCAAGTCTGCCGAGGCTCTCATTACTCCTGTCAGAAGGCGCGTTCGGTCAAACAGAGTCGCCAAGTCACCTCTGAAGAAGGACATGACTATGACCCGCAGCTCACCTCTGTCGGGTGTCACCAAAGCCAACTCACGGTTGCAGAAGTCTGTCTTGGATTCGCCAAAGAAGGGACCGCCTAAGATGGGAACCTTTTCCTGAGCGAACGACGTTATGATATCTACGGCCTTTTGTCTTCTAGCCGCTCCAACGGCTATGTTGTTATTACGAACTTTTATATGCATTTGCATACCCTCAAAAAGTTCTTTTTGGATCTTTCCTAGATGGTCTGATAAAAAGTTGAGCGAGGCGTCTGGCTTAGAACTTTCCTTGCGGCAACGCGGCGGCATCGTTCGGGCTAGTGTAGCCTCAGTCGCGTCTTCACGAATTTCCTTTGTTTGGGCCGGAGTTTCTTTGGTTTAGTACAATATGTTTTGTGTTTTAGTTTTCGCTGTTCGCCTCGCCTCATCGCTTCCTTTCAGAAGGAGTACAAGGTCTTTAGGGATGATACCATGTGTTTTACGAGCTGGGTTCTGTTGCTTCCCTCTGGCGTTTAGGTCTTAACAGTTTGGCAGACTGTTGACCTGATGGCGTTGAGGTCGACAGATGGCTCACAGACATGTCGCGTCTTGTTTTGGTTTCTCTTGTGTCATTCAATTTGAGAGATGTGTGTGTGCGTGTCGTGTAGGATTATTGGTATCGAGTATGGAATGGTAGTCTTTTTTTGCGAAGAATGAAATGTGTTAAACAACGTAACTTTGCGATGTATGCATGGCCTAAGGGAATCTTTAATATGGCGCTAGATGTGCGATAGTCATCTACTACATCACAGGTTCATCCCTCTGTTCCTGCATGATGGTGCAATCATCGTTGTGCGGGAGTCAGGATGCTGGCACTGGGTTGCTGGGATGCTGGGATGCTTAGCGTGGTGTGTATATATCGTCTGTGCTCGCACTACGTCACACGCTCAGCCCGAAGCTCGCTCGCTCCCTGCATGTGAAGATCGCCCGCGCGAGAACATGCCAACACCACCGAAACATGTAGCCGGCAGTTACCCCCACATTACCGCCATGGAGGAACTCAAGGATGATTTCCGCGAAGATAGGCCGATTCTGAAGATTGCCACGGTAAGGACAAGATCGTTCTGGTGCGTGCATCGCATGACACCACCATGTCATTCGATCGCTCGTCACCAACCCAGCGCCCCAAACAACGCGTACTCATAATACCCAGGACACACTACTCCTTCCCCTCCGAATCGCGACATCGCCAGCTCTGCTACGAACGTACCTCAGCACCATCCTCCTCTTCGTCACCTCCACCATCCTCTTCACCTTCGCCGTCGTCGCATACTCGTCTTTCTACTACAACTACATACCCGTGCGCGGCATCTCCGTACCCGTATACCTCCAATTCGACCACGGCCCCACCATCCTGCCTCCCACAACCACCTACCCAGATGGCAGCAGCAGCCTCCCAACCGGCAAGCCCGCAAAATGGCCCTACGGCCTCGCCAACATACCCGGCCTCGTAGACCGCCAAAAGTACGACGTCGTTGTTGAAATGGTCGTCCCGAGGAGCAAGACCAACTTGCAAGCCGGCAACTGGATGGTGGGGCTCGAGTTCCGGGGCCCCACGACGATAGGACAGGGTGTGAAGCATCTCCTTGGTTGGGACGAGGAGTGGAGCGTTGAAGATCACAGTCAAGGTGGTGTGCCGGGTGCCACGGCCGAGAAGATTGTTACAGAAGGAACCACGAGCGAGACGCCTACTGTTCTTGCTAGAAGTCGCAGACCGGTGCTTTTGACGTATCGGAGTCGCGTGCTAGAGATGGTGTATAGGGGGTTGAGGCTGCCGCTCTATCTGGTGGGGTGGCATACGGAATCTGAGTTTGTGGAGATTAGCATGATGGAAGGCGTCATGTTTGAACCTGGGTATCGGAATGTGCCGAGTAGTTTGAGGCTGGAAGTACGAAGTAAGCTTCCAATTGAGGTTTACAGGGCGCAGGTCAGGATTAGTGCGAAGCTGGAAGGCTTTCGTTGGCTGATGTACCGGTACTGGGTCACCAGCGCGATCATCGGTATTCTTACCTTCTGGGGCATGGAGATGGGCGTTTTGCTGTTTACCTGGGGAGCTTTTACGCTGCTGTTCAGTGGTAGTTCGACACCGGCCGAAGGGAAGCAGCAACAGAAGAAGATGAAAGCCGAACAAGGAAGCGAACCTTCTCCCAAACTCGAACAAGGCGACTCCGAACTAGATACACCCTACAGCGACACGTCCCGTACATTCCCCACACTACCTTCTCAGCACCCTCTCTCGTACAGCTCGCCGTCGCCTAAATCACCCAAAGAAGAAGAACGCGGGTCTCCTAGGCTGGAAGATATACCGACAAGAGAGGAAATGGAGGCTGATGACGAAGAAGACGACGACTTCATTCTTGAAGAGCCGATTCCCAGGGGTGTGGAGAGGGAGGGGGTTTTTACGGATTCGGGCATTGGAACGAGTCTTGAGAGTAGTATTGATAGGGGTTTGGCTAGACGGAGGAGTGGGAAGGCAAAGGATAAGGGGGGTGATGGTGAGAGTTAGTTGTCTATAGGGAAGGGGGGAGGGAGGGGAAAAGAGGGGAAATGTGCGAGATGTGTTATGGGAGTGGTGAAATGAATTACGATGATTGTGGAAATCTTATTGGTGGGTGGCCGTGCCTATGTTCTGGTATAAGCACGATCATCGGATCAATGGGTAGATGGTAAAGCTACGCCGATTTCTCGATCTGTACGGTCTCCATACTAGGGTTCCCCTGTCTATTGCTATCACCCGCTCGTTGTATACCTGTTCTAATCGGTGTCGGGCATGCCCTCTGCTTCGGTCTCAGGCATAGCGCAGAGCGGCAGCTACATGAGAATTCGTAGTTAGTGGAATGGACTACATGCATCATGGCAGAAAGGATACTAACGTCTTCATTTCCACGGCAGAGAACGTCACAAGCCTCTAGGCTTCGTCGACAGGTACGGCTGCAGTCTACTACTGCACAGTCGAGTTTGCGGTTGACTCCAGTATCGGGAACGAGGCGTGGGATGTGATACGGTAAGCCTCTGTTGGAAGGGTCCTTGCGGTCAGCTAAAAAGAAACTAGATCAGTAGAATTCTTGAGGGGATAAGATGGGGGGGGGGGGGGAGTACGTACCAAAGAGACTACACCATGCATAACAGGGCCAATCACCAGCTGATGTAGCTGTGGCGAGGAGAACAAGGAGGATGTTGGTGTATAGAAACTTCATTTCGGGTTCTTCTGTCGTGTCTGTGGATTGTGGGAGTTGGTTGGGGATAAGTGATGGAAATAAACGTGCAAATTTAGGAACCCTTTACATCCCTCTGTTAGATACGTTTAGGAAGACTTAGTCCAGGGATCTGTGTGGTGATGCGTGGAATTTATGGCTTGTGTATGACTGTAAGATGACACGTACTAGAGACCCTGGTTTTCATCTGAGAAGTTGTGTGGAGTTTTAACACTTCAAAATTACGGCGACGAGAAGCGATAATTACGGTACCTTTTGGAACAGGTGAGCGAGATTCGTCATTTGTGGTTCAGGGAGATATCTAGAAAGCTGTTGCAACTATGTTCACGGCACCTGAAATTGATCTAGTGTTGAGGTAAATGTATGCACAAAGAACATGATGATTTGCAAACATCTGCACGATAGTCCGACTGAAGAAAAAATCTCCAGCTCAGATGTGAGCTCGTTCTGATGCTCCCTATAGATACAAATTTCCTCGGACCTAGTCTTCTTGTTCGCCTGTTCCTATTTCACGCTTGTTATGTACTTGGTTCAGGCCTGTGGATAGTGTTGGAGTACAGAAGTGACGCATTGATCCTACGGATTATTTGGCTATATAGGCAGTATACTAGTGGGTATGACAGGTACCAATAACAACATAAGATAGGTCTTTCTTCAGATCGTACACCCGTCGATGGTAGACGTATTCTGAGTTGTATCCTCCACTTCGCGACTAGGTAACTACAGTTAACGCATTAGCAAATCGCATCCCAACGCTGGAAAGGAGGAGAAAAGTTTCGTACCATTAGTTGCCCATTACAATCAAAAAAGCCTTTCTCATCATCCTACGTATATTTGCCGAGCGCGTAATAAAAATGAACGGAGGTGGGAACCCGCAAGGGTGCACCATCGACCGATCCTAATGTCTTCGGAAGGATCCGAGTAAGAGCATGGCTGTTAGGACCCGAAAGATAGTGAACTATGTTTGAATAGGGTGAAGCCAGATGAAACTCTCGTCGAAATTGGAAGAAGAGTGTTTTCAAACCTTGCGATGTAGACATGCGTAGTGTGAGATGTAGACATGCGTAGTGTGAGATGTAGACAGACGAGCGGATCTGGATCGGTGGTTCCATTACAGAGAGATGTTGATGGCAGGCAACCGAGGTGTATAGGATGTCTATGTCTTTAGAAAGGTGGTAAAGCTCGTGGTATATGTGCTTGCCGATCTTTCCTTGCTAAGGAGAGGCGAGGAGAGGAGGACAGCCAGAGTAGAGGAGGATGGCGAACGTGAAGGAGGTGGGTGTGATGAATAGCTTAGGGATAAGGACGGCGGAGAAAGAAACCATCGCTGGAGCTTGTTTAGCTCGCAGTTCAGACGACCCGTATGGGTGGTTGCGTGTTGTTCTTGCTGAGATGGGTGGTCGTGTAGTTGGTGGGTATGGTGTGGACAATATTGTGACGACCTGGGGGAAGGGGTGAGACACCGACGGCGCAGCGGGGCAGCTATGTTGGTTTTAGCGTCAGCTATCTTGCGCTTTCGAAGCAGATGTTTTCTCCTGGTATCGAGGTACACTTACGTCTTCATCTCCACCACAGAGGACATGACAAGACTCTAGACTCCGTTGGCAGGTACGCCTGCAGTCTACCTGGGCACACTTGATGCTGCTGTAAGAGTCGTCAAATTCTTCAAAACCGGGTATGTTTGCTATGAGCCGCGATTTACCGACGCCTAGAGAGTTGTGTTAGCAACATTATCATGATTTCAAAGGAGTGGAGATGTATATGAGAATGAAGGAGATGGCGCATACTACGGGTGCAGAGAACAGGTACTTTACACTCAGTGGCTGAAGCCGTAGAGGTGAAGAGGGTTACGAGAATGGCGGTGGTACTGATGAGAAACATACCCTTGCATTGAAAAGGTGCTTTCATGCAATCACCTGCGATGATCATGGCTGCGAAGAAGGTAAGGAGGATGATGGTGGCAAGGAACTTCATCGTGATGTTTTGTGAGAGATATGTTAGGATCGGTTGTGAAAGGGAGGAATGGTTGTAGATGACGAGAGGACCACAGATGGTTGCGGAAAGCAAGGACGAGATGGTTAGGAGGAAAGGAATGGTGTGGAGGTTTCATGATTCTTCGTAGGAAAGTATGCTTCTTATACTTCATGCTAACAGAAACCATGGAATCTTTTGGGCAAGAACCATTAGAATTGTTTGGGCAAGAGATAATGGAACTGCTTGGGCAAGAAACAGTAGCATCGACTGGGTAAGGAATAGTGGAATGGTTCGGGCAAGAACCTTGGGTGAGAATATTCGAATGCTGACACTGAAAGTTTCTGTATGGCTGACGAGGGCCCATTTACTGGAAACGCTGGTTTGCCTCGAAAATTTGTGTGGATCGATTCATACTTTGAAACCACGGTATTGGCAGGGGATAGAGATGGTACCAAGCGAAGAGGATATTTAACCATAACCATCTAAAATTCTTACAAGTACGACTAATGCAGTCATGAATACATTCGAAATTGGTGTATTATCCCCATCAAAAAAAATCTATCCGCAAGAAACGCCCCAATATTCGAAACCCGCGGAACTACTCGAATCTACAAAAGTGCACACCTTCAACTCAGAGCATAGGCCTCTCACTAGATGGATCCTGTCCCCTGTTGAACTTTGTTTCGATCCTGTTTTTCCCTTTTTGCATGTACCCCACCACCTCCTCATCCGTAATCGTCGTCAACCCATTCTCAACATCCATGTCACTCCTCTCGCAAGTCTTGGCTTGAATAAACACACCATTGCTCTGCACTTTCTTGCCTTCAACGATATCCCTGCAGAACCCGCCGTATTCCTCAAAGTGAACGGCACTAGCAGGGTTACTCTCAATCAACATGCCAAAGCAGTGCGGCATAGCCTCAAAGTCTCTCCACACAACCGTCACACCCTGCTTCACACATCGCTGAGCCACGACAGCTCCCTCATCTCTCAACATCTCCTCGCCCACAGAGAAGAAAAGCGGCGGGGCTTTGGACCAATCTTTCGCGGCGAGAGGGCTCACAAGCGGATGCATCAATGCACTGCCCTCGCAATAAAGGTCTGCGCGCGGCGGGTTGGAGGGCCACACGCCATCGTCTTTGGGGAACTCGCGGGAATCGACTTGGCTGGGCGTAGGGAGGTAATCGTACTTGACTCCTCCTTCGACGGAGGGCAGACTGCGCGTTATATCCATCCAAGGTGACGACAGGGCAAGACCGGCTGGTAAGGGAATCTCAACGTCTTTGCCGTGGAAGCGGACGCTGGGCGTTTGGCCGGCGGGAGTGCTACGGTGAATTTGAAGGAGTAGTTGGAGCAAGGCGGTACAGCATGTTCCGCCTGCTGAGTCGCCCCCGAACACGATTTCGCTGGCGGGGATGGGCGCGTGGAAGGACCCGGGTGGTGGTGAGAGCAGTGTGAGATATGCTGTGAAACAATCTAGTAGCGCAGAGGGGAAAGGACCTTGGGGCGAGAGGCGGTACCGAACGGAGAAGACGCGGCCACCCGTTTCTTTTGCGAGACGGCCTGTGAGTGGACGCGATGTCGCTGGATCGAGGAGGTACATTGCGCCGCCGTGGAAATAGAGTAATGTGACTTTACTCTTCGTTTCCTTTACCAGATTTTCGTATTTTTCTGCCTCGCTCATGGATGAGGGTTCTGGCTCATCATTCTTGGCATCTGCGCGGTATCCGTTCCATTCTGCTTCCAAAGGTCGCTGCTCAGGCTTCGTCCAGGTCTCTTCCCCAGTTCCCATATCTTCAATAGCTTTGAACATCATCTGCCGTACATCGTCTTCTTCTGGTGCGCTCTGTTGAACCTTGCTGACCCAGACCTTTCCCTTGACACCTGGTTCCTTACATGTTAGACGCTGTAGCTTTGAGATGGGTGTTGGTGTCGAATTAGGGCCCAGCATGTCGCGAAGCATGTTGACCGTCATTTCCGTGCGTAGGTCCCATTTCGAAGACGTTGGGGACATGGATATAGAGTGCCATAGTGCCGTCTTCAACAAAAACGGTGTTTTGGGAAGGAGAAACTTAATCAGGGCTGAGGGCGAGGAGTCCATGTTTGAGATGTTCCGCGGAGGAAGTTGCACGAGTCGAGTTCGGTGATGACGGGAATGATCGTGTAGTTGGGATAATGTCGATTGAAAGCTAATGTCTAGGTTTATTGTGAAGATGTTATAGTCTACAGTCAAGATTAAGGAGAAAAAGAAGCCACTCTAGTGGCGACCAGAGTGTTGACGTCGCACTACTAGGCTGTCGACGCGGCACTTAACGATGCCTCGGCCCATAGCCCCACGAGTCATGCACGAGATCATGCGAGATATACGGTCCATACGCTCACGTGGGGGTCGATCCTTAGCAGCAGCCGCAGGTGGAAGTGACTCAAAACGTCTCTAACTTCTATGCTTGCTCTTCAGGTTGTACATTGTAGCACACAACACCGCATATCCTAGAAAGCAGGCAACAGAAATCCAGCTAATCAATCATCAATAGTATTCAAGTGACTACGCGCATAGTAACAATGGGGTGTAATGCGGGTTAGTGGTATCTTTCCATCCATCCATCAGTCCTCCATTCCAAAACGCCTGGTCCATTTACTCAATCGTTTAAAAAGGCAATACTGCAAGCCCGCCTGATGCGGAGCTGCTCTTCTCTCTGTCGCCTCATTCTGAGGTAGCGCATGGTTCCCTGGAATTCAAGACGGCTCAATTTGAGCTTTCCAAGGTCTTCCTTGCCATTCTTATCCATCACCAGTAGACTAGGTGTCAACCACTCAAAAGGGGGCTTCTAACCATCTAGTTCACCCTCTTCGCTGCCTCTTTCTGTCACGTTACCATCACCCGTACCATTCGCAGGCTGCTGGCTTTGACTTGTCGACTGTACGCCTTCCATACCCTCGGGTGTATCGCCAAAATCGATGCCGTCCTCTGGTGTCCTGAGGCCCGCGTACATGGACGGCTCCCCATCTTTGTCTGGCGACTTCTCATAGAGATCTGCCATGAGGTTACATGCCCTTCTGATGTCGCGCAGTTGGACATGTTGTATTTCCCACCAAGGCTTGCCATCATCGTCGCCTAGCTCTACCTCGGCCATGCGCGCGCCAGCGTACAAAGATGCGGCGGCGATGGCCCGCGATGTGAACAGTAGACACATCTGTGTGGATGTCGAGTCGGAAAGGAAAGCCCAGGCCGAGTTGCGCAGTTTCTTGTTGTGCTCTACGCCGTAGTACTTCATCATGTCGTACATGGTCTTGTATGGTGATTCCACGTTAAGATCGAAACATAGAGCCTCGAGTAAGACGTCTTCGCTGTACAGGATAGTGTCCCGCCATTTCCAGAAGTCTTTTGTCTGCTCGTCGACGAGCTTGTTGGGGTCTTTGAGCGCGACTCGAACGCATGAGACGACGAGTTCTTTCATTTTGCGGCAGTTTTCTTCGACTTTCGTTGCAAGGAATAGCGCCGTTGCGGCGATTTGCTATTGACATCAGATCTCTCCAAGTCGCGTACATCTATAAAAAGACTCACATAGTGGTGGAGTGGCTTATACCCAGGCCGTGGCTTCAAGCTCATTCGCATGAGATAGCGATTGAAAAAGACTGCCGCTGTACTAAGAGTGGTTTGCGGTAACTTGAGCATCATGCCCACTTGTAATATGAAGCCGACGCCCTTCCGCCGTAGTGTGCGCTCCTCTTCAGCGGGCATTCCATCGATTATGGACGGCGCCAAAAGTAATTCTTCTTCTGTGAAGATCCATTGCATCTCAGCCTCGATGACGGCCGGTGGTGGTGGCCTCGGGGGCTCGCGCTGCGGCGGCATTGCGCTGCTTGTGGTCGATACCATCACCAGAGGTTCTGGAAGTGAAGGCTGTGTTCCGATGCGCGATAGTGGTAGCGCAGATCACGGATAAAGTAGATGTCCCGATTCGGCTGTGTGTTGCGATACAGATGCTAGTGGATGTATGCGAGCGCGTGGAATCCTGTGAGTGAGCTGTGTACGTGGTCGAGATTGCAAGGCTTCGTGCGTGGTTGTGTTCGCCGTGGGAGTTGAGGATAGCAGAGGGATTGTTCAAAGCGCGAACATTGAAGCTTGGTAGCTGCAAGGGCCAACGGCTCTCTTCCGCGGCGAATACAGGGATCAGTGCCAAGGCAATCTTCAACACCACGGCGCCTGACAGCCACGCCTTCGGCAGACCCAGAACCCGCGTCGTTCCCGAAAGCTTGTACTTTGTCAGATGGTCTGGGCATGAAACAAGTTGAGCACGTTTCAAGAGGCGATCAAACATAGTTTCGAACTGTCAGGGCTCACGTGAAACTACGTTCAGATGTCAAGTGTGTGAGAGATCTATTGTACCTCGTCCTCTGCTCTATGCAGTTGAGAGAACGCCGTTGACCGTTACCAGTGGTGCCATGAAGGTTTGAGGTACGATTAAAATTACAAAGTGAAACCACATAAAATAGAAATGGCTTGATTTAGTACCGCCCAGGATCTGTACTTCCGCCCACCAATCGCGCCGTGCAATGCTGGAAGTGTGCATCTTGCTTAGGAGTAGAACGCTTCGAACGTGTAGATGATGCCGAAGATGAGGAAAGCAATAGCACCACCAAGCGTGACTATGAGAAGTTAGCATGGCACTAGGACGTATGGACCGGGTGTTCTTACCATTGCGCATGCTGATCTTTCCGGCAATAGCACGGCCACCAATGACCGCACCTGCAGTACACAGCCCATGGCCAACTACAGCGCCAGCAGTGACCCACCAGTAGTCAGAACCAGCAGCCATGGCAACAGTCGCAATCTGACTGCGGTCACCCCACTCTCCAAGGAATGTCATTATAAACGTCTGTACCCAAGCAGGGCTAAGAAGAAGAGAGAAGAGGTTGTTAACAGCGCCCAGGGTACCGCCCAAAGAGCCTCCGCGCGGTGACGGCGATCTATCAGGCGAAGTAGAAGGGCTACGTGCGGGGGCAGGAAGTCGCGAGTTGGATCGTGAGCGTCGTGAACCAAGACCAGACTCTAGGGCGTAGGGAGAAATGGAGGACTTCCGGCCCTTCTGGTGTCGGGCAAGCTGTTCCTTCTCTTCGAGTTCCTGCTCGACCTCGGCCATCTCCTCGCCCACACCGTCGTCTGGGCTCATGGCAAGACCCTCTCTTATAAGCTTGACACCAAATACGAGGAACAGAGCAGCGGCCGCAAAGTGGGTGAAGCGTTCCGAGAGGAGTGCGGGGACGGCGTGGCCCATCACGGCAGAGAGGACTGTCATGACGACGAGAGCCGAGAAGGCAGCAGAGAAGACAAGGAGGCGGGGGTGTCGCATAGCCATGAGGGCTGCAACGAGGAATGTCTTGTCTCCGATCTCTGAGAAGATGATCATGGTGAAAGCGAGGATAAAGGAATGGAAAGGCTGTACGGCGCCGGCGTCGACATCGTCAAGTGTGGAAGAGGGGGTTTTGGGCGGGGTGGTGTCTAGAGGATCCTTTGTGGAAACGGAACCTGGCACAGGAAGCGGATTGTCATGGATGGAGTCGGGAAGATCGGTGGGTTTCTGTAGTCCGATCAGTGGTGAATCGTCAGCATAAAAGTGTTGCAACTAACCTCAAGCCCACCAGCACCGAGCACACGAGTGGTGCTCGCAGTCTCTACTGCCTCTGCGCCCAATTGCTTCTGGTCAGCAGGATGCGGATGCGCCTCCTTTGGTGACGCGGGAACCATTTCCTTCTTTTCGCCCGTCTTCTCCTCGTGTGCCAATCGCTCTTTGTCCTTTGCTGACACTCCGCCCTCGGTGCCAGTGGTGCCCGTGGCCGGTTTCCGCGCGGGATCTTGCATGACGCTCTTGTCGCCATCTTTCACGTCGTCTACCAGAACAGTTTCTGGAGAAGCGCCAGGCTTCTTTGCCGACCCAAGATCTTCTACAACATTGGGGGCTTTCTTCCCTTTGTATTTCGGGTCGTCATCCACGTATGGCCCAGCATGCGGCTTGCCGTCGAGTCCGTCGAACGGTGCATCTTTGGTGCCTTTCGCAGGAGCTGTCGGGGCAAGTGAGGCATCAGGTGAATAGGTAGCTTGGGTGTAGGCAGGTACGACGGCCCGCGCGGGCAGCCTGTCGTCCGATGTATCTACTGCGACGGATGTGGCAAGAACTCGTAATGCGGGTAGGAGGAGGAGCAAAGTGTGCGGCCGTGGCTGTCGTAACCTCATGATGAATGTGATTGAAAGGTGAGCAGGAGTGCAATGTGATGTCGAGAACTGTCAGCGGCGAAAATGAAGCGCCCAGCAATAGACCAAAAAGGCTGCAGGGAGTGACGAGAATGGAAGAGGTTGTTGTGAAGGGAACGTATATGTGTTGTCAAATTATTGAACAGAACGGTGTAGGGTTCACACCAATGTTTGAGCGTAAAAGCAAGTTGGAGACGACTGAGATGCGCGCAAGGGGTGCGTGCAGACAGCCCACGTAATATGTCCAGGGCTGCGCAAACTCAAGGAGTGCTAGTTAAGGGGTCTCTCGTTCACTCAGCCTGTGGAGAAGCGCGGAAACATGCTGCAAGTGCCGTAGTTCCGTCTCCAACTCAAACACTTCGTATTCACCTCTTTTGTGCACTCTGGCCCCTTCTCCGTGCTGAATGCTGAGGCCCACCTGAGCCTGCGAACGGCTAAGGCGATCCCGGGCTGGTCACGTGAGTGCCCGTCGAGTAGGCAGCCTTAGTCAGCCACTATCGCGGAGCGTTGGCGTAAACAACGGTGGGACTCGCGTATGCACACCAGTAGTTCCGCCCGACGGTCAAGGCTAAGCTGAGTCTACAGACTGCATCGACACACCTAGCAACATACCATCCGCAGACCACGTCGCATGTAACACCAATCGGTATCACGCGTCCTATAATACTACAATGGACGACCGCAGGAGCGTGCGCTCTGCAAGCCGGCGCAAATCACCTACTCCCCAACCACCTTCCAAGGCAACCGCCCAACAATTGGGGCGCGCATCGCGAGCGAGAAGTTTGCGCAGTGCAAGTCGCGAAGTAGAAGGCTTTGTCGACATTCAGAAACCCGCCCGCCGAAGCGCGCGACAAGCAAGCGTGACTACAAATGATGAGAGTGGAAACGAGCCACAAAAGGCGCGCAAGACAAAGCACGAATCCGCAAAAGAGCTGCTGGGAGGTTAGTAGTCACTTGTTCCCACTTGACCAATCGCGCAAGACCCGTTCCTGGCTAGGCAGATCCCCAGGCTAATTCATGTACATGCGCCAGACCTCACAGTCGTTGAGGAAACGGATACCCAGATTGACCTCGAGCAAGACAAAGAAGCCCCAGGTACACCTACGCGCACCGATACCGAGCCCGGACATGCGTCCTTTCAATCACCCGGCGCTGCATCCCAAATGTCTGGGACCACGGCGATCTCCTCTTTCAGTATGGTCGAAGCCGAGTTCCTGGAGCCTAGGTTTATCCTGAAGCATCTGCGCAAGTTGTGTGATTCTGCTGAGGAGTTTTTGGAACACATTGCGCCTGATCGAGGAACGATGGCAGACGACTTGCAGAACATACGAGAGATGCAGAAACCGGGCTCGACTTATACGGAAGATTATCTGGATCTCAACGACGAGTTGAATGTGCATTTAAAGCACTTCAAGAGCGAAGAACACAGCTACATACATATCAGAGCGCTTCACCGCGCTCTTTTCAAGACGAGTGACGATGTCGCGGCGTCGCATAGCGGGCTGAATCTGATTCTGTACCTTGCCAATCTATTGGTGTTGGCGAAGCAGATGATCCATTCGGACCGGGATGATAAGAACATCTGGGATGTGCTGCGACAACTGGATAACACTTTTCCAGCCCAGTTCATGCAGGACCTCGACTTTGGTTTCCAGCCGACAGAAACAGGCCAGAGTGGACTATACCAAGAAACGCTTGATCTTGCAGTAGAGTTACGAACCCAGTTGGCAATACTTGTGCTTCAAAGGTCCGCCGAAAGCCCCGAATTTAATGTCGAAGAAACGCTGGATGAGATTTTCCTCCGTCCTAAGTCATCTGATGGTGTATGGGCGATCCGTGGGTGGAACATGCCAGTCTTGGGAGACGACGATTCATCTTTATCCCGAGATTTTGAACGTTTGGTTAAGAACCGAGTGCAGGAAATCCAAGAATTTTTTCGCGAGGGATCGTCTTCTGCTGAACTGGACGACTTAAAATCAGCCTTTCCTTGGGGGCCAACTATTCTTCGCCTTTTAGACTGGGTGCGTCTTCGACGGAGGGAACTCAAAGCTGTTATCGACTCTCTTGGTGGATCAGTGGAGATTACGCGGAACGTTAAACAAGCTGTGGAGGATCCTCAGCCTGTTGTCGGAAAAGACCAACGAGAGTCACTGCGCAAAAAGCGAACTTCGATAGGTCGCGACCGAAGACGTAGCAGCCGCAAATTCGATCCAAACGCTGGTGTCGATCTGCATGCTCTCAGCAAACTGAAATCGAGAGAAGGTGATTCGGGTGTATATCTAGAGCCTACAGCTTCTCGGCAGAATCGGGAGAAAACTCCGCCCCAGCAGCCAATTGAAGAAGTGCAAGTGCAAATCGAGCAGCCGGAATTGGAAGATCAACAGCAACATGGACAAGGAAGCACGACTGAACCCGATACTGATTCTCAACTGGATGTTGAAGAGAGCTCTGAAGCGATCGAAGGAGTGCAACATAAACAGCCGGAGAGAAACGATCAAGAAGACGATTCAGAATGGCAAACATTGATTGGAAGCGAAGATCAGCAACCCGAGGGTGAGCACTCTGAAAAGCACTTGGGAGAGAAGCAGATCGACCACCACCCAGCGGTGGAAGACGAAGAGGAACACCAGATAGAAGACTTTGAAGAACCTCAACCGTCAGCTCCGCCGCAGAGTCCTGCATCTCTACTTAGGGCTCTCAAGGCTTTACAGAAGCCGCAGAAAGAGAACCGTCCAATATCAATATTCGATCGTCAAACGACAGCACAGCGCATCGAATTCGGCGATGGCTTTGAGGATACACAGCAAACAGCCGGCCCGTCAAACACAGCTAAAGGAAAACAAACTGCGGAACCTTCCCCACGCAAACGTCGCCGTGAAGATTCGGACGATTCGGACTCCGACGCTTTCGAAACCAAAGACCGTGGCGACCATGCCCCAGTGCGTCGTCGCGCGATGCCTTGGGCAAAAAGACAGCGCACTGAAGGACCACCAGCACCTATATCCTCCGGTGCACCACCGAGCCACCAACCCCCTCCCCGTTCTACACAGCCACATACCCGTCCCTTGTCTGAACAAGAAGAATCCGTGTCTGAGGTCTCCTCTCCCTCCATGACCGAAGAGCCCGAGCTTCCACCTTCCTCCACATGGCGCGACCAACGCAAGCTCGCGCAAGAAAATCGCGCTCTCGAGTCCACGCAGTCTCGCAACAGCCGCAATGAGCGCAAATCCCGCGAAGCATGGTCGAACGAAGAGGAAGAAGCTTTGATTGAATACATGCGCAAATATCCTAGCAAATATTCAAGGATACTGCAGTACGATGAGCAAGAAGGGGGTGGCGTGTTGAGAAATAGGAATCAGGTTAATTTAAAAGACAAGGCGAGGAATCTAGCGATTAACATGATACGGTACGTTATATACCCCTTCCTCCGTTGGGGATGAAATGGTTTGCTAATGAGTAACAGATCAGGAGCCGGTCTTAGATCAGGGTTTGAAAACATCATACACCCCGGCGAAAAACAAGGGAGAGCTCTCATGGCTGCTGGATGGGTAATGCACAGTGATGGGTCGTGGGAGAAAGTCCAATAGAACCGGAATAGTTCCTTGGGATGTGTTTGGATGTGAATGAAAGGACACAAGGGCGGCGTTTATTTGTTGATTATTCTTGATACCCCATGGCGCGTCCGCTATATCAGCGCTTTTTATCCAGTTCAATCGTACAGTTACAGTTTCTCCTCTAGCTAGCAAAGACAAAACGCAGTAAGGAAGAAAGCTTGGTGGCAAATCATATGCGTTCCCTCCACCTGACTCCCCATTCCCCCTTTGCAAAACTACTCTCCACAACAACACCTTTCATAACAGCCTCGCACTTCCTCTTCTCCGCCTCGTCAGGTACGGTGAAACCAAACGCACACCCCCGTCTCGCAGCTTGCCGTACCTTCTCCCTCTCGTCAGCCTTCCTCTGCCCTTCTCGTCGTTTCAGTTTCATCTCGTCCGTCTCGTGGATCCGTTCGGCCCAGCCTTTTTCTCCGCCAACGCTGCCATTGACGTCGTTTTGATCTTGTGGTGGCCGCACCTTGCCACTGCCGTAGCCGTACTCTACAACGTCCGGAACAGGATCTGCTGACTTTGTCGGCTCGAGAACAACGCCGCCTTCAGCTTCGTTGTCTGAATCTGACACCGTGTCCTCCTCGTCGCTGGTGTAGTCCTGTGATGGCGGTTTTGTCGCAGCAGCAGCAGCAGCAGTAGATGCAGTTGCTGTGGTGGAAGCAGGTTGATCGACCATATCTACGCTCTTCCAATCCTCAGGTTTCTCAACTACGAACCTCGCTTTGCGGTTCTTGCGTCGTCCGTATACTTTCTCAGGGTCTTTTTCGCGTTGGAAGACTATCTCTTCTACCGTGCTACATTCGACGATGATCCTATGATCTCCTTTGATGCTATTCTTGGAAAACTTCTTCTTATGTCCATTCTTCCCCTTTCCGCCTTTGCCACCTTTCTCCTCCTCCTCATGCGCATTGCCCGTCTCCGCAGTCTTCTTAATAGGATCGGCTCCTGCGTTCTCTTTCAAACTTTCCGGACTCGCGCCATCAAGGAGCGCAGCAAAGGTAGCTTCGATCTTGCGGTCGATAGGGCCCGGTTTGTTATTTCGGCATCGTGTAGAGCAGTACTTGACTTCTGTTGCGTTTTGCGTTTTGCGGCGCTCACTGATGACGCGGCCGCAGCTATGGCAGTAGGGCACTGTGTCGCCAACGGTTAGGTAGAGGGGTGGTGGGGTTACGGCGTGCTTAGAAGGCCGGGACCAGGAGTCCATCCATGACATCTTGCTGAAATATTTGGCGGGTTGTTGTGGTGATGATTGGTATGGCCTGTTCGAGATTGGAATCCGACTTTGAGCTTGGGTGTGTATCAGATAGACGGTGGTGTTTGTGAAGTTGGAATATTTGAAGGTACGAGCGCACGACGTCATCAGCCCTCTCCTGGTACCCGGGTGCATGCAGGTACGAATTGTGGCTCACGATGGCGCGAATGAGGTGAAGCTTGTATCATGTCCATTTTTCTGCTAAGGTTTGGAGTCTTTGATGACGTATTTGAAGTTTCCATTATGGTGCATGGAGCACGTGGATTCCCAACTAGATGACTAGTGATGGTCCCTTTAGACATACCTATCGTACCCATCTTCAATTCTCACAACTGAAACTACCGAGTCGTCTAGTTCACTAATATGCATCGACGTTTTGTCAGCGGTCATACGCCATCTCCACAAACTTCCCCAGTCGGTCCTCGGATGTACCCCATCATGCCTCATGTCGGTTGCCGAGCTTAACACTGCACACCATCTCGGTAACCGACACGCATCGCAAGATAAACAGTCTCCATTCCGCCGAAAAGCATGGCTCAGATATATGTTCTTCTTCGGCGCTCCACCCTTTGCCGTTTAGATAGGGGACCCGGAGATTTGCTTAACCTTGGGCTCTATTCTGCGCAGAACTTCAGGTCACGTCTTCCCCAGGGCATAAGGTCCGTTACAAAGCGGACAAATGGAACGTCCATCGCTATCAGCAGCGACTCCAGTGCCCCATTCACCCTTCGCACAGTCACACCAACACTTCAACTTCTTCGCTAAACACCGTCGTCCTTTAAGTGTGCGCCATCGCTGTAAGAGGGCGAAGCTGCAGCCAAGACCCAGAACATCAGGATCCATGTCGCCTGCATTGGACCCCGCGACGGGTGAAACCGGCACCAAAGGATCGCGTGCGCATCCTATAGAGACATCATCGACCCCGGAGCTGGGTCGCCCGAGACGGACTACGGCGCAAAGCGATATTCAGGATACCATACAACATCCGGGCAATGTGCGCATCAACGTTCAGGGGGCTTTCATCGTAGATGAAGAGCAGCCAGGGACGCCGCAGAGCGAGGATTACGAACACGATCCGCACGACATTAGACTGCCGAACCACACTTCGGTAGTCAGCCATGTAGCCGTCGACGTGAGTATACATGCGTGGTCGCGTGCGACTGGTTGTAGCACGCGACCAACCCCTTACAGTGTCACAGCATGCTAACGCGCTGCGCGCCCTCGTAGATTGGAGGCTCCTTGGCCAAACTTGTATACTTCTCGCGCGAACTCGGTGACGACTCGACTGGCGGACGTCTAAACTTCTTCAAGTTTGAGACTGACCGGATAGATGCGTGTATAGAGTTTATGCGCAAGCTGCAGGCTGACCAGAAGCAAGACAATGGATCGAAATCGCCGGACTTGTGCATCATGGCGACTGGTGGTGGTGCGTTCAAGTACCACGACAAGATAAAGCAAGCGTTGGATGTAGAAGTCATAAGGGAAGACGAGATGGAGTGCTTGATCATAGGTAAGGACTTGGTGCTGTCTGTAGTCGCCGGATTGGCATGCTAACACCGCCATGTAAAGGTCTCGACTTCTTCATCAACGAAATCCCAAACGAGGTCTTCACCTACAGCGAAGACAGCCCCATGACCTTCATGCCACATCCTCCCGATCCGCCGAATATCTACCCTTACCTCCTCGTCAACATCGGCTCCGGTGTCTCCATGATCAAGGTCTCAGGACCCCGGCAATACGAGCGTATAGGCGGTACATCACTAGGAGGAGGAACACTCTGGGGTCTTTTATCGCTACTTACCGGCGCCCGAAGCTTCGACGACATGCTACGGCTAGCAGAGAACGGTGACAACGGAAACGTCGATCTACTCGTCGGCGACATTTACGGGCAAGCGTACAACAAGATCGGGCTAAAGAGCACACACATTGCATCTTCGTTTGGCAAGGTCTACAAAATGAAGCGTGCAGCGGAACGGGAAGCAGAGGATGGATGTAACGGCGATCTCAAGCGCAGAGAAGAAGCAGAGCACGTCGAGGGCTCTTCAGAACTATCCCATGACCCTGGTTCCTTCCGCCCAGAAGATATGGCGCGTTCGCTCCTGTATGCTGTCTCGAACAACATTGGTCAGCTGGCGCATCTGCACGCTGAGAAACATGGACTGCCGAGGATATACTTTGGAGGCTCCTTCATTGGCGGTCACTCACAGACGATGAATACCCTGTCCTACGCTATTCGCTTCTGGTCCAAGGACACCCGACAGGCTTATTTCCTGAGGCACGAGGGTTATCTGGGCGCTGTTGGTGCGTTTTTGAAGCGGCAACCGAGGAACTGGGGGAGGAGGGAGAGTGTTGTTGGTTCCGCTAGGCCGGCTTCCAGTTCTTGAGACTTTGAAACCTTGAGCTTTTTTTGAGCGGCGGAGGTATCGTAGCGAGCATATAGACGTAGCAGATTTATTGTAATATCGTCAATTCAACATATTGATCATTCTAGCCTGGTGGCGCCGTGCTTGATTGACTGTTTCCTAGATCTCCGCTTACGAAGACTACGAGGACGGCTGCGTATGCTGCTGTTGCCGCGAACAGTTCTGCTCTTCGTGCATTCGTCAAGAGACCCACGCTGCCAGCGAACAAGGTGGTGAATGCCGCAATTAACCCTAACCTCCAATCCGACGATGTCACTTTGTAGAGCACGACGATGGCGCCGATGAGTAACAGCGCGGCTAGGAAGGTGCTGAAATATGCTACGAAGGTGCTGATGGCGCGATCTGAGGCGTAGACTATACCGTGTCGGGAACGCTTGCGATCTGGGAAGAGGAAGGCTAAATGCTCTTGCGCGAATGTCGTCAATCGATCCTGATCATCCTGGACCCGTAGTGCCACGAGGTCGTCGATGTCGTCGTATAGCCCGGCACTATGCCCACCGAGGGTAGGAAAAGGCTCGCCTTTGCCTTTGCCCTCGTTATTGAATTCCACTCGGAAGGCACTTAACACGTTCTTGGACGGTCGAGGCAACGAAGCTAACGTACTTTCGAAAAACATTGCCTCGCGATACTCCTTCATCACCTGCCGTATTTGTATCATGAGATCCCATCGCTCTTTCTGTCTTGAATTACCACTTGCTGGTAATGCTGCTTCTTTGAAGCTCGCGAAATTCCTTGCGTGTCCTTTCGTTGTTCTGTCGGATATCAGATCTATTTGGTCTAATTCTTGCTGCTGGTGTTGTAGTTCTGCCAGCTCGCTCTGTAGGTAAAGTAGGTTCCGTGCAGCTAATTGGTCGAACCGCTTGTAAATGAGAGTTGTTCTGTCGCGGTCACTGGCGATAAACGCCGCGAGAGACGGATATCCAGACAGATACTGAACTTTCGCCTCTGGATCAGAAGCTGTATGTGCCATGTCTTTTTGCGCATGATACCAGGCTCCAAGTTTGATGATCCAACGATGGCGCAGCAGGGCTGGAGAATGCGTTGGCATGCGGATGATCGGTAAGTGGAGGGGGTGGCTGAGCCAGATAGCTCACCTAGCATCAGCGCATATGAATGAGGCTATTTCAGCGGCACCTATCCCTCAACCGACGGCATCAGCGAGTTCGGGCCATTTCCTTTCTTCATGCCAAATATGGACTACTATGATTCCGATGGAGATACTCCTAAGTCGCCTGGCCTTGTCGCTATCGCATCGAATCCAAATGAAAAGTCTCCGACCTTCGCTACCACACCACTGTGGCTGAGTGAAGATACATATGGGTGTCCAATAGTAAGCCGTTACTATCATGATAAACTAGTAGCTTTGCTGACTTGACGAAGAGCTTGACTGATTCGGACCGTGCTCCTTTCAGCTACATAGATTGCTCAACTTGGCAATCAGCCTATGGTAAACTTGAAGCCTTGAGAGAATACGAGAGATTCGAGGACACGTTACTGCTTCACCACATGGAACCCAATCGGCCTGACCTTACTTTGTGTCTCGGTTCGACCACTGTCGCCAGTGATAGCGAAAGTGAGGACGATTCATCAGATCCCCTGTACGATTGGAAACAAGCCCGTAAGGATAAAAGGCGATTCATCAAACGTTTAAGAAGGAAACATAAATTCGACAAACGTATAAGCAGGAGACATAAATTCGACTCAAGAAACAGAATACATTATGAAGATGTAAGATGATTCTCGTACTGTGGTCTTGGTAGAGTTCCCGCGTCTGGCATCTGGTCAGCAGTTGTCCTATGTTACAAACATACTGACTACGTAGGATCCCCTTGCTACAACCTTGCTGTTTCATGAATTTACACAAGACTATATGGACAATCGGAAGCTTCAGGTCTTGCAAAGGGATATGGTTTGTAAAGCGGAGAACTTCAGACGAGATGACCTACCCACTTTCTTCCACATCGCAGGCACAGCCAAGAGTACTGGGCGCCGGGGTCCGTATGTTTATCAAAGTGAAATCCCTCCATTTGAACGCTTGGTACCACGTATACTACGTGGATCAAGTCACGGTCTTCCTCTGACTCTTAACACACCATATGGCCCCGAGCCAGTGATTACTTATCCAGACACAGGTTCTGACGTAAACATTATCCCCGAATCAACCGCCCGTCGCTTTGGTTACACGACGTCTGACTTCAACCCATGTGAGGTGTCACTGAGATTGCCGAGAGGCAGACTCGTAGAACCCATTGGAGAATTGAAGATCGGCTTTTGGTTTGGAACACGCCTCGAACCAAACGGAGAGCTCGAAACAACTTCCTTCTACGTACTTCCAGGGGCCAGTACGATCTTCATAGGCGTAGCTGTCCTCGACGAAACCAAGACCATGACGAAGCACAGGAATAGACTCATAAAAGTTCCACGCGCAAACCTAGGCATCTCATCAGTGTGCTCAGTCGGAAAACCGAGGTTTCAGGTGGTGTGCGACATAGATCACGGATCCATAGTAGCATTGGCCGATACAGGTTCGGACGTCGACTTGATTTCCCCAGAATTTGCTCAGGATAGGAACTTCGAGATACACCCTGCAGAGCATGTTGTCGAACTTGCTGATGGCAGTCACGTAGTCAGCTACGGCTTCGTCCGTACCACCATCTCTATCGGCACACACCTCGACTCAACCGACGCACCTCTTAGCAAAGCTTCCATATCTGTTGATTGTTTCGTGCTCGAAGATCTTGGCCACAACGTCATTCTAGGCGAACAGAGTCTAGATCAACTGCGCGTTTTTACGGAGAATCAACATGTACTATTCCTTGCGTCAAACATCGATGCGGCTACGGAATTGAATCGGGTACATATCCTAGGCAGAATTTCAAGCTGGATCAAGGACAATTTTGATCGTACCACAAGCCAAATCAATACAAACGGTGAGTGACTTCCAATGCTTTTGATACAAACCTGGGAGTAGGGATCCAGTTTGAACAAGAAGCTAACATACATCTGCAAATCTAGGTTACGAAGTTGCTGGTCTTGATGATCAGAGAGAGAACGCTCGACTCGAACATGAGGCTGCTCCAGTCACGACTCAAGCGAACACAGACAGTGCAACAAACATACCATCAATACCTCCATCGACAGCTTCTGCACCTCGCCTGATCCAACTACCGCCCACTCAGAGCTTCGCATGTTCGTTTCCGGGATGCCAAGAAGCACCCTTCCCAGCGAAGTATCTTTTGATGTACGGCTTGTCAGATCGTCATTTGGTCTAATGTGGACTAACTCTTCTCAGTCAGCACTCAAAGAAACACCAAGAGCGTTCACCATTCCACTGCTCGGTGGAGGGCTGTCGGCGAAGTCAAGGCGCAGAAGGCTTCGAGAATCGTGATGAGATGATTAGACATCTTCTTAGATGTAATGCTGCGTCTCATCAAAGCTAGATTAAAGCCGAAAGCACATCAAGATGGAGAAGCAATGGAATGAAGCAATGATGTAAAGAGGCAGAAGACTTTGAGAACTCATCGTAATCTATAAAAGAAACTAAGAATCCGTAGACCTAAGTTATTCGTAAAATCTAAGGAGCCATTGGATTTGACGACGAATCTGGGGCGGAGACATGGACTTGCTGAGAGGAGACGGAGGGAAGCACGGTATTTTTTTACGATGACACATCTGCTTGGAGAAACGGACTAAGCTACACACGAGGGACATGCAAGAGCTACTAGTACCGCCTACGTAAGTGTTCTCAACAAAGGCGCCATTGTGACATCACTCCTCGCGTCCGTTGAGCCTTGCACCCTACTTTTTAATTTGCCTTTCCGAGAATCAGGCAGCTCGAAGGTGGAGAAGAGCATTTGATCAGGCCTAGGCTAGGCGAAAATTAGATGCGGTCAAGCGTGAGGCAGTTGCATCAGCGTTCTTCATTACATCCCGAAGCCCAGTTCGTGTCTAGTGCGAAATTTCATCCTACTTGTATACAGCCCCAACTCAAAATATTGAGCAACATGTGGGCTCGTAGACTAACCGGGTAGCAATGTGTCTTACCGCACTGTTGACAGACTTGCCTAACGAGCCAACCGCCTTACTCTACGATCTTGAAAGTCGCTACTTTGTCTTCGTCTTGCGCGATCATCTTCAACAGCCCTGGCGGTTCTCCAAAAACCCACCCTTCCTTTCTCATCTTCTTAATATCCGGCTTCTCTTCTCCTTCCACAGCGCTTCTCGAAGACAACTTGTTCACGTTATGCAAATCAATTAGATCCTGCATCTTACTAATAACCTCTTCGCTTTCATCTGCTCCCTTTTCCCTATCCAACCCCAGATCGTCAGAAAAGCTGAAGCGCGAGATTTTCTTGCCTTTCAAGCCTTCCGGGTCTTCCAAGGAGCCGAATGACCACCATCGAATCGAAAGATCGCCAGGCCAGACATGGTAGGTGTCGCCGACTCGTAGAAAATGTTCAAGCTTTTCTTGGAGCGAGGTTGAGTCGTCGCCGAGACTCGACATAAGCCGTTCAGCAGAAAGCTCCCACGCAACTTGTACAGAACCTTTTCCTACTGGAGGAATCGTGATGAAAGTGAATCCAGGGGTATCGGGATCCTCAGGGCGTTTGGCAACATCTGGGTCGCCTGATATCCGGTGGAACGTGATGCGCTTTGTGGGCCGGAGGTTAAGCACTTTTGCAGAGCCATCTAATTGTCGGGTGGAAGAAAATGCGAGTTCCGGTGAGTGCATATCGCCCTTGCGGAACGCATCCTCACGAGGCGTAGTGTCGAGACATGAGTACTTGGTCAAGATAGTAACGGGTCTATCTGGGAAGACCGAGGAGGTTTGTTGGATGGTGGCGATCAGCTTCAAAGGTGATGCCGAGGGGTTAGAGATTGAGAGAGTGGCTGGTGGACAGAAGTTGAACTTAAGGCAGAGCCCGACTCCGTGGTTTTGAGAAGACATATGAAACTATTCGATATGGTGTTGTAGTAGGAGACTGAGAATGCACTGCCGTGGGTTGCAAAAGTTCAAGACTGCACTGAGATGCGGGAACGGCCATTGTTTCGAGCTTGGTATTGCTGCACCCATAAGGCTCACCGCTAGCCAGGGTTATCACTCTTGGCATCGTTGTTTGCTCAACCAAAAACGGCCAAGGCGTCAGAACTGCGAAATCACAACCTGCCATTCCGAGTCTTCGTACGATAGCTTGGATCAAGTCCAAACAATGGTCTTACTTTAAGCAGCAATGGTCCTATATAAGAGGCGAGTTTGTCATTTAGACAAAGACAAAGACGACCCTTAACTTCGGGACGTATTAGCAAAACGCCCTAAGGGTGGAAGCCATAGACGTAGAAGAGGGATAAGTAATGCAGGACACTAATCTAGGCGCTCGTAGTGAGCATAGAAAAGATATATGTTTTATGTACATCAGCCCCGCTTTCGCATTTGAGAGGCATTCGTACCGTCACGTTGAGGGTCACCTTATGCACGCACAAAGTGATGTTTATTAGTTGAGGAGCCATGAAGTCTATACAAACCGATGTTATTGAATCGCTAAGTTTGCTTCCCGATGTATAGCATGCGCCGAGGCATTCCATCAGCCTCTTCAGCCTTGCACCAGCAGTGATTATAGCCTCCGCCACAAGGCTTGGCTGCATATGTGCAGAGCCATAACGGCAATCAGGCTTCTTGGTTGGTCAGCGATGCGAGCTCTCTCTTTGGTCCGTAAAACACCGATTACGCTCGTAGCATGCCTCTCAAACGATTTGGCATTAAAGGCGCGCTTAGCAGCCTTCTCTCCCTGCTCTGCAACCACTCTCACAGCGGCCTCTGTTGGCCTACCAGGAGGTTCTAAAGCTCTGTCTCTGGACGAAGGGTACTGTTGTCGTTGTCTTCATAACCATCGTCACCAGCAATATTCTTCCCTCAACCACGACGGTCTCACAAAGTTCACACCTGCAGGCTTGTCAACAAGGACTTCCCACAGCCAACCAGCGCCGCGCAGTCGCGACGTCTTTCCAAGAAGAAACATATCTTAAGTATGGCAATGCTGATATTGTGGTGCCCCTGTTGCAGGAAGACCAGCAAATTCCTAGGTCGGAAACACAGCTTCAAGGTGGGTCCAGTAATATACCCTTTTTACAGCAGCACCAACACAATCCAGAATCAGCATATATTTCCTACGACCAGGCCGCAGTAACACCATCAGACCCGATTTTCTCAACATATGAGTACGCACACGACGACATACCGGGCTGTGTGGAAACCGTTGACCAAGACCACGTACTTTTAAGCGCTCCTTCTCCGGTTCTGACTGAGGCTTCGAGATCAGTGGTGGCCCAGGACGATGCTGCTATGTTTTCTTCACCATCCACACGGCTTACATCGCTCGACGATTGGGACATTGACGGGCTGGGAACGTTAACAACCAGTATCCGGGAGACTTTTTTGCCGAGCCAGTTCGTCACAGATTCCTTCAGACAGTGTGAAGAATTGAGTTTCGGGTGTGATCAGTGTCAAGAAGTCTTCCAACGCCGTGGCGAACTAAGGTAAGCAATACCTCAATATGTCAACAAATGCTTGTGGTGACAGATTGTAGCAAGCATAACAATCGTATACATAACAGACGATACAAGTGCCTATATGAAGGCTGTCTACAGAAGCCCTTTGGTTTGAAGGCTGATCTGCAGCGTCATATCACAGCTATACACAGCACAGAGAAAGTTGCGATTCAGTGTTTGGTTGACAGTTGCATAGAAGAGTTTTCGCGGAAAGACAACATGCTGAGACATGTAAAGAATAAGCATCCTGGAAATGAGCCTTCGCGCTGAAGTCGGAACACGAGCGCTTTGCGATGAACCTTTTTACTTAATTCTATAGGAACTAGCTGGGCTAGAACCTGGCAGTACTAGACGCTAGCTGGACTAGATAGATAGATGTCTCCATCGAAACACGCATTCGATTCATGTTTACTATATCAACCGGGTATAGTAGAGCACTAGATGAAGCTTGGTATGACATCCCGCGAGCTCATCACCAAATTGATCTTGTGAATGTACTCAAGCTCGCCTTCTACCCCAAGGTCATGCTGAATCCAGGCCGTCTGTACCAGTCCTTTGGCTTCGAGTAGACTGTTGAGGTGGGGAACCTGTTCCAATCTCGTGAAGAAGTCAAGCATAACCAACCGCTCTCCGTCTTTGTGAGCCTCGCAGCCGATAACGAACATGGCGAAAGATGGTGGAGACGTTTTCAGTTTGGCGAGTATGCATAGTGCATCTTCTTTCCAATGGTGTAGCCGTGTTGATTGGCCCGAGAAGTTTCGGGACACGCGCTCGAGGTATGTAAGGCTTGCTAGTCTGGTGAACTCTAAGCAATAGTACTTGTCGCTCTCTCCTCCATCCTTGGGGACGAGGTCAACATTGTTTAGCCGAGACTTGAGGTTATCTAACGACTGTTGATAATCGGTCGAATGATACAACGGGTCGGATGCGTATAGTCGTGTTTCGAAGACCTCAGCAAGAAGTTGAAGTAAAGGGTGAGCGTATGTTGCGATACTCGACATATTCTCCGCGAAAGCGATGCGAGCGATACGATATTGCACCGCACAAGTGTGATTAGCAGCTTTGAAACCAAGTTCGTGTGAGGTTGATCGAATCATGTAGGTGCGCCAATGACGGAAGCTGAAGCGGGTAAATGTGACAAAGTAGTAGAGCCACCCGAGAACGATAGCTGCGTCAGTTCCAACGGAGTGTGCTTTCTTATCGACGGTAGGAACAATGTTTCTCGCCCCGCATAAATGGCCTATCCAGTCGCAGTCGAGATCTGTCTATCATCATGAAAGTATCGCGTTAGTTCTGTACCATTCTCTTCCAAATGACGGCTTACTTCTACTAAACATAAAACCAGACCGGTGGCGATGTGTTCGATACTGGCATCCGAATCCAGTCCAGGACTCGTGGCACTTACGAGTGCCTCTATCGCCGCATTTTTGGCACGAGCCGCGTGCATCATATCGTTTCCGCGATGGCGAGAACCCAACGCGACTAGAGACAGTAGTAGAGCCATTGAAGATATGGAACGCCCCGACAAAGCCATTCGTAACAACAGGCGTCCGACTTCAGTTCTCTCACGACCCACAGAAGGTAGGATTCCGATGACTACGTCTTCGACTGCGACTAATCAGCATTGTGCCAACTCACTTTCTGCAAGTAGACTCACAATACTGTACTAGTTCCGCGTCGCTAACCGTCACCTTCGTTGTTATCGAAGCCATGGACCGGGTAAGCTTAGGCAACGCAAGCTGATCCCTTTTGACATGCTCACCCTTGACTAAACAATTGTCAAAACATGCCACACAGAGTTTACTTCAAGAGTGCCTACCTCCGCCAACAGTAGCTTTAGCAAGGATGTGGAGACGGATGTCAGTAGACGAAACGTTGATCCACTGCTCGGATTGATGTCGAATTCTTGCGTGTTGTAGCTGTTGATGTCCAGGCTCAACAAGCCATTTCTTCTGGTCATCATTCTTCACCCATGAGAGACGGATGCCATAACCACCGCATACGCGCTTGGATTTTGAACACTTGTTGCAAACTGGTACAGCGCGGTCACATGAGACCTTGCGATCTAAGGACGATATCAGTATCGCGTGGTACGCGGGCATTCACGAACCCATCTATTACCCTTGCATGTCCAGCAGCCCTTTGTTGCAGCCTTTGCTGCACTCATTCCTCCGTGCTGAGCTCGGGACAGGCGTCGACGTGCACCTTCTGGGTAAGCGTTGCGAAGAGATCGCGACGCATCCTATGAGAAACCAAGGATATGAAGGTATGTCAAGCAAGCCACTGGAGGGACTAGGCACAATGCAGAAGCAGATGTTACCAGAAGCATAATAGAGCTAAAGGACTTGGAGATCCTCGCTGACGGAAGCCGGTGGGAGATCTCCTGTAATGCGCCCCGCCCCGCACCTGCGACGACCAGCGAATCACGCCAGAGGTCGGTAATTCTGCACTATACCCGAACTGGACGCGAAGCAACTATCTGCGAGCTTTCTGTCAGCCGCAGTCACCGCCAAGCATCTAACGTCGTAACCTTTTTCCATCCCTTATGCCTTCAAACAGAATTGTGGTCAAAATTTGCGAGCTGTGCATCGTTGATTATGAAGCCAGGCTGGCATGCAGGTTTCCGCCGCACCAAAACGGAGGGACAATATGTCTCATAGAGATACTATAAAGAACCTCGCCCGGCTTCATAGCATCGGCATCAGTTCACTATCAAACACTTCAATCTTCAAGATATTAAGATCCTCGAACCATTTCAACTCTTAAAGCAGCCTTGGCGATCAGACTAACATGCCTTCTTACCTCGTCACTGGAGCGTCTCGAGGAATCGGTCTTGCATTCCTCGACCACATCTCCAGCAACCCGGACAACGTTGTCATCGGTCTCGTTCGCAACGCAAAAGACACTGAAGCCAAAATCGCATCGTGGAGCAGAAGCAACATCCACCTCCTCCAGGGCGATCTCACCAACTACGAGTCGCTGAAGAGTGCCGTTGATGCCACATCCAAGATCACCAACGGAAGTCTCGACTACCTTATCGCAAACGCGGGTCTTGTGTCTGGTGAATTCGACGAGTTTTCCGTTCTGTAAGTTCGCTAGTCGTTAGTTATAGTTCCTGTATCTCTAACGATATAAAAGAGGCAAGGACCCGACCAAAATGGAGGCCAGTCTCCATCAGCTCTTCAGCGTCAATGTCGTCGGCAACATCCACCTCTTCAACCTCTTCATGCCGCTCGTTCTCAAGGGAAATGTCAAGAAGGTCGTTACCATCTCCAGTGGCATGGGTGATACGGAATTGGTACGCAAGTACAACGTATCTGAGGATGGACCGTATGCAATCAGCAAGGCGGCGGTGAACATGGCCGTTGCAAAGTTCAGTGCTGAGTACGCCAAAGACGGAGTGCTCTTTCTGAGCATATCTCCAGGAGTAGTAGGAACAGATGTGTATGCTGATCGTAGGTCTTGGTCTCTTCAACAAGGACGATGAATGCATAAGCTGACCAAAGACTTAGTATCGGAAGATGATCAGCGGAAGCTCGGGATCATGTCGCAGAAGTTTATGGATTACTCACCAGACTTCAAGGGGGCCATCACGCCAGAAGAGTCAGTCAAGGCTGTACTGAGTGTTGTCGAATCCTCGAGTGTTGCCAATGGAGATGGCGGTGCTTTCTTGTCGCATCTTGGCAAGGGCGAGAAGTGGATCTGAGGACATGGAAATGGTATGATTGAACTTGAATGGGGTAGGGTCTCGAAAAGAGCATGTGTGCAACCATCTTCTCAATAGAACAATTCGCAAGTAAACATGGCAGCTCCTTCCATGCCCTGTCCCTCGACCGATCAGTGGTAAGGTGCAGACTGGAGGTGAGACCGTCCAACGGTAGAAAGACTTGCGCAAAGACATCTGCAATCACGTCACGGACCAAGGTTTCGCAGAGTCATGACCTGAAGCTCAAGTGCATACCACGGAGAAGGCGTCTGCTTCGGCGACTAGAGAATAAGCTCATGTTTCAGCGATAACGGTCCAGACCAAAGCTCGGGCGCCGAGAAGACAAGATTAAGGAATGCAAGGAGATGTTTGAAGCATCTCGAGCATGTGGCCTGGGAGGAAGAAGATTACTATGCCACGGTTTGATAAGGTGCTAATTGGAGCTTGAGGACCGAAGACACATGTTCTAGCGCCAAGCTGACGGCCCGGGCGACTCGGAAAGAGATAGCCCGCGCAGCGCTAGAGCGATGTGTGACATGCATGCCCAGATGATCTACCCATCCTAGCATCGTTATATACGACTACAACTCACCTCGCATTCCACCACCGACAAGCTTTCGCACGAGCGGAACACAGCGAAGCCTCATGACAACAGTGCCAAGTGTGTTCGGCTTCCCCTGACGCCTCGGGCCCAATTCGTCCGTGCCCGTTAGCCGCTCACCCATGTATTCCCCCGGAACAATCTACGCCAAACCCAACCTTGCAGGCTTGCATGAGCCCTAAGTGCCGGCCTCGGTACCACGAGATACAATATATGTGTAGCTAGGTAGGAAGCGGTCCCGTATCCGGACTTGCCCCCGCAGTGCTAGCAATATAATCTGGGGTACTTAGACTTCATATGGTATGTTTCATGGTGATCGCGGTAGTACTTCGTTGCTTATGATACTATGGTGAGATGGAGGTTACGGAGAATCTCTGCTTGCGTCCGGCTGGATGGTACTCAATATAGAGGGGAGTGGCGGTTGAGAGTCGGTATATAGACAGGGTGTTTGTACACTGATTTTGGTTTCACCAGCTTTGCATCGTCTTCGCATTTCTCATTTCAAGGTCACCAGTCTACAGAATTCTTCATCATGCATACTTCAAGTCTTTTGTCGGTAGTTGCGCTGGCTGCTACGGCTCTGGGTGCGCCTAGCAGCCATGTTGAGAAGCGTGCGCAAACAGTATACCTCGCAGGAGATTCGACGATGGCGAGGGCAAGTGGAGTCACTACAGGTACGCATTGCTATGCATCAACGCACCAGAAGGCAACTACTAACCATCGCGACTAGGCTGGGGTGTCTTCTTCCCATACTCTGTCTCTCTCCCAGTCGTCAATAAAGCCATCGGTGGCCGCAGCTCCCGTTCCTACACCGTAGAGGGCCGCTTCGACGAGATCGTCAATCTCGTAAAGCCAAACGATATCGTCATCATGGAATTCGGTCACAATGACGGCGGTGGCCTCGGTAGCGGCGACAACGGACGTTCGGTCTGCCCTGGTACTGGCTCTGAGACATGCCAGTCAACATACAACGGTCAAGCAGTTACCGTACACACATACAACTACTACCTTACTGAGGCCGGCAAGAAGCTCATTGCCAAGGGCGCCAAGGTCATCGTCAGCAGTCAAACACCAAACAACCCTTGGGAGAGCGGTAGCTTTGTCTACACCGATGGTGGAAGGTTCGTCGGTTACGCACGGGACGTAGCTAAGGCGTTGGGAAGCAATGCCATGTATGTTGATCACGGAGCGTACACTGCGGATATTTTCAAGACTATGGGCAAAGCACAGACCGATGCGATTTTCCCGCAAGATCACACCCACACTAGCCCGGCTGGTGCAGATATCGTTGCAAAGGCCTTTGTCAAGGGTCTGCAGTGTGGCGGTGGCGGTTTCCTGCAGGGATTCGTCAAGAACGCGACAGCAAGCATTCCAGGCAAGTGCTTGTAGAAAGATAAGGATGAGAACGAAACAGTACGCCGGCGGTATCGGAGCTGGTGGGGATTGGCGGTGACGGCAAGGTGAGAGGTGAGAGAAGCGCTGTAGCCTATTTTCTAAATTTCTCAAACTTCCTCTTCCAACTTTTCTACACCAACCTCCAGGCCAAATCGACCTCTGGCGCCTGCACGATAAGCTTTGAAACCTCAATCAACTCTGCGCAGCAACTTCTATGGCATCTTTGGTTTGTGCAATGCCTGGAAATTCATAACCAAAACCTCTCTCACCTGTTCAGCGTTTGGCACGTGGCACATATGATACCATCCTCGCGCTCTCACCTTTCTACCACCACCAAAACCTCTCTCACCTGTTCAGCGTTTGGCACGTGGCATATATAATATCATCCTCGCGCTCTCACCTTTCTACCACCACCAAAACCTCTCTCACCTGTTCAGCGTTTGGCACGTGGCATATATAATATCATCCTCGCGCTCTCATCTTTCTACCACCACCACAGCCTGCATACTATCCGACACTATCGCTCTGATTTCAACGCAAGTACTCCAAAACTCGACTTATTGATAGTAGCGCTGACACGGAAATAGCTTTCCGGCGTCGCCAGGCCATAGCCACCACGGCCGCTCAGGATTTCGGCATGGCAACAGCTTCGAGGGACGCGCTTGCACCAGCGATGGCCACAAGAAAAACAGCTAGTCGTAGGCAGACTAGCAAACAGAGAGTCTTGTCGGCAGGCAAGTCCAAAGATCCAGCCTCGTTCGAGAAATTGGAGAACCCAGAAGCTACCATTGCTGGGTATTGCGGATGCAATGATATCGGCATCTTTCGGCGCTTCTACCTAAGCCCTCTGGTCCTACCATATTACATCAAAAGCCTGTCCTACCAGGGTTACAGTCGACGAACAGTGCTTTCATACCTCGGCGACCTTCCCTCCGATCGATGGGGTAGTGATGAAGACCCACAGAAAGTCTACCCGTTCGACAAGGATGCACAGGACAAAGATTCGAAGGACGACCGAAACCCAAACTATGGGATGGCTCTCGTGGTCTGTCAGATGCTGCGCGGATTGCAGAAAGGACTTTCGAGTAAGACGCCCAAGATTGACGCAGCAAAGTTCACTGAACTCACCGATTGCACACTCCCGACGGGACCAGCGTTATCCAAAGACGAGGTGCCATCATTCGGACCATTCTCCGAGATAGGCGAGTCCGCGTTAGAAGCACATAATAGGTGCTTATGTCTGTTTGCTCATCTCAAATATACCACTTCGAAGTCGCAATGGGATAGAAGATTCCATGGAAAGTCGGCTTGGGATGGTTCAGTCCTTGTATCCATCGAATATCTTCCAGATTGGATGCGAGCCCATCAACCAGTCGCTATAGTGGATGCACCCGACGAATACACGGGCCCGCCGGCAGAGGTCACACAGTCCGTTACTGTGGTGTGGAAGCACGAGTCAAAAAACAGGAAGAACGCCGATCATGTGAAGGAGATGAGCGACCGGGATGAGTTGACTCAAGTACCCAAGTGTGTCGACGTTACCCTTACCAAGTCAATGCTTGGTCCCGAAGCCCGCGACCGCATTCGCGAGGCGTTCAAACTGCACAAGTTTGATGCCCAACTTGAGCAGCTTACTCTCCATCAAGCCGGAAATGACTTTCCGGCGCTTCAAGCCAACTGGGAGACGATTTTCGACACAGTAGTAAGATACCCCGACTCTACCTTCACCTGTCTGTTTAGGCTTCGCGACGACGGCGAGAGTACATGGGAGTACGGCGGACCACCGGCTGTTCTCCGCGATTTCCTTGAAGCTGAGCACAGAGACGTCGTACTCAAAAACAAACCGACACCAGAAAAGTCGGAGCAAGTACTGCAGGGATTCGTCAAGAACGCGACAGCAAGCATTCCAGGCAAGTGCTTGTAGAAAGATAAGGATGAGAACGAAACGTGGTTCCTATTGCTGATACCAACGACTCTCATGCTCTCTTGAACATAATTTCCATGTATATATTCAACTAACGGACGAATTTCAAAATTGCAACGAGACAAGGCCGCTGAGTTGAGACGGCCGTTGATCTTTCCATCTCTTCTGGTGAATAATGTCGTTGTTTCCAGTCTCCTACCCACCTACCTTATCGAATTTCTCTCGTAGTTCTCAGTCTTCAATTTTCCGACCTGCTAGATGTCTTTGACATCTCCGTACCATCTTTGAGATTTTATGAGGCGTCCAAGTCATTGTCAGCAAGTATGCACAACGTTCATCAGATTCTGCTTCTTACATGCTAGATTTGGTGGTTCCTGAGTGTCACTCCGCAAAATGCTCCAGGCGTACTGGAACGTCCTCGCGGTCTTCGACTGCGGAGAACACTCAGAACTCAACATTGGCTGTAGTAACCCGACAACTAGGGTCGGGCGAAGACGTTGAGTACGCCGGCGGTCTGAGCCACGAGCATAGGACATTGTAGTTTCTTGAACCGTTTGCGGTTGCTCTTTCTACTTGTAATGTCGTGACTGCGTTCTTCTTTGCTATGATGTCGCAGTTCTTCGAAGGCAGCACTGTCGTGCCTTCCATGTTTACCGTCTCGAAAACAACATCACACACAACGACACCGCGCGAGTAAGTCCTTCTCATCCACGCACGCCTCACACCACGCTACAGCCATGCTAACATATCCAGATCGACAGAGATTCGAACAGATTCGTGCTCGGTGGGAGACGATTCCGTTAGCTGAAGGTGAAGCAGCGGCAATGGTAGGCTGGAGGGAAAAGCCGGCAGCTCACCAGGCGGTGAATGGCGAGCCTCATGAGAACGGCGCAACGAAATTTCGCAGAAAGCTCAGCTATGGCTTCGCATTCATCTCAAACCCCCTCTTGCAGCGAAAGACGATCCCAGCTCGCCAGCAGGTGAGTGTGCCGTTATCGACAGCTACCGAGCCCTCCGCGTCCGACATTACTACCGAGGACTCTATCTGTGGACCTCCACTCGCACCAGTGCTGCCTTTCACGCCACCCAAACTCTCTAGTGGTGCGTCCGAGCAGCCCGTGACAGTCCCGCTGAGCAGGACCTTGCCCATGAGCACCGATGTCGACGTCACACCCAAACCATTACCCCGATCACGCACATTGAGCTTCATTCCACTGCCCGTCAGATCTGAGCCTAGCTCCTTCGTCGCAGAGGTGGAGGGGGCAGTGAAATCCCATTCCATCGCGGCAATGCCTCGGCCAGAGCCTAACTCTGCACTTTCGAAGATTCCTACACCAAGTCCGCCATCAGTCGAGCGCCGTCGCTCTAATCCACGCCTACATATCCATCAACACGCTTCATACCGTGCTTCACAGCAGATCAAACACATCGCAACAGCGCACGCGTTAGCAGCCGCCAATAATGGTTCGCCGGTGAGGCATTCATATCAAGTGCGCTCACGTACAACGCCAAATCTCGCAAAAGACTCCAACCCGTCACAACCAGCGCGATTTATGGCCCCAAGACGACCAGGACCTAAGAGAACTGCGAATGCTCCAATAGCTCAGAAGCCAGTGCTACAAGAGAATATACCTACAGATAGGCGCATCACGCACAGGCGGTCGCAAATCCAGGAGAGAACGTTGAAGAGAGAGTCGTTGGCAGTGCCTGGTACTTTGAACAACAGGAGATCGTTTGGGCCAGGGCCACTACTTCTTCAAAGTAGGGAGCCTAGCTTCGCGACCCCATTGCCAGTAAGAAAACGGATGAGTTCACAGTTCGCACAACAAACGCCAGTAACGGTCAAGCGAATACAGCCGCAAGAAGAGACAAAGATACTTACGCCGTCCTCGCCACAGGTATCGGAGGTCACGGTTAACCAGCCTCGTGATATAGGTTATGCAGGATTGACCCCAGAGAAAACCGAGCTTATCGACCCAGTCATGCCCCGGCCACACACGGACAGAGACCTGCAAAGGAAGACACTGGGTACACCCAATGGTTTGGGCGGCGTATGGCGGTCGTCACGCGCTTTGGCATTGAAGACACATGAGGTGAGCAAACTTCCACGTTCTTATACCTTCCACAACCTTGGAGCCAGGCGGGAAGTTGCTCCACCAGTGCCTCGAATTCCAGAGCAGTACCGAACAGTATCTTTTCCAAATTTGATCCAACCAGTACGCATGGACCAGAAGGATACCAATCGATCTCATCAGGACTACATTGTATCCGACACGAACTCCTGCGAGTCGATTCCCGAAGAGACCGAGGATGAGAAGAACACTACTCCCGCCTATCCGCCTTACTATCCTGGAGGAGGGCTCATAGCGTCTGTAGAATCCAGCGGATCTAGTGGCGAAATTTCGGCATTCCCCTCAGTAACAACCACGGCACCGGAGACTGCGAGAAGCACGTCGGGTTCTTCATCAACCAGGCCATGGAGTGTCTTGGAAGAAGGGACGTTGGAAGTTGCTGACATTGAGAAGGTCAAAGACTACATGCCACCGCTTTACTGGGCCGGACGTTTCCAAGCCCGATACGACAAGTGGCGTACTGATGCAATGGACGCCGAACTGAATACAGGTTACCAACCAGATGGCCTCTTAAGACAATGTAAATTGAACCAAGAGAAACTCGCAGCGTGCTACATACTCGGACAACTGCGCGACCTATGTACTTCTGATCAAGCAGCGGATAGCCTATGGGTATATCGATACTGTGTTGAATCAGTTTTCATGTCTTACTAATCGTAACCAGGAGTTTGAGTACAAATATCGAAAAGACAACAAACTACTCGGCAACTCACTCGATATCCCGTCGATGTCGCTTCGTAAACAAGAAGACAGTGCGACATCGGCGGGGACGGGAACTGGACCGTTTGGGCGGGCTATCAGGAAGTTGACTCCGAGAAAAGCTAGTCTAGTCGATTTGATGAAGGGCAAGCGTTGGAACAAATCTGATGAGGCGAAAAGTGAGGATGTAGCAGAAAGGAATCAGGAGACGGAGTCGGAGTGCTCGTGAGACAAACGGAGAGTCGACAATGTTACGACGATATGGATCTTCTGAAGCAAACGATGTTACGATACGCGATGATGAGAATAAAGCAGAGAAGCACAGCATCAAGGACTGAGAGGGTAACGCCTGCGAACGAAAACGTGAATATCCATAGCATATAACTAAACGTCACATGCAGGTTAGGATATTGATACCAAGTTTTTGCATTCTTGCTGGACCTAGTCCTTCTTCTCTGGTTTTGGTGAAAGTTCCTCGACGATGTTGTTAGGGTCCTTCCAAGCCAACGCAACGTATTTGGTGTGACTTCCTCGCGCGAAGACTTCGCCTTTGTTGTTACTGAAGGCGATGGATGTGAAAGCTAGAGTTTTGCCGACTGTGTAACATGTCAACCAAAAGTCCTTTCTGGGTAGCAGTCGTAACTTCAGAAGGCTTACATTTATCACATGTCACTTCGGCTTTGATCAAATCCCCAATCTTGCCGCCTGAAGAAAGGTAGGTCACGTTCAAGTCAGTGGAAACGCCAGTTGCGAAGAGACCACGTGAGGCTACTGCTAGGGAGCCGCCGAGATCGACCATGCTGGCTATCGTACCGCCGTGAAGGATGTTGAGTCTGTTTGTATGCTCTTTCTGGATGTCCAGCTCAAACTTGACACGTCCTGGGACTGCCGAGGTTACTCGTAGCTGAACTCAAGGTCAGACGTGAGCCTTTCGAATGACGAATACCTACTCACACCATCTAATAGTCTGAGGAAAGATGATTTGTCAGTGTTGTGGACATGTTATCAGGATACGAGAAGTACCTTGGCTCCAGGCCGGAGTTGGCTCGGAAAGATTCCCAGACCTATTCAGCTAATCAGGATCGATTTTCGATATACTTCTACCACCATGCGCATACTCACGGATCTCACAAACTTCAATGCCGGCATATTCGGTCCTTGCTCCTCAATGTGCGAAGAGTGATGTCGTGGTTCCGCTCGGCAATTACCTCACGTACCTCGGAAGCTAGACAGGGGTGGAGCGGAATTTGTGGGGTCAGCTTTCCGCTTGCTCGGCGCGTCATCCAAGTACTTTGTTTGGTTGCTTGCCTACAACTTCACTTTGCGGAGACCAAAGGCGCGACGTACGCGTCTCTTTTGCTCGATCTCGCGATATTCTCTCCTCCGAATATGATAATACGGCGGTAGACCGACATATTCTCCTCCACATCCCTCCACGATGTCGGCCTCGTCGTCTGCACAGGCGCTGGAATACTTGGAGGGCCTGCCTATTGCTACGCATAAGAGGCTGTATGAGCAGCCCTCGACTGTGTTGGCGGTGTACCGCTGCATGCTGCCGCATCTTGGTGAGTGCGTACAATGCAGCGATAAAGTAGAGCTAACAAGGTCGCAGCCAAATCCATAGTCATGGCAATGCTCTACAGACCCTCGTCCTTCCCCGTAGCCGACCTCGACGCATGGTTCAAGCCCTCCGCCCGCAGAGAGAAGGAACAAGCCGTATTTACCCTCGAACGCCTGCACATTATCGCCCAAGTGAAACAAGATGACGGCACCATGGCATGGACAATCAGCACAGGCTTCCAGCAGAGCCTACGAAACGCCCTCGAGGGCTCTGGTACGCACCGCTCGTTTGGTGTCCCAGCAACTAGAGAAGAGAGTGGCGGAAAGCGATTGAGCGTAGATTTCCTGGACGAATACTCGAGATCGCAGTGGGAGGGTATACTGTACTATCTGGTTAGCGGTGCGGCTGGGCTCAGCAAGGACAGTATCTCGCGAGCCGAGGTCGGTCCTGGAACGAAGAAGCTGTTACACACTGGTGATCTTGTGAGGACTATACATGGGAGTCCGAGGATCACGAAAGATGGTTTCTCTTTTGTGCTGCAAGAGACGAATGCACAGGTCTGGAGTTTGTTGATCGTGTATCTGAAGATGACGAACGAAGTAAGTGTTGAATCTCACCCCTGCAACGACTATCCTCTTCGGAAGCAGTCAACACCTCCAGGAAACGGTCCTAACATCAATACCAAGCTCGGCATGTCCGAAACCGAAGTCCTGTCCTTCCTCTTCATGCTCGGCTCCCTTGAACTAGGCCAAGATTACTCCACATCCACACTCTCGCCTACACAAGCCCAAATGCTCGAGGATCTCTCCTCAATGGGCCTCATCTACCGCTCCGACAAGAACGCACGAACCTTCTACCCAACCCGCCTCGCCACAACCCTGACCTCCGACTCCGGCAGCGCCATGTCCGCCTCCTCCAACGACATTGCACAAGCCAACCAAGGCAACGCAGGTCCCTCGGCCGCCGCAAACAAAGGCTTCATCATCATCGAAACAAACTACCGCCTCTACGCCTACACCAACAGTCTGATCCAAATTGCCATTCTGAGCTTATTTACCAAACTCCAACACCGCTTCCCCAATCTCGTCTCGGGTAAACTGACAAAGGAATCTGTTCACAAAGCTGTACAGTCGGGTATCACTTCTTCGCAAATCATCTCCTATTTAACCACGTATGCGCATCCCCAGATGCAGAAGACGGTTCCGTATATTCCGCCCACGGTCATGGATCAGATTCGGCTGTGGGAATATGAAGGCGAGAGGGTGGAGACGACTACGGGCTATCTTATGCGCGAGTTTGGTAGTGATGCAGAATATAGGGATGTCTTGGGCTATGCGAGTGCGCTTGGGGTATTGGTTTGGCAGAATGATGCTGGGAGGTGCTTTTTTGTGTCTCATGTTGAGCAGATTAGTGCGTATTTGAGGAAGAAGAAGGAGAGTAGGGAGAGTGCTAGGGCGGGGAGGTAGGGTGTGGAGGGGATAGAAAGGATACGGGTGGGTGGGTAGGAGCATGGGCATGGGCGTTTAGAAGTAGCAGTTATTGGCGTTGGGGGTTAAGTTGTCGATTGACAGGCGTCTGGGGTTACACATTATGAAGGCGAGTGACACTGTAGGGGAGATATATATACCATGATAAGAACTGTTACTTTTCGTTTCTCGTGTGTCTGAGAGAGAGAGCAATCTCGGTGCATTCTTATGACCTTGACTAGAAGGACAATATCGTGGCAAGAGGAGTGTCGACTTCCCACGATCCTATCAACGATCTTGAACATGCATAACCTTGTATACCACTACTTCGCTAGGTCCATCACGCTGAGCCTCAGGCCCTTTTCTTCAGTGTATACGCGATCGTGATCGTCTAACAGCTTGATTGCTAACTGTCTTGCCGCATCGTTCATAATTGGTCGGGCCTTTCTCGCAGCCTTGGAGTCAAGCTTCGCTCGTTGTTTGTCCGTAAGTGGACGTTCATGCGTCTCCTCTTCTCCAAGAGCGATCGCTTCACGCGCGCGAAGTTCCTCTGCTGAGATTGTTGAACCGCGCTGTCCGGAATCCGTCCACTCGATGTCACTGAACCTCTCTGGTTTCTTCCTTAGTCTCTCCGACTTCGGATCGACGATATTCTTGGGATCAACGTTCAGACCCTTCTCAGGGACTACCTTAGCGCCCCTGCGGAGTTCATCTTGTTCTTCTCGCTCCTTTTCCTGGGCCTGCCGCTGCCTCTTTAACAATTTCTGAAGCTCTTTGTTGCAGGGATCATCTTGGGCTGCGTGCACTTCCACATGATACTCGTTGAGCATTTCGACAGCGAGCTTACGGATTTCTGGGTCCTGAGCTCTTGTAGCCAACTCAACCACATATTTATCGGGCTTTTTCGACTCCCAATAACCACACAGTGAGTTCTTGACGAATATCTTAACGATGTTCACCGTTTAGAAGTAGCAGACATTGGCGTTGGAGGCTACCATGGATTGACTGTCGTCTGGGTTGCACGTTTGGATTCGATGTATCCATCTTCTCTGAGTATTGAGTAATTCGATATGATGTTTCTCATCTTATGTATTCTACTGACCTTGTAGCGTCTACGGGAAAGAGCGCCTGCTGTTTGACTACCTTCTCTCAGCCCCCACATACCAAGGTTGCTCTCACCTGGCATTCCTCACTCTCACCCTCCACTATCATCTCCACAACAACCGAGATACCCATATATCAGTATCACTATATCAAAAAGAGAAAGTAAATATCTCGTAGGGCAGAGTAATTCTTCCTACTACAATAAAGCGTATTAGATCTATACAGATATGAATAGAAAGTCTTGAAGACTACAATGCTACTTTTTTCAATAAATCTTCTTGTTAGAAGACATTGTGGACTGTAAGGTATACCTTATTATTTCTACATCTGTCTAACTTTTCCTTGTATGAGTTGGTATTTTCAGTCCCTTGTTCTACGATCTCCCGTCACAACAAGACTCTGAATAATCCTTTGGAATACTGGATGCGCATCTCGGGTTGACCTGATCGATACCTTCACCGTATATAATAGGAAACTCGAACGGGTATAGGAATAACATGTCCTAGCTTATTACCTACGTTAGCTTCTAAGAACAAACTCTAGGAAGATTAATAGCATTGTAGACTTCTAGATCCTCTATCTATACCTAGGAAGGTCTAAACATGATTTATTGTAGTGGGTATAAGTACTTTGCTCTAAAGACATGTTTAGTTTCTCTCTTTGAGGTAGTGTTGTGATAAAAGACTACTCGGGTAAGCGAAAAACGCCATCGTTCCTTCGTTCTGGTAACCTTAACTTGTATTGACCCTGCTTTCGTTACATTACTATGGAGATTAATGAGGTTAAAGATTGGCCACTGAAACAGAATCTTATGAGCCTGACGTCGGATGAGATTCTGCGAACATACCAAGAAAATGAGTTTGTAGATAGGCCTTGCAACAGGCATCGTGTACAGACAAGGGCGCCCACCGCATGCAAGCGCTATTTGTAGAGCTAATACTGTCTTCCCAAGCCCTGTTTGGTCGGTAATGATGATACTGAGAATCTTGAGGCGACGGAGCTTTCTGCGAGCACTCTTGACGTCGGGACTGGTATCGTCATCGGAAGGGATCTTTCCATACAGCGCAGAAAGGGCCTATGATGCACCAGTGAGTTGATGCGGCTTGACTGTGCGCTTGGCCTTAGAGGCATCGAATTTGGTATAGGCATATACTTCTTCGCCCCCCTGGTCGACCCGTCGCATCTGCAGCGCGCGCGCCGACGTTTGAATCGAAGGCCCGACAGCAGCCAACGTTCCGCCCATGGCTGTTTGGTACGAGTAGTACCGCGTGCGCACGCGGCCTGCACATCGTCGCTTTCGTCGTCATTGTCGTCGTCATCTGCCATTTTTACGTCGATAGACTGCATCGCTCCGTCTTGGTGTGCATCAATGAGAGTCGCCTGCTGCGCTTCGCTGAACTTGCGTTTGGGGGCTTGACCTCATCGACATTGTGGTGAAAAGACTACTCGGATGAGCGAGTGCCTCGGACTGGATGACTGGCTTTCTGTTCTACCCTCGCAATCATCACGTGTTCTGTTCCATCTCTGATTTTGCACTCTTGTATCACTCTTGCTCATCTTGGTAGAGTAATGTAGATGCAAAAGCGTGGTAAAATACTCGGGGTAAATTGGGGCGTGCCGTGACAATACGTCTTTTCCAAGGGCGCAAAACCCGAAATCCGTCTAGCCTTTCGACCTCAGCATACGTGGCAGTCTATCTGGTAGGCTGTGCATGTGCGCCACAATGACGATCGGCCCCGTAAGTAAATATTCAGCGGGGTATCACCAACCTTCATCTCGAATTCGATGACTGTCCGCCCAGATCGTATAGGAAAGTAGTGCGTTGATTGAACTTGATTCTGATTTTCAAAGCCGATGTAATTTCCATGGTAATATAACGAACGCCAAGTCAGTACAAATTAAGGTTACCAGAACGAAGGAAAGATGAGGTTTCTCGTAATTACCTTGTGGATAAGGCACTTATTTCTGTTTCTAGACTGTCTTGAGTTCTCCAATACAGGACACCATTCATAGGCGCAGTCGGATCCGTGTATCTCTGAAGCGACTACGCCTTGCCTCACCGATGCTCCTCGTCTTCGTTACAAAGCCATAATCTACTAGCTAGTGTCATCCTCAGCACAGCCATGATGTCCGTGGAACATTGCTCCTTCTCGCGCAAAACGCCTAATCGAAACTCACCGGTGGACTGCATAATTGGAAAAGAGGGGCATCACTCTAGACCAGTCGAGTGAAGATAGCCTGACGCCACAGCTGACGCGCCCTCAACGTATGCAAGGTGACGAGAGGTCCTTCTGCATCCCAAACACGTAGTCCAGCGAATTCGTAAGGCATACTCAAACACGTCAACAAGGCAGACTCTGTGACTGCAGAAGGGCAACAGGGCAACGTTTCGTCGGGCACCAACGCTGGCTCAACAGTCTGCCGTGCTACAAGCGTCCTCTCCAATTGGCATGTCATTGAGAAAGTCGACTGCGGGGAAGGGCCAATGCATTGCGTATAGGAGCGAAACTGTAATCACCCTAGAAGTAAGCTGACTGCAGAAAAAAAGGAAGCATACGATGGCAGTCATCCGATCTTTGAAGAGACAGACGATGCAGAAGGCAGATCCATGTCTCATAGAAGGGGGGAGGGGGGAGGAGGGAAGGATCAGTGTTGTGGGCTTTGTACCTAGGCATGTTGAATTCAAAGTACTCAGAACGACCAAGACGTTTGATGAAAGTGTTATGATCTAGAAAGCTGCTGGAGGGAAATGTCATGATATGGGGAAATGACAGGGAAGCTGATATAGTCAAAAGGATTTAGCAGCAAAGGAAAACGCTGCTGTTGATCCATGGGTTTCGACGCGACAGCCATTCTTAGTCAGGAAGCACTGAGGTACTGCCAAGGAGAGATTCGGAGCTTAAGGTAGTCGGAAGCATGAAGGAGAGCTTCCCAGACTAGTGCGAAATGTTTCGAGGCGCGCGACAGGCCCGTTGCTCGTATCAGTCGATGGGAAGCATCCGCACCTCCTCCTGTAGTCATACCCTCAAGGAATACAACAGCGACTAAAGGACATTGTCGACGATCACAAGATAGCAGAAAGGTATCCTGCTCAACTGATAAACAAAGGTAAGTCAAAGAAGACTTTGTGAATGCTTGAGAGCAGAAGCTCATCCCTGGGTTCGACAAGCTGGCTGCCGCTGACGTAGGAATCCAGACGAAGATGGCAGCAGAGGCAAGAAATGTTTCCGGTGGAAAGGGATGGTCGAATGGGGACATCTTCCAGTTGGTAGCTCTACTCATAGGCATTCCGGCAGCCGTAGTAGCGTTCGTCGTGTTAGCAGCGTATTACAGACGAAGAAGGCAGCGACGGAGAGGTGAGACACTTTTTCCTCGGAGTGATCGGGTACAAAGGCCGCTTGGAGCATATACTGCGTCACAAACACAGGGTATCTCTCATCGCCATTGTGTGACTCACGTTATGCTTTGAAGGCGAGGACCAGTGATGAGACTGCCAGGCCCACGACCAGCTTCGGTAGTGGATGGTTGTATACTTCTGCCTGCAGCTGCAATCCCAAGTTGTGTACGGAGTCTGCTAGCCCATGGGTGACAACGAAGGCGGGAAGCGGTGGTGTGGGTCGATTAGGCTGACAACTACCTACAGATCGCGTTCTTGGAGAAGCAGCTGGTAGTAGGGATACGAATCTGCTTGAAGGTGAAGATGGTCTGTGGAGTATTTTACCTGTGGTGAGACTAACGAGTGGTCAGATGCGGTCCACATCCCTGACCCGACGGTAGGTGTTGCAACAGTAGCGTTTCCTAAGCGAGTTTGGCATTCGACAGTGCGGCGAGGACGTGTGACTTGGCCATTGATCAGGTCGTCGCGGGCGAAGGCAAGATGTGTTCCAGTCGAGGCCTTGGGAGGTTTTTTGGCTGCACAGACTTCGACGTCAGGCACTCCGCTTGCTAGGAGGGAGACAGGGCTACATCAGATAGGGACAGAGTTCCGTGACGAGGTTGATGCGTATGTCGAGCAGGAGCGGCGAGACTGGCTTGAGGAACTAGTGTGACAGGAGATCGTTGTTCTGGATGAACCTTATATGCGGTTATCGCTAGGCTGCGGCGGGAAGAGCAGTAGAAGGTCTAAAGCGGGGATAGTAATCGAAAGTATATGATTCTAATGCGCAACGAAGTTGATCATGACAGTAACGTGACAGTAACCATGGCAGTTAACGAGACATACCATTGTGTTGAGGCTGTCGGGGTTAAATATGCCAAGCAAAGTAAAGATAGTGATGAGATTGCGGATGAAGGAAGACGGATGGCCATCATGAGTGAAGGGGCAGTTACTGTTTCGTTCGATACACTCGACATATATTGCTAGCCAAGTACCGCCTTCGTCAGCGCTGAGCCTTGTGACCCACTTTTTGGAAGGTCATCCAACACTAACAGCCCCAGCCAATCACGGTAGGAGCATCAGCCAATCAGAGTAACGACAACAGCCAAGGCCACGTGGGTGCATGGGTCTAACCTTGTCAAGGCGTTTGCTTACTCTGTCGCGAGTGGAGCGACGCAAGCGGCCACACCGATGTTCCCTCTGGCGAATAGGACGATGAGTCGAGCCTAAGGTTCCCCATTGTTAGAAGGCTCGATCAAAGCAGGCTGTAGGATATTCTCGGCATCAAAGCCTCCAATGTCACGCTATTGCTCGCCTTTTACTACCAGTTGAAGTATCGACTTAACAACCATGATTCTTTGTCGTCGTTGATGTTTGCGTCTTGATCGTTGGCAATCATAAGCATGTGAGAAGCGTTGTGTGGGGTCTTATCATGGTGTGAAAAGTGCAATAACTGGAAGCCATGCACGGTGCAGACGTGCAGGGCGCAGACTGCTGGCGCGAAGGAGCTTGCGCCAACTGTCAATTGCCGCTTCTCTGCCTGGATATGCCTTTGCGTGGACATACCACCCTGGTCCGTAAATCGAGTTTTTTTGTTCGACTCTGCTGCGAAAGGTTACATAGGGCGTGAAGCTAAACCAGTCAATCAATAAATGTGCTGCTGAGGGTGGCGTAGTCTTTCTGTTCGACTTCAGCTCAAACTCAGCAAAAAGCACAAGGAAAGCCTACTAGAGTTGAATGCAGCGAATAGATCACGTAGACACTAAGCAGCAGTCTTTAGGACAAGAAACATTGTGGAGTTATGATAAGTTGTGTGTGTCGACAGATGGCCTACCGCTACAAAGCATAGTGTTAATGCTCCTCAAGACTCCACTTTGCTTAGGAGCGTGGTTGGTGCCACACATGCGCGAGGTCGGGAGGTAGTCAGATAGGCCAGGCCACCTCTGTTATCTTACCCCTTCTAGAACTTAGTGCGCAGAGAAAACTATAGATTATAGACAGCCTATGTATACCAATGCTCAGCTTGCAGTGGTAAAGCATACCGTTGACTGTTTCTTCAGAGCCTCCACCTTACTCAGGAGACGGCGCGACCAGGATTGCCGGCAATGCTAACAACGAATAGGAGCCTAGACATCTTTGACCAGACGGTACTATGTATCGATGATGCGAGAGGAGTGCTGGTGATCGCCTTGGACTTCAGCAAGGAGGTTGTGTAGTTTAGGCCTCTGCTGCAATGATATGACGCATTGCCATACGTAGGTGGGCAAATTTCATCCTCCATAGAATTCTAGACATGTAAGAAAACTTGAGGGGTACGCACTGCTGATCTCTTTCCTCGTCATAATTGCCATCTAACCTTCCTTTCAATCAGTACGGAAAATATATCGGTGAGAATTAGAAGCGTGATGACATCAAGCCAACAGAGTGACGACTGGTAGCACAACAATATCCAGCAGCTTCAACAACCACGGCACCACGCCAAGAACCACGGTAGTACAGGAAGTCAGCTAGGAGAATGAGTGACTCCAGGCAATCGCTATGAATCAGCGACACCTAACATCCAGATTCTATAAAGAGAACAAGAAACCTTCTATACAATAACTCCAAACCAAGGAAATTCACCACCCAAACTTCTCCACCTGAACATCAACATCCCTACCCTTCCAAACCAACCCCGCACACGTATTCCTCACATCCCTCACCAACCCATCCGGCCCACTAACCACAACCCCACTCCTCGCACCCCCCTCCTCTTCCACCCACTCCCTTACAATACCACCAACATCCGGCCTCCCCGCCAAACTCGTCGGCGGCGAAATAACCACATCAGCGCCCCAATCCTCCAATTCCTTCAGCTTATCTTCCGGAATCCAAAGTCTATGGTCAGGCGAATGTGTTATCCACAGCAACTTTACTTTTCTCATAGTCTTTGATGACGAAGTCGTCGTCTCGGGGTCATGTGATGAAGAAGAAGAGGGCTGTAAGAGGGCGTAGAGGAGGGGGTATGCAACTGCTATGCCGGACCCGCCTGCTACCAGTATAGCTGTTGAAGAGGATTCCAGGAGATCGAGGGCGTGGGACGAGCCGTAGGGTCCATCGAGGCGGATACGCAGGTGTTGGGTTGAGGGCTGGGATTGTCGTGCGTGCTGAAGGAGGGTGTGTGTGAAGCCTGATGGGCCCTGTGGGCGGATTAGAAGGGAGAACCAAGCATGTTTTCCTACCTGGTCCTCTTGCGTTGACGTTGGAGTTTGTGTTGGCGCGGCGGAAAAGATGGTAAAAGGGTGAGATTGGATAGCGTGTTTGCGGGAGAGACTCGGTACGGAGATGAAGATGTGTTCGTTTGGTTTCCAGCCTTGCTTCATGTTGCTGTTGCCCAGGACCCCGGCTATCTTATTCTTGATATCGACTTGCCAGTTTGCGGATAAGAGGAGTGTTTCGTCGTCTTCAAGGACCGTGAGCGTAGCAGCATGCGTGCTAGATTTCAACCACATGCGATAAACCACGCGGTCGACAATCCAAATGGCAAGGGACACGCCCACGTACGGCCGCGAAGTATGATGATGGAACCATAGGAAAATCAGGCCAGCAACTTGAAGCACAATGTGCAGACCCAAAAACACCTCGTACCACCTCTTCCTGAAGCTGCCCAGACTCGTAAAGTAAATCACCTCATACGCGACCAGCGCTGCCAAACCCAACAGCACAACCCGGTTGAACAGGAATTTCGCCAGCGTGAAACCCAAATGGCGCAGCATGCCATACCATACCGCCACCATGCCGAGAAAGTGCAGAAACGCTTCCAAACACACCAGCTCCCCTACTCTTCTATGGAAGATATTCAGACTCTCGTACGAATAGCCCGTCAACCGTTTTATCGGCTGGTTTTTGGCGGCGAGGAGGTAGAGGAGCGGAAGGTTCGCGATGAAGATGATTCCGCAGCGGTCGGCAAAGACGAAGAGGTACATGAAGGAGAGTGGCATGCGGTACAAGTTGTAGAAGATGTTGAGGGCTATCCAAGCGACGACAAGTAAAGAGACGGCGTTTGTAGGGAGGGTCTTGTTGACGATGGGGATGCGCGGGGGTTGGTATTGGAGGAGAGACTTGACAAAGTAGTATGGAGTCCATACTCCAAGTTTCCTTCGTTGCGGTCGCGATCGCTCGGGGACGGGAAGGAGAGGGCTTAATTCATCGGCATGGGCGGAATTTAATTTCTTCGCGGTGGTGGTGGTATCCGGGGGTGTCGCGTTCCCTTCAATCGTACTGCTCGAGCTACTCCAAACTTCATCTTCTTCGTGCGCGGCCCCATCAGCTTGCTTCGCTATCCGTTGCCTCTTCCGCCTGTGCAATACAACCTTCTCCCCCCAATGCCACACGGTAAACACTCCCAATACACCCAGCAACACCAGATTATACGTATTCAGAAACCTCCGACTGAACAATATGGCCTCGACCAGTTTGCGGAACCGCGGGTCTTTGCCCGGGTCATCAGGATCGGTAAGGTCGCCGCCGCCAGCCGCTTTGAAGGCGTCATAGTCGTGAGCGAACCACGGGGTTTCGGTTGACGCAGTCGCTGTCAGAGCGAATCTGAGGGCGTCGCGTAGCCATGGCGGTGTCGTGTCCATGGTGGGTGATGTTCTACATGTGGGGTGCAAGATGTTTGGATGAGCAGCGGCATGGCATGGCATGTCAGATGGTAATGTTCCAGTTTCCCCACATGCGACTCGCGTCATCTACGCACGCGCGTGCGCGGGTTATCATGTGGCTGCCGATAAGCTTATCGAGAGGCGCCGAGGCATGCATAGTCCCATTTCGACGGCGTGTACTCTTGCGAATGGAAGCTCCAAGTCCAGGTTTACGGTCTTATATACGGCGGTACTAGAGAATAGAGAAGAAGGCTCTGTAGGTGATACGATTTTATTCATGATGATGTCGATCCATGCCCGTCTACTAACTTCACAACCATCAACATCTATTTGTTTGCCCAGTTGGCCTTCTCCTTTGCTGCAAATGCCGTCATTCCAATCTTCTGATCCTCGCTTCCAAACAGCCCATGGAAAACCCTCCTCTCATACTCGACACCCTCTCGAATACCCAGCTCCTGACTCTTGTTCACGACTTCCTTGGCCGCCTTGACAGCAATCTGGCTATACCCCGCAATCTTCTCCGCCGTCGCAATAGCACCGTTCACACACTCCTCGGGCGTCTTAAACACCTTGCTAACAAGCCCCCACTCGCTAGCCTGCTGCGCAGTAATGTTGTCGCCGGTAAGAATGACCTCCATAGCCCTCGACTTTCCAATCGCCTTGGTCAGACGCTGTGAGCCACCCGCACCGGGTATGACGCCTAGTTTGATCTCGGGTTGTCCAAAGACGGCTTTGGGGCCTGCGTACATGATGTCGCCCATCATGGCGAGTTCGCAGCCTCCACCCAGCGCATATCCGTTCACAGCCGTGATCAGAGGCTTCTTGAGGAAGGTGACGAGGTCGGACCAGGATTCTATAAAGTCTTTACCGTATGCGTCGCTGAAAGTGAGGTCCTTCATTTCTTTGATGTCGGCACCTGCTGCAAAGGCTTTTTCGGAGCCGGTGAGGACGATGGCGCCGATGGACTTTTCGGATTGGAAGTCGCGGAGGGCTTGGTTGATCTCGAGGATGAGTGGGGTGGAGAGGGCATTGAGGGCCTTGGGGCGATTGATTTGGACTTGGATGCATGGGTCAAATACTATTTTCCAGAGAGTATGGTGATGGTAACATACTCAAGCCAACGCCAGGCTTAGCCTCGGACACAAGCAGATGCTCGAATGACCTCTGCGTGGCATATCCCCTTAGGAGTCTGGGTAGACCGGTTGACCGGAATTGAGACGCCGCTCTCGGTGCTGATCGTAGTGCCTGCATCTTGAGTGTAATGAATTGAGCTCCGACTTGCAGTACAGCTCGGGCAACAAGTATTTACATCGGAAGAGTGGATGTATGAGCTCAGAAGCTACCATACAAGTGGATAGTATCGGCACCTCGGCAAAGTCGCGCAACGCCTGCCAAAAGATGCCCGTCATCCCACCTTGCGCTAGGGTAAGCTACGTTGGTCCAAGCGCCGGGGGCGGCGATCTAAGCCCCAGCCTTGCGACGTATTGATGTTCGCCGTTGAACTTTTTGACACGATACCCTCAACAAGAACGTCGCCTCTTCACTCACCCGCATCGCCCCGCGCGCACATACTCGACTCCTCGCCGTCGCCATCTCCATCTTACCACCCCACACCTCCAAGCGAGACAGCGACAGCAGCCATGGACTCCCCCGAACCAGACACCCCTTTCAGCGCCGTCACGGCGCAAACCACAAAATACGGCCGCATCTTCCAGACCTACCTCGACAAGTCAACGCCCTACACTCCCTACAGATGGGGCGGCACAGGCTTCCTCTTCTTCCTCTTCGGCCTGCGCATCTTCTTCGCACAGGGCTGGTACATTGTTGCCTACTCACTGGGCATCTACCTCCTCAACCTCTTCCTCGCCTTCCTGTCCCCCAAGTTCGACCCCGCGCTCGAGCAGGATGAGGGCATGGAAGACGGCACCGCAGGTGCAAGTGGACTGCCTACCAAGGAGGATCAGGAGTTTAGGCCTTTTGTGAGGAGGTTGCCCGAATTCAAGTTTTGGTACTCAACCACAAAGGCCATTGCCATTGGATTCTTCTGCAGCTGGTTCGAGATATTCAATCTGCCGGTTTTCTGGCCGGTGCTGGTGGTGTACTGGTTGATTCTTTTTGGGTTGACGAGTAAGTGGGGAATCCGAATGCATTCATTCACATGAGTATTGGGCGAGGCTAACAGCGTTCTAGTGCGACGACAGATTCAGCATATGATCAAGTACCGCTACGTCCCTTTTACCGTCGGAAAGACACGGTACTCTGCCAACTAAGTCGCTCGACTTCGACCGACCGTCTACTTTCACTTCGTCGGATCATGGTCCTCTATATTGGGAGGGAAGGCTATTATTCAAGACATGGGCGCTTTTTTTCTTTAGGTCGGCAATAGACTTCGGGCTCTCATGTCCGCAACTCGGGGTTGCTATGCTATAAGGAGAGGGTGCTGGCACGATAACGGCTGATGTGTACACGTAGCAGGAAGCATGCCAAGATGCTATATCTTTAATATTGAGAAAAGACAAACACCATTATGCACGCGTGCACAGTTGAACATGCACGCAAAGATATGAATTCTAGGTATCTGGTAACGATATAGACTAATGTGGGGGGAGTACAGCTCTGATGTGCAAAGAAAAGAAACGACAAATGGCCCACCCATGCTATGAGACAAGGCCACAAACAAGAGACCGAGAGATGCAGGAAACCCAGCCTACTCCATACGCAGAGCAGGAGCCTCCAATTTCAACTCAGCCAAACTCGTTTTCCTCAGCCGCGGCGACCCCGCTTTGACATCCTCATGTCCAATCCCCGCCTCCTTTGTGCATATCCACGTCGACGCATACATATTCACACTATCGGAACGTTAGCAAACCATCCCATCCCAATCTCTTTCCGCCACCAGCAGGGAATCAAACTTACCGATCAATACAACTACCCGGCACCCTAACCGCCACCCTCTTGGCCCCAAACCCGTTCTCAGTAAACACCTTGATATACCACGGCTCCAACCCCGCACTCCTCAGCATCACCCGCCCCTTGACCTTTAACGCGCGATTCAGTGCTCTAATCTGCTTGACCGCCTGGTTCCCCTGCGGCGGGAACCAATCCATACTATCCATGACGACGACAATGGTCAACGTCGCCGGTCTCATTCTACTAATCACCTCTGAGATTTCGTCCGTGTGGATGCGCAAGCCGTTGAACGCGGCTGGTTTACTGAGCTTGACGTGGGATTTAGGGGACAGGTAGGTGGGGTGCGAGGTGGGCGTGTAGTGGCCGAGGAGGGTGAGGAGGTAGTAGTGGTTTGATGTGGAGAGGAGCGTCGTGTTGATTACGGGCTCGAAGGTGTTGAGGACGTATTCGTAGATTGCATTTCCGCTGCTGCTTTTCAGGGCGTCGTCGGAGGGTTCTTCGTGGAAGGCCATGTAGTCGGCCGCCGAATCCTTTTTCGCGTGTTGTTGTGACGGCGATGATGGCACGTCGAAGTCGTCCGTCTTTTTGAAATCTGCTTCGATGACGGCTCGTTGGGCGGGCGGGACGCCGAGGGCTTTCCAAAGCCACTTTTCGTTTCCGAGTATGGCCCAGGTGAGGATCTTGGAGTGGAGAACGGTTTTGATGGAGCGTTGCCAGATTTCTCGTTGTTCGTTTAGAGTTTGTGCGGTGCAGAGTTTGCGGACGTCGGATGTCATGCCTAGGATGTGGAAGAGCCAGGCTGACATTGTGATGGCGTTGCCCGAACCACCAGAGTAGTAGAGACCCTTTGACGACGAGGCGGAGAAGACGGACGGGCCATTGTGCAGCCAGAACTGGAAAGCTTCGGACGAGAGGTGAGGGCTGAGTTTCTGGATCAAGAGATTGTGGAAGTCGGGGTGCTTGCCTTCGCCAAAGAGTTTCCAGACGTCTTGGTAAGGAAGGGCTGTGAAGGCGGCCACTTTGAGCTCGAGAAGGTGGTTTTGGCTGGGATTGAGGTCGACGGCGTGGACACGCCGGCAGTTTTCTAGACAGAAGGCTAGGATGTTGTCGCCGGCTGAGCCAATAGCAAGAACGACATCGTTGGAAGTTGGTTTGAGAAGGCGCATATCTGCTACGTCGTCCTCCCAAGTGAAGGCGTAGATGTAGGAGTTGTTGAAACGGGTATGCTTGGGAAGGGCGGAATCGTAATGGATGCGCCAGTGGTGATTCTGGTACCATGTTGCTGGGAGAGGTAGACTGGATTGGAGGTTCACGACTGCGGATTCGTAGGCTTTTGAATGTACTTCGACGTCCGTCTGTGTAGCTCCTGTTTGCAGGTCAAGAGCCGTGAGGTAGGGCGATTCGGTAGCGGCCGCGTCGATTTCAGCAAGCTTCTGTGTAGACGCGCCGTGTTCTTTCGAGCAGCCGAGCCAGATGAAGTAAGGGAGCTTGATGCCAGTGCCGAAGAAGTTGTTGCGAGCATTGATACTGAGGACCGTGCCAAACCGGTACTCAAGATAATCCTACGAACTGTCAGAATTTATTCTTATATCGCTGAGAATCGACATACTCGTCGCGCAGGCTCAAGATTTACACGGTCAATCTCAAACCATGTCCGCCAGAATACACGTGAGATCCACATGCAGTGACGGTCGATAGCACCGCCCATGTAGTTCCTACCCATGAAGTCGACCTGGTTCTGTACGTAGAAGTCGACAACGCCGATAACACCATTTGGACTCATCAAGCTGTCAATCGAGTCGATGACGGGGTAGAACTCGGGTATCATGCTCAAGGCATAGCTCATGGTGACGAGTTCAGCACCACCGGCATCTGCGTTCTCGTCGAGGTCGCGAACAGTTTGACCTTGAGAGATCATTTCCTTGCGCTCGTAGGCTTGCGGTTCGTGTTCATGAAGGCGAAATGCACGCGCATCCTGGCAGATGACCTTGACGTTTGTCCAGCCGAGGCGGGCAAATCGTTTCCTGGCCATCTCACACAGTGAAGGAGAGAGGTCAACGACATCTGCGATCATCAGTAATGCTCTACTTTTTGATTTCAGCCTGACTCACACACTGCGCGGAAGAAGCTTGCCACTGGTACGAAAGCATTCATCTGTTCAACACTATACTTTTGTTAGGTAGCGAATCTCAAGCTTGATGACTGTGCAATTACTTGTGACCAGTTCCTCCACCAATCTACTCTTGTCAGCAAATCAACCAACCCGAATCATTATTGCTACATACATCAACCCAGACAGGGCGCTGGGAGATTAAGTTCGCTTCTGTACGGTGCTTCAGTTGCGCAGCGACCAGCCCCAACATATCCTCACGACCCCGAAGAAGCTTAAGACGCGTGGCATCGTAGACATCAGCCTGAGCTTTGTAGAAACTTTCCTATTCATTCGGTTAGACAAATCCAAAATTCCCTCTTCCGTCAATCTCACCAAGGCATCCTGCTGGCTCCCAGATCCGTCGCCAGTGTGCGGCTTCAAGAAGCAACCATAGATGAACTTGAGGTATGCTTCAAACGTGCTCGGCGCCTGCTCTTTACTCCTTGGCCTGAACGCAAGAGCAAAGACGACGGCAAGAAACACGCCGACGACACACAGAGTAACCGTAAGTTGGTGAAACGGGTCACGCGGAACAAAGGTTGAAAGGCCCAGCATAGCTGCGACTTTACAACAAGACAAGACAGCTCGAAGCAATGATCAGACAAGAGACGAAGGGAAAGAGGTAAACACAACAAAACAAAAAGAAACCCCACAACCACAATGGAGGGGTTATATGAGAACGCATTCCGAGAGACATGGGCATCATTCCGACTTCGGTTCGTCATACTGCATGTCCATATGATGGTAGACCTGTCACCCCACTAGGCGAGGCATCGTCTTCATGTCTCAGACAGCTATCAGCCAATGGAGCTCGCCACATGTTCTGATGATCTCGAATCGGCGCCTGGCAACCTGCTCGCAGATTCACCAACACTCTACCATAATGTTACGGGACTGCCTCTCGTAGACAACCCCGCTAGAGGCGGCTATGCAGGGTCTGGTAGAACCGAGAGTTTCTCCAGATCTCAAAGGGACGGAGACAACGGTCGGCCTATCAAAGAAAGGTGTCGTTGCGCGTGGGTGTGAGGTGCCTGGTGTTGAGGTAGCATTGTAAGGATGGTTGAGGTTGGGTGCTTGGGACGGGAGCCAATGAGGAGTGGCGAGGGAGGGCGTGCCAAATCCACTGACGGGAATGCAGGGACGGGGTTGCGCTTCGAGAACGTGTGGGCATAGCGCGACTCCACGACATGGCTCGGCCTTGTTGCCTCCATGCAAGTCACTTTGGATTATCTGGTGCGCGAGGCGACGATCCGGAGGATGTCGGCATCTGCGAGCCTTGTGCAATCGCATTAGCTAAGATCTGAAGCTCAGGCTATCAATCACCGTTGGGGTTTGAGATCAGGAAGATATTCGTCTCGAGTTGGGCTTCGCGAATGTCTGAAATGATAATCATAAGCAAGAAGCAGATGTCGTTGAGGCGTAGTGCCGGCGTGATGCTCCAGCACGCGGTGATTGTCATCCACCCAGGTCCTGCAAATGTCAGCCTTCATTCTGTCACATTCTTTTCGGGTGACTGTCGTGTTGGAAACTGATTGAGTCATCGTGAGTATCATGATAGAAGTAAGCGTACTGTGTGCGGCCCTCGTTCTTCATGAAGTGTGCTGTTCACGAGGCATCCAACCCGAAAGTCACGCTAGATGACTGCGACCCAACCTTGTTATTCGTAATCGTTATTCCCGCTATGGTACTATGCTGAAGGTCTAAGTATTATTACAAGCCTGGCATTCGAGTGCAAGCCACCACCATCCAACCACACTTTAAGCGTAGAAGTTGACCGTGTCCTTCTTCTTAGCCTGCACCTCAGCAATAGCATCAACGTAATGCTCGTGACTAATCTTCTGGTGACCAGTCCGGAGAGCGATCATACCAGCCTCGACACACACAGCCTTCAGCTGCGCACCGCCGAACTCGTCGGTACTACGCGCCAACTCTTGCCAGTTGACAGCGTCGTCAACCGTCATCTTCCGCGAGTGGATGCGCATGATCTGTGCGCGAGCCTCCTCGTTGGGTAGCGGGAATTCGATCTTCCTGTCCAGACGTCCAGACCGTAGCAGAGCAGGATCCAAGACGTCGACTCGGTTCGTCGCAGCAAGGACCTTAACACGGTCGTCTGAGGCGAAACCATCCAACTGGTTCAGCAACTCCAACATGGTTCGCTGAACTTCCCTGTCTCCGGACTTCTCGGAATCGAATCGCTTTGTACCGACGGCATCCAACTCGTCGATGAAGATGATTGAGGGGGCCTTTTCTTTCGCCAGAGCGAAGCAGTCACGGACCAACTTTGCACCGTCACCGATAAACATCTGTACGAGTTGTGGACCGGCGAGCTTGAGGAACGTGGCGTCGGTTTGCGCAGCGCAGGCTCGGGCGAGAAGAGTCTTTCCGGTACCAGGAGGGCCGTACATCAGTGCACCTGTAATGGTTAGTTGTAGTCGCGGAATGAGCGTAGGAGCTACTCACCCTTTGGCGCCTTGATGCCAATCTTCTTGAATCGCTCAGCCTCCTTCATAGGCCAGACTACAGCCTCGACAAGCTCCTCAATCTGCTTGTCCAGACCTCCGACATCAGTGTACTTCTCAGTCGGCTTCTCGTCAACTTCCATAGCCTTCACCCGACTGTCGTACTCTGCGGGTAATGTATCGAGAACGAGGTATGAGTCCTTGTTCACACCAATGAGGTCACCGGGCTTGAGCTTCTCGTGATCGACTAGTCCGATGAGGGGCAAGAAGATGGTCTGTCGCGTAGAGGTCTTGATAACGGCCGACTTGCCGACGCGGGTGGCGTCTAAATCGATGTTTGCTCCCTCCTCAGCGGCTTCTTCGGTGACGTCCAGATCAAGAATCTCGACGACGTTTCCAACGAGATAGGGTAGTTGCCTGTGAGATGTAAGTCTGTTGTTCGAAACACCGCCACGCGGGGCCGACAGCGGTCACATAGATGTCATACCTATTGTTCTCGATCTTCTCTAGGTTGTCCTTGATCTTCTCGTTCATTGAGGCCTTTTCGTGTGTGAGTCGTTGGTACTCGCTCTTCATGATGCGCATGTCATTCTCCAGTAACCGCCTTCGTGCAACGATGTCTCGTGTGCTTGAGTTGAGGATTTCCTCGTCGAGCTGCTCCTCCTCTGGCTCCGCGTCCTCCATCTCTGCATCGCCATCGGCCTTCTTTCCTTGTTTGTCTCCGTCTTTCTTATCATCGTCCTTCTTCTCTTCCTTCTCGTGACGCTCGATGTCGTCGAGATCTTCGAGTGTAGACATGGTGGCGGTCTTATCTGGGTGACTTTACGCGGGTGCAGTGAGAGGAGATGGATGAGCGAGTGCAAGAGTGATTGTGGAGAGTGACGCCGATAGTGAAGTTGTTGTTGTGCGGCGGTGATGTGGAGCTGTAGAGGCAGCTCTGGATTACGAAGGTACGCACGGTGAGCACCTTAGCTCCGATTGTCTTGGCATCTGTCACGCCGATCCGTCGCGAAACACGTTGCAGCAACAACAGTGTATTACAGATGTCGCGTTCGCCTACAAGGGAGATTGATTGATGAGCTGTATCAGGTCTGTGATACACGCATGAGATTAGGGTTCGACAGTGTGCGCGTGCAAGTATCCATTCAAGAGGTAGTCGCTGGTGCATTTCGAAGAAGAAACAATACTAACTACCTCCGAATTCCTGTGCATCACTACAAATGACTCCTGTCACCCTCATCTGTATACTGCGTCACAGACAAGAATTAAACGTCTCTTTGCACGGCAATACTTCTACCTACTACAGTAGAGCATAGTAAAAACAATAAGAATGTACATAGGAAACCTTGAAGATTACAACTATACCTTTATCTATAAGTTTCCTTGTTAGAAAGTGATACAGGCTGTAAGGTAGAACTTGCAAATTCTGTGCAAGACGAGTTTATTCCTTGTATGGGTATGTTGTCATCAGGTGGGTGGGTAAGACAAGCCGAAGCGACTAACCATACTACATATTTTGTAAGGATATTTTTGATTTAGATTTCCAAAATTTCATCCATTTCCCTCGGGCACCTTGGCCTAATGGTAAGGCGTTGCTTTCCGGTGGCAAAGATTGTGGGTTCGAGTCCCACAGGTGTCGTTGCTTTCTTTTTTGCTTTTTTATGCTATCCTTTGATCATGGACCGACTTGCGATTGCGCTTATTGTTTGGGGCTTGGTGATCTATGTCATTATCGCCATCGTCATCGACTGCGACACTGCTAGTGGATCGACTCTTACGCTTTTTGCAGTGAGTTACGGCGACATCTTCGTCACTATCGAGAGCACCTAGTCGCTCGTCTGGTGCCTCCGTTCCTTGGGATTGACTGCGGCTGCGCCTGGCAAAAGTAAATCGCGTTCCCCACAAGACTGCCTTGACGACTGACGTAGACTTCGCCAATTCGACAGGGAACACTGTTCTGCAAGAGCTTTGGTTTGAGTCTCATCTGATATGGCGGCTCCAAGCAAATCGTGTTCGGTCGCGTTTGCCAGCACGTACTTCCGCACGTCCTTGCCCTATTCCGTAGGAGATATGTTAGGTCACAGCATGGTTTCGGTGCTACGGCTCGGAAACTTTATGATCTATTGTACGAGGTGATGTTGGATGATCGTTGTGATTTTTTTGATCGTTGCTATATTGAATCTTGTCTCTTTTTGCCTCTTACCAAAGCAGAGTACTTCTTACTACTATAACGAATTGTATTAGAGCTGTATAGATATATATATAGAGTCTGGAAGTCTACAATGCTATTGATCTTTATGACATCTCTTGTTAGAAGCTAGTGTAAGCTGTAAGGTAGAATTGATTATCTCCACCTATTCGGTTTTCCTCTTGTATGAGGTGCGAGGACATTGGGACTAGCACAAATCCAGCATAGCTTCAACAATGTGGCTGAACGAGATTCTTCGTATTCGACTTGTAGCTCCAAGATATGGCCGAGGTCACATTAGGTGGTTGAAGAGCATACCCGTGCTAATGCTACTTCGCAACCGCCCGACCTCCGAGCTTCTTCGTCAGTACACACAAGTCTTCACACTCTACTTGCACTTAGTACTGCTGCACCCTACCGCAATTCTTGTGCATCACAAGTCTCATCTCGCCTTGTTAATTCCCAAGAACTGAATGTCATGTTCTCGGCAAGAGCACTCCGGTGCGCTCATGTTCCGAATGTCGTCCGACGTACTGCGCTTCATCCATTATACAAGAAGGTCGGTTTCAGCACGTGTTCGAAGGCGTCCCACAACATTAATCAAATGACTAGACTTCAATCCGTCTGAATTCGTCATCCAGTACTGGCGCGACTGTAAGGAAAGAGCAAAACACTCAAGTTGACGCACAAACCGCACCTGCCAGTTCCACAGCCCAAAAGCAGAGCACCCAAGATGTTGCGGAAACCCAAACTCCCCAGCAAGAGAAGGTCGAAGGGCTCGCGCCCTCCACACCACGTCTCGACGAACGCCTTGGTGTAGAGAACATGAATAAAGCCAAAGAATTGAGTACATTCACTAAACTGCTGACCTATGAGCTCAAGAAGATTTACGGTCACCAACGCTTTCTCAAAAGAATCTTGGGAGGCCCGTATAGAGTGCGAGAAAGTCTCAACACGTCTCCAGGAGGGCATGTGAACATCCCTCGGACAGAGTTCCGTGAGGACAAGCTCTATGTCGACTCGCGACCAATACCGAATATCTGGTTGCGGGATAATTGCCAATGCGGAAGTTGCATGCACGACACTACCAAGCAGCGACTGCTTGACACGTTCTCTATACCCAAGGATATCTCGATCAAATCACACTGGATCGAGGGTGAAGGAGAAGATCCCACATTCAAGATTGAGTGGAGTGACGGCCACGAGAGCAGATACCTGCGCTCTTTCCTGGCTCAAACCACCACTACTGAGGACTTCAAAGCTATTCAGCGCCAAGGGCTTGTCGAACTCAACCTATGGGATTCAAGAATCGCCTCCAACCCCCCAACACAGGCATACCACCACGTGATGAGCCGCGACGATCCCCAAAAACTTCTGAGGAAGATCCGTACACATGGATTTTGCTACGTCGACGGAACACCTTCTGAAAATCCTTTGTTCACAAAGATGTTACTGGAGAGGATTTCTTTCATTCGTGAAACGCATTATGGGGGCTTCTACGACTTTACTGCGGATCTAGCATCAAACGACACAGCATACACCAACATCGCCCTCGAAGCTCACACAGACACGACCTACTTCTCCGACCCCGCGGGTCTGCAAGCCTTCCATCTGCTCTCGCACACCGACGGCGAAGGCGGCGCGAGCTTGCTCGTCGACGGATTCAAAGCCGCAGAGGAGCTGAGACGAACAGACCGGAAAGCATACGAGATCTTGTCCACGGTGAATGTTCATGCACACGCAAGTGGAAACGAGGGTATAAGTATACAGCCCTACCGCGGTTTCCCCGTCCTAGAACACGACTCCGCCACCGGTGATCTCCTCCGCGTCCGGTGGAATTCTTCTGACAGAGCCTCCATTGAGCTTCCCATCGAAGAAGTCGAGACGTGGTACGATGCAGCCCGAAAATTCGACGCCATACTCAAGAAGAAGGAGAATGAGTATTGGGAACAGCTTGTCCCAGGGAGGGTACTTATCTTTGATAACTGGAGGGTGTTGCATGGGCGGAGTAGCTTTACAGGGAAGCGGAGGATTTGTGGAGGGTATGTCAACAGGGACGATTGGATAAGCAAGTTTAAGATGCTAGAGTTTGGCAGCGAAGACGTGTTGAAGGGGTTGGCTGTGAACTAGATGTGAAAAATGAAGAAGAAGAAAAAAAACTTGACAAGGTAGAAATACTGTACACAGGACATGTTTTCAGGAGCTGGTAGTGGTGTGCAAAAACGTGATGTCTGGTTCATCAGAACTTATATACACTCTGGATACCAAGTTGACCATTCCCCTACGAACCCCTCGCAGCCCTCTCCTGTTCCAGCTCCAACTCGGCTTGGCGATAGTACTTGGCCGTGTCCACACCGTGGTAAGGGTGGTTGACAAAGTTTGGCCACGTGAGGACATGAGCAAATGTAGCGGCGTAACGCGAGTTCCTGTGCGCAACGCCCTGCATGTACTCGGTCATCTCAGTAGTTCCGTACAGAGGCTCGCCTTTCTTGACTTTGTCGACCATTTCTCGCATGTCCATTTCGACTTCGCGGCGGTTCTCGCGGGCGCCGTAGAAACGCACTAATGTACGTGTTAGTATCCGATTCTGCGCACAGTATGGAAAGGGCCCGTGTGGTTTGAACTGGGTGGGAAGTGGTGGACGTACTGCATGACCTCGAGTAGGCGAAAAGAAAGGCGCCGGTAACACCGACGGCACCGCTCAATCGCATGATGGGAGCGAAACCGCCCTTGCCGACCATGGAGGGTGAGACCCTCTCCCAGTAAAGCATCAGTCCAGGACTCAGGGCTCCGAGCGCGGCACCGTAAGCCCAGTCCGAAGGGCGGGTGTACCGCATGACTCGTTTGAAGTGTCTTCATTTAGGGTCAGTATGCGCGTGCGTTGGATATGGTAGAGGGGGCGTACGGGTCATTGTCGATGAGCTGCCATGGGTTAGCTACTGCCGTCCATTGCAGAGGGCATGGGCGCGCAATTGACTCACAGGATACTCTCCCGTGGGGATCTTGTCCGGCACAACAGCCTGGTGCCTGACAGCGGCGTCCTGCGAAGACATGTTGGTGTTGACTTTGGTCGTCTCTACTGCCGAGTATCTTGTGTTCGCGAGGTGAGGTTCCGCCAGGCGGGCGGCAAGTGCCGCCATGCGGGCTTTGGCCCTAGTGTGGCTCTGAGCTTCGGCGCGACGCCATTGCAACTACTTTTATTTCCTTGGCGCGTCACACCCGCAACACCCATTCTCGGAACTTGTCTTTTGCGACAACAATGCGCGCCGGCTCCTTTACGTGCGCACTACAACCATCCCGACCGCGAACATGGCTATGAAAGTTGACGATATGGAGGACGTCAAGCCAACCGGCTTGACCATGGCCAACGGCGCGTCCGATGCGCCCGCCGATTCGTCAAGCGTACACGCCCGCCCTACTGTCGCCGACTTGCACGGGGAGAACCATTTCGCGCAGGTGGCGAGGAAGAACTGGCTGTCCGCCAAGAAGACACCCAAAGTGCGACCCGAAGTGGTCAAGAAAGAGCTGTGGGACGAGCTGGAGAATGTCGACTTTGCATATTCGTCGCTCTTGATTCTGGAGAACCTGCAGCTTCTGGAGAGATATCTGTGGCCTGGCTTTACTGATGAAGCGTCCAACTTTCATGTCCTGCTGGTGGCGCTCATGGTCAATGTCAAGAGGAGGGAGAGTCTGACGTGCTGGGGTGAGTGCATGCGATTCCTGGTTATCGACAACACATGCTAATGGCCGCAGACCACTTTGCTAGCAAGCCCGCCGAGTTCTCCTCCTTTTTCCGCCGCATACTGTCCATGACCGTAGACCCGTCGCAGCCAAGCAAGATCCGGACACAGCTCATATCCTTTGTCATCGGCGCCTTCCAGTCGTTGGACAGCGGTCTTGTGCGAAAAGAGTGCGCCCCTCTCGTTGGCATATCGATATGGCAAAACCTCCACTCCGACGCCGTGCGCGAACAGTATTTCGAGGAACACAGCATGTTGCGCAAGGCATGGAGAGCTGCGTCCAAGCGGTTCGATGCTGGCGATGAAGCGCTACAGGCCAGGCTCCGATTCGAGCGGTCATGGATATATACACTTTTGCTCGACTTCATCGACCGGCTGTACAACACCACCAGCAGGGACGAGGCTAGGGATAACATGACCTACTGCGAGCGCTTCATGGAGCTTCTGGTAGACCTGCAGAGCCAGCTACCAACAAGGAGATATGTCAATACGCTGCTTCACGACTTGAATATGCTGCCAGCTATTCGATTGTCGCCCATGTACACAGACGAGGACAATGGCCTTTTCCGGGACCTGTTCGACTTGCTGTGCCACTTTACCAACTTCCCCATCGAGGACCAAACAGGGAGGCAACTGTCCAAGCTAGAGTACGACCAACAGCATTACGATACTCTGGCAAAGTTGCAACGGACGGGTTATGCTGCCTTCCAGGAGAAGCTTCAGCTAATGGCCCTGGCAAACTACAGTAGCATTGGGAATCGGGAGGAGCTGGACGGCCATCTGCGCACACTGAGCGATAGTGAGCTCGTCGAGCTTTGCTCTCTCATGGGCCTACGGACAGAATACTCCACTACCACTTACCTGGTGCGGGATCGAGCTTTCCACATGGAGACCCTGATTGCGCTTGTCGAGCAGCGCCCTACCTTCAAGGACAACGTTCGCGACATGCCAGTATTGCCAACTGAGAAGGTTCTCTACGAAACCACATTCCTGCGAAACGAGTCTTACGACGGATCTAGACCGCTCGCTATACCTAAGCTGAACCTCCAGTACCTGACCATGGGCGACTTTTTGTGGCGATCCTTCATCCTGTACCGCGCGGAATCATTCTATGGTATCCGAAAGGACATGGAGGACGTAGTCAAACGCGTAAAGCCCAAGGGCAGAGGCGTCAACACCAAGTTTGGCGGTGTGTCCAAGATGTCACTGCCCATAATGAAGCCCGCCATCGTCGATGTTGCACCGTCCAAGGTCGGCGAGGAGCACCCCGCATACGTTCGTGCTGAGATTATACTGGATGTTAGCCGCCTTCAATACCCAGTACGAAGGGACTGGGAACAGCTCAGGCCAGATGATGTCGTCTTCCTGCTTGCTGTCGAGGGTAAAGATGACGTACCCATGCGCAACGGTCACCGCGAGGACGTCACTACTGGGGAGCAGCTCGGCCTGCACCGGATGAGATGCGCCCAGGTGGTTCACGTTCTGGATGACAAAGGACGGCCTCTACGCGAATCAGCCCGCGACAATGGTTTTGGACCTCGTGTACGCCAACGACGACTCCTCGTCAACATCGACGCCAAGCAATACAAGACCGACATGGACCAGGCTGCCGAAGGAAGACCTAACGTTTACGAACACATCAACCTCATCGTCCGCCGGAAAGGACGGGAGAACAACTTCCTGCCTATCCTGGAGTCTATCAGGCGCCTGACGCTCTCGGACATCCCGGCACCATCTTGGCTTCAAGAGGTGTTTTTAGGATATGGTGATCCTGCATCAGCGACCTACAAGCGCCTTCCGAATCGACTGAACAAGATAGATTTCCGCGACACCTTCCTGGACTGGCAGCACCTAATCGAGTCCATGCCCGGCAAATCCATCGAACCCCACGAGGAAGCACAGACATCCTTTGGGCCTCCATACGTCGTGGAATACGCTGCTGCATCCGAACCAAAACTCGCACCCCCTAAAGCGTCCAAAAAGCGGCGTCGCAATCAGGTTGAGGTAGCACAACCTCTGCATGAATCGCTTCATGTATCCTCGTACAAACCACCGAACATGGGGCCTTACCCCGCTGATGCACCGAAGACGAATGCGGTCAGGTTCACGCCGAAACAAATTGAAGCCATCACTTCGGGAACGCAGCCTGGTCTTACGGTCGTGCTCGGACCACCTGGTACCGGCAAGACGGACGTTGCGACCCAGATTATATCCAATATATATCACAATTTTCCGGACCAGCGGACTTTGCTCGTTGCGCATAGCAATCAGGCGCTGAACCAGCTGTTCCAGAAAATTGTGGCGCTGGACATTGATGAAAGACATTTGTTGCGGCTGGGTCATGGCGAAGAGGACTTGGAAACTGATGTGAGCTACAGCAAGCACGGACGTGTGGAATCGTTTCTCGAGAGGGGACAATACTACCTCTCTGAAGTTGATCGCCTAGCGAAGAATTTTGGTGCGCCTGGTGCGCATAGCAGCTCATGCGAAACAGCAGACTACTTCAACCTTGTGTATGTGAAGCCAGCGTGGACGCAATACTGGGACGCCGTCTCTTCCGAGGACGTGAGCGTCGAGCAGATTGTCACCGAGTTTCCATTCAAAGACTACTTCTCCAACGCACCACAACCTCTTTTCCCCCAGGCTGCAGACCGCGAAGAGATTCTTGAGATTGCACAGGGATGTTACCGCCACATCGAGAAGGTCTTTGCCGAGCTGGAAGACATCCGTCCGTTTGAGATTTTGCGAAACCCACGCGATAAAGCAAACTACCTGCTCATAAAAGAGGCTCGCATCATCGCCATGACATCAACCCACGCCGCGATGCGCCGACAGGAGATTGCCAATTTGGGTTTCCACTACGACAATGTCATCATGGAAGAAGCTGCTCAGATTACCGAGATAGAAAACTTCATCCCGCTCGCGTTGCAAAACCCGCGGGAGCAGGAGGACGGTGAGAGAGAGTTGCCGCTTCAGCGCATTGTCCTTGTGGGTGATCACTTGCAGAACAGCCCGGTGATACAGAACCTCGCTTTCCGACAGTACGCAAATCTTGAACAGAGTTTGTTCCAAAGACTGGTTAGACTGGGTGTGCCGACTATCATGCTCGACCAGCAAGGTCGTGCCCGTCCCTCTATTGCGGAACTGTACAAGTGGCGATACCCCGCCCTCTCCAACCTGCCTTCTCTCCTTTCAAACCCAGAGTTCCAAACAGCGAATCCCGGGTTCAAGCACGAATTCCAATTCATCGACGTGGGCGACTACAAGGGCAAAGGGGAAGACCAGCCGACGCCGCACTGGATGATTAATCTGGGTGAGGCCGAGTATGCGGTTGCGCTGTTCATGTATATGCGCTTACTGGGTTATCCTGCACACAAGATTAGCATTCTCACCACGTATGCCGGTCAGAGGTCGTTGATCAACGATGTTTTGGGACACAAGTGCAAGAACAACCCGCTTTTCGGGCGACCGAAGCATGTCAGTACCGTGGATAAGTATCAGGGTGAACAGAACGATTGTAAGTCGCTATCCTATACTCTAGAAGAGAGAGAGAGAGAGACGCATTAGATGGACAGACGCTAACACGACGTGTGTGTGTTTACAGATATCATCTTGTCACTTGTACGAACGCGCGCCATGGGCTACTTGAGAGACATCCGACGCCTCACCGTCGCCTTGTCGCGTGCAAGACTCGGTCTGTACGTCCTCGGTCGGCGCTCCGTCTTTGAAAGCGTTTTCGAACTCAAACCGGCGTTTGACGTCTTACTCCAGCGCCCGGATAAACTCACCTTGGTCACGGACGAGATGTTTGGTGAGACGAGGCGGTCGGCAGAACAAGGTGAAGGAGAAGAAGAGGTGCAGGGGGCTGCTGTCATGGAAGATGTAGAGCATCTGGGCAAGTATGTGTATGAGATGACAAAGGCAAAGGTGGAGGCTATCAAGGCGAATGGCGGGCAGATGCCGAGTAGGGAGATTACTATGGGGGAGGCGGGGGTGAACGGCGGCGTCAAGGGTGAGGACGACGACGATGAGGATGATGATAGGCCGGAGAATGTGCTGGTTCCTGAAGAAGTACCCGAGGACTTTGAGGACGACGATGATGATGACCAAGTCGTGGTTTAAGCGTAGGTGGTGGTTCTTGACGTTGTGGTGGATTACATTGCGCTCTCGCTGGGTTGCATTTCAAAAGGCGTAATTTGTATATGTAGTTGTCTGCAAAGTTTTGTCTTCTGTTTGGTGTGTTCGTGTAGTAGTACTAGGAGGGGGATGCTAGGATTAAGATACCATGACATCGATGCCTATATGGCATGCACATTTCTATTCCCTGTTTTGCTTGGGTGTATGGCATTGATGTGTAACGATCCTCTACTTGAAGTGCAGTATCTCGGCTTAGTATCTATATTTAATCTGGAGTTGGAGGATCAGGGTTGAAATGAAGCGCTCATGTCTGAACCCAGAGAAAGAAATAAAGTACGTTATGATACATCCATCGTTCTTGAATCGCGAACAACTTTGTGGATTGCGTGGTTAGATTCGCAATATCTTGTCCAACACCAAACTTATCTGCACGCCCAGGAAATTGCGCCTTCGACAAGAGGTATAGTCAGTGGCAGCTTAGATTACCACCACGCGTAGGCTGCCTCTTTGTACAGTGACTTCTGAGCGATCATAATACTTTGGCTATGGTATTGTTGGTGCTACAGATACGAACGGCTCGATCATGTGCTGATATTCCCTTGTTAATCGGAGTCGACGGAACGTCTAGGTACGTCAGGCCCATCGAACGTTCGACTCCTAAAGAAGCGAGGCCCATCACTCTCTTCATCATCTGTCTCTACTGTCGATTGTGCCTTTCTATATCGTTCAGAATTTCTGCTTGCACGAGACGTACCAACCTCTGCGTCCGACGCACTGGTATGCTTCCCGTCTGGTTCATTATAGGGTGGCTTCTTCGTCGTAGCAGAGCCACGCAAGCGATGAGTATGTTTCCAAAGGCTTTCTAAATCGCGTTGATCCATGTCTCGGAGAATGATGAATCTGTCTGGATCAGTCTGGAAAGATGATTAGTGATTTCTCATGGTTCACCTGTGGTGAAACAGCTTACTGGATCCCATTCGTATGGAATATTATAATAATAGAGAGTTTCAACATCCACATGACGTTTGTGCATTGTGAGGTGGTTAGGTCGTCGCTTAGACGTACTGCTGCCTCCGTCTTCAAGTTTCGATTCCAGCAGCCCGATGTTGTACAAAGCGGCCTCTAGAGGTCTGAGGACAAAATGACATATCTCTAGAACCTCGTTCACGGGGCGATGATTCATCAGTATCAGGGTGGGGACTGCTTTGGCTCGGGGGTCACTCTGACTGGATTGGAGATAAGCTCTCAAAGCACGGTAAGTGTCTTCGTTGCCATAGCGAGGCCACTCATGGATTCTGGAGACATGTATCCCCATGCTCAGTCGTTTCGTGGAGAAGCCCTGATCAGTAAGACAGTAGTGGGTCAAAGAGGCGAGTAGATGGCCGGTATGGTTGGTTACAGCTGCCAAGTTGGTGACTGCGTCTTTGACCATCCCCAACAAGCCGTCTGGATGCCCGTACGCAAGAGTGCGCCAGCTCCCAATTTGGTACCTATGAGTTTACGTGGTTAGATTCGAAGCCGTAGTAGTGTCATTGATCCGATGGAGTCATGAGAAGATTGAGGAAGAAAATAATGATGAAACACTCACAACAACAAACCTAGCTCTAACAACGCGATGCGTTTGGTAGAGGTAATTCCGCTTGCAAGCCCAGTCGGTTGTTTGGCATTGTCGTGTGATATTCGTATGTAAGGACTGAGGATAATTTCCTCATGCGTAAGAGTGCTCGTGCCGTCGGTTGGTGTATAATATATACAGTCCACAGGACGGAATATGCAAGCTTGGCCACTCGCACCGAGACTCACGTAGTTGCTCGTTACGAGGAGTGCCAGACGCAGATGAGAATCTGCAAACTTGTGGTCCCGAAACTTGTCTTCTTCTAAGAGCTTATCCAGAGTTTTGTAGGGAGTCCATCGAGACTTGCGGTCTTGATAAACATGATATAGCATTGGCCTTTGGAGTATTCGATACTCTGTTTCGGTGAGTGTGCTCTCCATATCTTGCTTTTGCACTAAGCCATTCGCTGTAGGCTCTCCTTGAGATTTCTCCTCAATGAAGGCCCCATCCAAGGATTCAGTCTCGCTGAACTCTACGTGTTGTAAGTATCTTTGATCTGCATGGTCGATATAGAAAGTATTTGACTCACCATCCTCGGGACCGATCAAGTAAGTATCTCGCCCCCGATGTAGATTTTCGGAGGAAGTGGACGCTTTAAGCGCCTGTTTTCCTTTATCTCTCAGACTGATCGGAACAAGATCTTCAGGTACAACGAAAGGTCTAGTGAGGTTCATCTTCACAGAACCTAGACAGGTGTATTCATCCTTTTGAGTGCGATCAAGATCCATGCTGCTGGCGATTTCCTCAATAATATCCCCTTTCTGAATCCGATAGCGTAAATGTCTACCTACGCTTATTTTTTCTAGGCACCGTTTCTCGCAAGACTGGATACCGGGCGTGTCAATGACAAGTACGAAACCCTCAGGAGAAAGTCTCTTTGGTTCTGTATGGAGGATGAAGAGAATAGAATCCTTCCGCGCACTCACACCTCGATGTGGCCGAAACTGGCGCCAGGTGTGGCGATGGTCATAGCACAATTTCAGGGAGAAATCGGATCGCATGTCGAGACGAAGTTGACGGAACGCTTCCTGGCAGCTAAATAGCGAATTTTCGAGCCATTCCAACTGTTCATCACCTCCAGGAGCTTGTGAGTGCTGCTCGACAAGACCGTGCTGATGGCGTCCTACATGGTTCCCTGATGCAATGATCGCACGCGCCCGATCAGTAGGAAGCCTGGATAGTTGGCCTGTGGCTGCATTTGCGTTCGATGTTGTATCCGGTGGCTGAATATAAGTATCTACATAAATCCGAAGGTACCCAACATCCTCAGAAATCAACTGAAGATTCTCCAGATATGTCTGCTTATCCTCAGTTACCCATCTCAGTTTTGATCTGTATTTGGTCTGTCCTTGGAGCGAGGCCGAAACGTCTTCTTCTACCTTTTGCTTCTGATCCAACTCTGTCTCATTCAGTATTTGAGGTGGGATAGTTGTCACAGCAGTAATCTTTTCGGATTTGTACATGGGTTTCTCATCCGCATCGAGGGGTCTTTCTTTCTGTTTCCCCAACTCCTCGACCTTTTTCCGGCCTGACTTTCCTAGGAAGCGCCATCGTCGTTTATTACGAGGTTCTGAGACAGGTTCTTTGGTATGGGATAGCTCAAGGTCAGCCGTGGTAGTTTTGGGGTCCTTCAATGTTACTTGCGAGCCATCTGGCTGCGAGGAAGGTGTTAAGTCTAAAAACTACTAAGCATAAGACTTGACTATAGCAATTGTGAAACTCACCGCCAAGATACTTCTCCGCAATTTCCTGGCATGTTTCCATATTCAATTTGATCTCTAAGACGAGGCCGTGGATGTGCGACAGCCATTCTTTCTCATCTGTCGATGTACCCGTCTAGACAAATTAGACTTTGCACGATCCAGCCTGGCTCTACTTACTAATCCAAGTAAAGTCGCTTGGCGGAGTCGATAAGCCTGAATACGAAGAAGTCCTATCTGTGTGTCAAACCTCCTCTGGAGGCGTCGGAAATCGTTCCCGAAGGCTTCAGTGAGTTTGTGAATGCCATAAGCCTTATAGGCACCTTGTATTAGGGTGATTGCAAGTGATACGACGCCTATAGGGTCTGCCATTTTTGGTTAAATCGAGACAAAGACGACTCAGAAAGATGTCAGGTGGAAGACTAATCAAAATGACTCAGTGCAACAATTTTTGAGCAAATGAAAACTGGTAGCTCACTTTGCAGGGTTGAATCAGTTTATAACTGAGGCATGGGAAGGCTGAGGACGCGAATTCTGTCCAGCTGCGTAATGTAATGATGTATACAGGCTCTTCCCCCATTCGCCAAGATAAAGAGATCACAGGAAACGCTAACCTCGAAATTGCGAATACGGCGGCTAGAATGTGTCCAAACACTATTCATTGGTCGGCTTGTTAACGGCTGCCTTGTTAATGCAATCCTCATGCGCCACGACATGCATGTCAAGCGAGACCATCAGCCGCAGCTGAAACCTCTTCCTCAGCCCACCTCACTTAAAAAGGCTAGACATTCCAGACATATTCTTGAAGCCTAACCATCCTACATTGCTTGCGACGTTCTCACATTCGATTTTGGGAGCTTAGCACTTCATATGTCTGAGATGACCCCTCCAACTGCTCAAGGAGTAGAAGAGGTATGTCGGTTTACTTCAACCTTGTGAACCTTAACACAGCAGCATAGGAGTTATACAATGCCTGCATCTTCACTTTACAGAAATTGCAGTACCTTGCCGTCGGATTTTCCGAGATCAGACAGGTCCTGCTCATCCTCGAATCCATCGGTCCGAACTTTATAAGACAGGCAAAAGCCATCGCGCTAGTACACGATAAAGAATTGGAGCCCGTTACAAAAGTATCAGTTGGAATACTCGCAGATATTGGAGTCACATTGAGTCAGTGATATCGCTCTAAACAGATCTCCTAGATGCTAACGACCTCTAGAAAGCATATGTTCAGCGTGTGAAAAGCGCAACTACAAAGGACTGAACCTCGGGAGAAATCGACTATCCGAGTTGCTGGAACTTGCTGAAGTGAAGTCCGAAACATTGGACGCACCGTCATACCTAGAAGCGGATACCGAGGACGACGAAGCATACAACGAGCTGATTCGAGAATGGGTGCATGAGATCATGGGGTTGAGCACAACGTTCACTGCGTTATGCAGCGGCTTTTCGCTGCAAGTTCGGCTCACGGCACAGCACAAAATGGAGAGCCAGATCCGAGAGCGTCAAGAGGAGCACACCCGAGTGACTGAGCCCACGAACAGGTCACGATCTCGGTCACGATCCTCTACTCGTCGCAGAGAAGTACTAAGGGAATATGGGATATCAGCTTAACATGTGACGGTATGTTGGATTGGTAGATAATTATGTATCGATAGAGTTGCGATTTTGCTCATGGTACACCAATTCAAAGCTTTCGAATTTTCAAGTTGTCCCTAGCGCGATTTCGTGATCCTGTCCAAGACAAGATCTGGCTTCCATGCACCCAGCACCCCAGCCGCAGTCAGCTTCCGATACAAATATTGTGCAACTTCAAGGCGCAGTGTAATGTACGACTGTAGTTAACTTAAGCTGAACAAGACTGTCTCCAAAAGCTGAATGTTATTGTCCTGACTCCAAGCCTGGTTGCAGCCTTCATAGGAGGCGTCTGAAACTAGCCTAATAGTTCTCTTCTCTGTCTGAAGAGTCTTTTGCCTGGAACGTATCGGCTAACATCTGGGAAGACACAATGGATTTGTGGCCGGTGACTCGCGCAAACATCTGTGGTCCAGACTCGCGCATATCAGTATGAACAGTGTATCCAGTCTCCTCAACCACCTTTTCCCAATTGTCCCTGACAACCTCCAAACTCCAGTCACCGTTAGCAGGTCCGTGGAAACCGGGAGTCTCAGCCAGAAAGAGTCGAGCCACAAGCCGGCCCTGAGCACTGAAGGATTCCCCGTTGACCTCACACTCCTCGTGGACTAACCACAAAACTGGAGGAGCCACTTCAGCAGCTGGCAAAAACTTCTTCATATCATTTCGAACTTGCTCGTTAGGGAGAGCTCGTTCGACAAGAGGAGTGTAGCCCGATGGGGCAAGTGCGTTGACATGGATATTGTGCTCTTTTCCTTCCAAAGCAAGCGCCTTGGTTAGGCCCAACAACCCCATCTTGGCCGTTCCGTATGCAGATTGTGTTTCCATGCCAAACATCATGAGCGATAAGGTCATGATGACACGTCCATATTTCTGCTTCTTCATATATGGCCACGCCGCCTGCGTTACATTCCATGACCCTCCAATGTGAACTTGGAGCATATTCCAAAAATCCGTAGCCGACAAATCCTCAAACAACGTAGTGTTGGCGGCCCCAGCATTGTTAATAACGATATCAACACGTCCAAAAGATGTTACTGCGGCCTCCACCATTGCGTCTGCGACAGCTCTATCAGCAACACTGCCAACGTGTGCGATTGCCTTGCCGCCACATTTGAGGATTTCCTCTAGTGTATCTTGCGCCGTCTCTTTTGTTGTGCTGTTTACAACTACAGCAGCGCCTAAGCGAGCTAGGAGTAGTGCGTATTCGCGCCCCAGGCCGCGACCAGAGCCAGTCACAATCGCAACACGGTTATCGAAACGAAGAGGACTCGCTGACATGACTTCTAGTGAAATTTCGCAAAAAACTCAAGAAAGGGGTTACGGGTTGCGGGTTGCAGTGAAGTGCGGTATAGGTTGAGTTGGCCGTTGATCACAGTGAAGGTAAGATAAGAGGCGTGACTGTGAGCAACGTGAACGCTCTTCAAGGACGTCCTAGACCTGCTTTCAATGTATGTATTCATTGAAGAACATCACGTTCTGGACGAAATCCTCTAATAAGCGGATCTCAACTTGCTATTGTGGACGAAATTTTTCGGACGTTAGGCTTTCACGTCTCTCTAATAAGTCTAGTTCTATTGCCATATTAACCTAGAAGACGGACCAGCATATGATACGGAGTAGAGAGTACCGAAGTCGGATAAGCTTGTCATCTAGGGTAGGGACTAACTCAGTGTAGGTAGGTTTCCCAATTACACGATGTTAATATTCGTCCGTTCTCCACACAGCTTAAGGTGTTGCTAGAAACATGCGGCCCGAATACGGAACAAGTGGAATGGCTAGCTTAGACCCCAACGATGCAGAAGTCACTCTTCTCCGGGTTCCTTAGTCCGGAATTTCCAAACTCAAACCAAAATTACGGAGGTCGACTCCAAAAGTTATTGCTGACAGGGGTAGTCTCATTTCTACTGATATAATGCCAAAGTAATGCCAAAGTACTGCCGAAATATAGCTATCTAGTGAACGTCACCGTCTAAACAATCCGCCTTCTCGATACTCGTTCCCACTATCAAGTTCAACTATCTTCTGGACATGGATCGGTATCCTCTCTATCTAAGCCTGGATTTGGTGTTTAGGCAGCTCACTCTATACTTAATTCTATATCTTAGCTGTTTCTGCTCTGTTCTTTAGAGCACCCTTCCTAGTTGCTCTCCTCTTTATCTAAACCCAAGCTGGCTCTATTGCATTTAAATCAGGTGAATTACTACACCAGAGTAGCCGTTCTATACCTTCTCTAGAGGAGACTACTGCCTAGGCATAGTAGGCATAAGAGGGAGCTTTATCTTCTTAAACAATAGTGCTAGGCCTATCCTTTAGACACTCTTTACAAAGAGAGGAAGCTTTAGGATAAGGACTTTAGACTGATAACGCTACTTGTCAATACCTCCCTTGCTGTTGCCTCTAGTAAGTTTGCCCGTTTTTTAGTAAATCTCCATTCTGGAGGTCTCCCTAGCTTCTTCTTAAGCCAAGTCGAGATATGCCTGTTAAGAGGTCCCACTCAGCTCGTAAGACGTCTTCTATGGCCTCATTCATAGTATCGATCTGGGCTGCTGCTGCCTTTCTCTCCTGGGCAGTCTCAGCCTGCCAAACACAACAGGGGCCCTTCTTATCATAAGAGAAGCAGCCCCAGAACATAAACTCTGAGGATCCCTTCCACCTCTCTCATATTATAGGCTTATTAAACGCTTCTTCTGTCTTTATACACGGTAGCCACCACGGCGGTGGTTTAAGACGACAGAAGTCTCATCAAACCAGATAACATTCCGCCAATCTTCTAGCGTCCAGTCTTTGTGGGCGAGACACCACTCGAGTCTCTCCTGTCTCATCTTCTTGGATAGACCAGGCTTCTTGTTGGCTAAGTCTTCTTATATCCAGAAGCTTTAAGTATCCGCCAGACAGGATTTGGAGAGACTTGATGGCCTAACTGACAAAGCTCTGCAGCTATGTCAGCACAGCTCTTCTCGCGTCCATATCTATTACGCCGAACCTTCTGTATAATCTCCTCTTGTATCCGTTCTTGCTTGCGTGGGCGCCCTGTACGAGGGGCGTCTTCAAGATACTTTGGGAGGAGCTCAAGAGCAGCGGCGTGTGGGTCAAATCCTCTCTGACATGCTCTCTGGTAGATAGAGTCAATTGTCCGTGGAGAGACGCCGGTAGTTACACTAATCTCAACAGCAGCTTTGCCTCCAAAGGGGGATTTAAGTGCAACGATACGGAGTAGCTGCACGCGTCATGATATTGGGGCGGGGGCGGGGAGCCATCTCAAGAAAATATCAAAAATTTGGAAAAATTGACCTATCAGATCTCTAAACTGGGTGGGCAGCCCACCCAAATATCAGATATCGGCCAAGTAATATTCGGCCGATTAGGTGGCTAATTGACCTAGCTCAGCAATAACCTTTGGAGCCGACCTCCGTATGTAGCATTAATACTCGACCTAAGAATCACACCTGACGACATACACGAACATGAACGATCGGCTTGTGGTGCTAATATAGCTCGTGACTTGTAGGTGAACAGAGATCCTTGTTGGTTCAGATATGTGAGAAGAATCAGGAATCGAAGACATTTCTGCATATCAATGTTAAAGCGGGCCAGATTTTCATGGGTCGGCGTGATGGAAACTTCTACCCATGGGAAGGGAGGTTAATGCCTCCTCTTCATTTGTCGTGCTTATCCCGCACTGCAAGCCTTCAAGGGATCAGATCATCGATCGGTTCGACAACCCCGCTTCTAATTAGTTTGGCTACTAGGATGACCGAGATCACTAGAAAAAACCTCAAACGAATGGGTCCCATTTATGTTATTGGGCGCCGCTTTATAGTCGAACGACTCAAACTCTATATGTAACGAGTGTCTCTGCGTGCCAAAAGCCCTTGTGTGCCGAGAATGGGTGATTGGATCGTAACCGCTAGACAGAAGTCCATGATCCTTGCGATCCGATTGGTCATTTTCGGCACACAGAGACGGACGCTACCTAACGAGTTAGTTATATTCAAAAACCGATGGTATAGGTGTCCCACAAACTATTTGCGACCGACTACACTAATAAATCTTAGGTGCGGGCCACTGACCATACACCACCAGCGCGACTTGTAACATCTGTGCTAGGTAGCGTTCGCTTGTCTCCTCGGGTAGCGCTGCACGGTCAACAAAGCCTAGTTAGCCGTATCGTTAGCCCTACAACTTCTTTTTCCACCGGATCAGTTTGTTGATGCATCTTTGGAACTATTAATTGTTGTTTTCTTGCTAATTACATAGAATTTTTCAATCAAGATACCATGATATCGATGCCCACGTGGCATACACATTTCTATTCCCTGCTTTGCTTGGGTGTATGGCATTGATGTGTAATGATCCTACACTTGGGTCGCGAACGACTTTGCGGATTGCGTGGTTAAATTCGCAAGATCTTCTCCAGCACCAAACTTATCTACTCAGATGAGCGACATTTAAACCGTATATCACACGAGTACTATGTCCCTGATTGAGAATGATTCGTCTTCACACGCCTGACCATCCATCATGCCGTGCACATAACACTCGCCAACAAACTCATGATGGCCATCCTTACGAGTTCTCAATACATAGCAGACCTGTCCTCCCAGAAGAAGACAGATTTTGTCATCTATCTGAGCGGCTGCCGGGCCCAGTCCAATAAAGCCTCGACTAGTTTCGAACAGCCTTCTCCCAAACGTTGCCATCTTTGTATCGACAAGCATCCAGCTCTGCCTCCGAAGTTCTTCAGCAGTCAAATATCTTCTATCCTGTCCAACCAAGTCCCAATCTACAGCAAATCCCCTCGATAAGACACAATCGCTTCGAAAGTCTTTTCGTCCGATATCAGCTACCATAGTGTGATTGAATGCTTCCATCAACGTCTCTCCGGTGAAGTAAAGTTTGCCTGCAATTTCCGGTATCCATGATCGCTCCGTGTCGAGGCCTCTAGCGGCTAAAGTCCACTCGCATATACTCGATACTCCGATTATGCGGTCAAGTACTGATCCTTGAAGACATAAATGCGAGCCGTTAATGTAGCAGTGTCCACTACTCGTCCCGCTAGCGTTGTAGGCATTCTTACTTTCTCCGTACTCATCTAAGTTCAAAACCTTTTCAAAAGGAAACAGGGATGCTCGGAACGTCCAATCCGGTGTCCAGGACGGTAATATCATGTCGTGTTGGTGCTCAAAGACTGTACCTGGTGCTGATCTCCATATCTCACCGAGGACATCCAGAGAATGATCGGTCGACTTCGAGATATAAAAACGGACAATGTCGCTGTAGACCGCCGAGGAAGGTTTTGTATAATCCGGAACTATATCCTCTCCGTAAACGTCCATGGCCATTCCTAGGGCGGAGTATAGCTTGTCGCGAGGATCTTCACATTCGTATGCTCGGATAAGGTTCAAGACGCGTAACAGCAAAATCTGTGCACCCTGTTCCCTGTCTTTCCGGAAAGTGTCAAGCCGGCTAGCCATGGCTATGTCGGAATCAATACTCATACTGGAGCTTTGGTAATACGTATGGGCGATCTGAAGGGCTGCTCGTATATAGGTCCAGTCAATTCTACGGCTCCCGCAAAACAGGATGGTACGCGCAGGGTTGGCAATGGTCCCCTCTTGAACTATCCATGCTCTTCTCCACCAAGGCCGACGACATATCATTCGCAACGCTTCCAGCGCTCTCCGTTCTTCCGAGCCGCAAGGACCAAAGAAGAAAAGGTCGTCAGAAGAGATACTCGTAACTGCTAACTCCACAGATGCATCGAATTGTTCTTTTAGTTCATCAAATCTCACCTTCCATTCCTTCATTTTATCGAACGCAAGATCGCTATCTTGTGCAGCTGGCCCAAGCCAAATCGCAACCATCTCCGCTGAACGGTATATTGTATTCATAAGCCGGACTTGGCTGCTACGCTCATGAACGTCTGCCTGGTTGATACAAATCCAGTCTGCCCAGAACATCATGTTTCTTTCTCTTGCGAAGATGAAAATGGCATCAATAGCCTCGGCTAAGTTTTCAGTAATATGAGTCTCGGCACCATTCGCAAGGATAACTCTTGATAGGTTCTTGCATCCCCATGTGTACGACAGCGCCACGTATGGCGGGGCTTTCTCTACCTCGACTGTGACTATCTGGCAGGTTGGATTGGGACCGGGTAGGAACTTGACCAGTCTAATGGCTCGGTTGGATTGCAGAGGCTCATATGAAAATCTTCTCATTTTCTCGATTCAGGGCGTTGTTGACGGGTTCTAGCTTTCACTCATATCAGGCTGGATGATCGGTAGCGTTTGGCTGTCTTCGTCTGTATGTCCTTCGAGAATAGCAGTGGTGGCTAACGGGATTGCTGCAGCTATCAGTGGCCAAAGTACACCATGTTGTGTGGGAGAGTGTATTGTAGAAGAGCAACGGTGCGAGAGGTGGGAGGTTGGGATGGATGACGGTTGGATTATGTTGGTGGGAGGCGCAGCCAGGTTGTGGCGGAGCAAGGCTGATTGATTAAACTCATTCCGCCTTTGCAACACCAAAACTTCAACGCCTCGTAATTCCGTCACCATGAATCCAGTCAAGGCCATAATTGCGACTACACGATCGCTAGAACCAGAAAACCTTGTATGCGCCCAAATTGCGAGACATTTAGCCTACAATGCTAGCTAGGCGACACAAAGGCGTATCAAGCTCACAGCCTCAATCGCGAATAAAATTGCGATTTTGCTCATGATACCCCAATGCGAAGCTTTCGGATCTCCAAGTTGTCCCTAGCGGGATTTCATGACCCTATCCAAGATCAATCAGACTTCCATGTACAGATTCTTGTCAACCGCCCATACAATCAAAGCCCAGCTACCACCGCGGAAGTGTTGAGTCTCGAAACCAACAGCAAGCGTGTCTTCTCCCAAAGACCCATATGTCCTTCGCCACCATCCATTGGTATCGTCTTGCCAACCACTCTCGACCTGTGCTCCAACAATTCGGCGTCCAGGGAGGCACATGGACACCTCATTCTTTAGACACACAGGCATACGATCACGCTGACTCTCAGGGTCCCAGTCCTCTCGATATTCTATAACTTCATTACATAGACTTTCGTGCACATCATCGGGGCAGATTCCGATCTTCCATTGTGGGGTGCTGTGGGCTTTCACCCATTTATTTCTGCAAGTCAATCAGTCTCACGTCAGCCATTTAATAAGAGAGGCATTTGCTTACAACTTCCACTTCTCGATTTGGCCTTCTGTTTCAGTCATCATCTTTGCCAGCTTTCGCCTTCGATCCCACTCTCCCCTTAGCTCTTCTCGGACGTTCTTTAGAGTCATTACGCATTGTTGAAGGGCATTGTCATCATCTTCGGCGTATATGTGTAGATCACCCAGCTTCAAAATCGTCGACTGGACGGATATCTCTAGGGCTCGAGCGCCGACCAGACGATTGGATCGAGCGGCAACCTGGAGAAGCTGGGCAAGCTCAGCTGCGTTCCGAAAGTCTTCTGTGATAGACAATGACCCCTCCGGATGTTTGGTTCTGATGTCGATATTGGCATAGTGCGTAATGTGCGCCAGGACTGGTATAGGCGTATAGTGCTCAAGGAAGTTGACCCAAGCTTTCTGAATATCGATTTTGTGGAGCTGGTGTTGCAACTTCCGCGAACTGCATCCAACGACGACGACTTCATGCGTTTCCCTGATGCTACTAGATATGTGAAAGGAACCCATCTCGAAGGAAGATGCAGCTTCGACGGACACCGCTTTTCCGCTAAAGTCCGCTGAAAGCGTACTGGCAAATTGGTCGAGTTCCTGCTTCGTATCGGCCGAGTAGGTGCTCACGGAAAAGAATGTGGATTGAAGAGTTCTTCCAGTAATGCAGTATTGGCCGTACCTTGTCGTGAAGGTTCGTGCGTTATCTTCCCCGTACCAATTCAGCCGACCGAAACAGGACTCTGCTTCGTCAGAGAGCTCAAGCAAACGCTCATAATGCTCAGCAGGCAGTGTAATAGTGCAACGCTTAATCACTGTCATGGACGTCTCGCTACATTGAGCGGTCTTGAGTGCTTCCAGGGAGGCTTTAAGGTTGAAGACAGTAAAGACTGATGCAAGTGCACGTGTGTCAGAGGTCATGTATTGGAGTAAAGTTTCCTCATCGCGCAATATCTTGCTGCTGATCTCCAGAGTGTGCAGGTTCGTACTTCGAAGTTCAGAAGAGGGATGACATGGCCAAAAAGGCGAGCGCAGCGATTGCTGTTTGTGGAGATCGTAGCCGGAGCCAATTTTCATATAGTTGTCGTCCCACGGTATGCACCCGTGTTCGCGGACATAAGACGAGAACATAGAGTCCATAATTGGCTTTAGTCGATAGAAGGTTTCCGGGTACCAGCACTAAGTGCCACGCCTGGTGCTGATGTAGTGTGCAAAAAGAAAAAAATACGTACAACAGCGGGGATTCGCTAGTGGTCACCCACCTAACTACTAATCTGCCGGTACACTGCTTGTATATGGCTGAGCGGACGGGAAGCCTAATTTTCAGTGTCCTATGGTCGTACGTGTTAATTTTGTACGTGTGCTAGTTCATAAACGTGATATCAGATCCCGTTAAGCCACTACGTACTAACAATCATGCCTTCCGTCACCAGCCACGGTTCCAAACACCGGATGTTGAGAAAGATGTAAAGATTCTGGCCTTCAATAGTAACAGGCGCCGCACAGATGCTTCTCTATGCTTGGATAAAGAGGATGGCGCTGACGGCGACAAGATCAAGAATCATAATTCCAAGTTGCATTCAGCGCTTCTGGACCTCTGGAATCACGCAGTCCAGCCAGCCTTGCAAGCACTAAAACTCCTAAGGCACGACCCCAAGCTGAAACCATTACCTCGCGTGAGGTGGGTTGTCAGTGGCATTGCATCATTGCTGCCGCTCCACGCTGCAGGATCACACACTCCCGGGTCAACTAACTGATAACACTATCAGTCATGTTGTCTCTTCGTGTTCTGCAAGTCTTATGGCGCTAGACTCGCTTTTTCGAAAACCTCAATTTGCGATACATGATGAGAAAGCAAATGTTGTTGTAGTGCCCATGCCAACAAGCCCTAGGCATAGGCCTTTGGGTTTTGCTTAAGAAGTGGAGGCAATTGTGACACATACTATGTTTTGGGCATCCACTGTCTGCTTTGAGCAGCCAACAAAGAAGCGAGTTTTGTATGCATTAACATCTTGCACAATTGCTCACTTTGCGTGCCACGGTATCGTAGATGAGAACAATCTATTGCAAAACGGGTTGATTATCGCACAAGAAGCAGACGAGAATTTGAGTGTTGCCGACGTCGAGAGTGTAACGTGTGAGCGTTCTAGAATTGCTTACCATACTAAAAAATGTTACTTCCGTAGATATCTCTGTAACGGTCTTTTTATGTTGCAATAAAGCATCAAAGTCGGCATTTTTTCTGGTTCACGGGACTCTGCGCCTGCTTGGTCTCAGTGGCTCCTGCTACACAACAACGTTTTCTTCCTCCCGCGTTAATCACCTCGCCTGCTGCTTCATGATTTGTCTCGTACGCTCTTCCGTTGTTATGAGATTAGGATACAGAAGGAAGGCAACCCCCTCTTTATTTACAAGTAGCTCGCGCTCCCGCAAAATCTTTCTAACACTCTTCTACTGCACGACTTGCTCACATTGGTACCTGAAGCCATCTAGTATCTACTACAGATTGCCTTCTTATTGACCGCTATCTTCATTATTCGCCTCCACTTCTGTCACTGCGCGCCCAACTTCCACCACACTTTCTCATCGGCCATGGACTCAACGACCACTGTGGACCTCAGCTAGTGCCGAATACTTCCAGGTATGACTTGCTCTTCCGAAGCGAAAGATGAAATCTAACCCAGAACTGTAGGCATCATGTCATCACTGGTCCTCGTCTCGATCCATACTCCTTCCCTCCTCGAAACGTCCCATACACAAGGGTAGACAGCATCTCCAAATACTCAACCTACGGCCTGTCTCCAGAATGGTGACAATGACTGTGGTTCGACTATCAGGATTGCGGTATGCCTTGTGTAAGGGATGTTCTGAGGCAAGGTAGGGACCCCCTGCTCAACCTCATTGAAGAAAATTGTCATCCTTCCGACAGGAGTCCCTCGACAAGAGGGATACCATTTATGAAGATATATGTGCATATAGAGAGGCACTGAAGGGCGGTCGGGTCTTTTCTAGTTTTTCCTCCGCGCTCTACTCAGTCTTTATGGCTGACAAAGAAAAACTGCAGGGCGACTCAATCTTTGGATTGTTGAGACAATGGTTTGGTGGTCATCACTGCTAGTACCATGGTTGAAGTGAGTGGTTGCTGGGCTGTGCAGTCCCAGAGTTGCGGTACCATTGAGGGGTTGAGGGGGGCCGCGTGCGAGCCTTGGTACACTCGTCCATGAGATGACTGAGGAGTCATATTTAGGTGTTGCGGCCATGGTTAGAAGTTGGGTCAGGTCCTCGCTGGTTGCTTGACTGGGTAATCTCCAAATTCGTCAGGTGCAGTGGGTGCATGGACCTTGCTAGCTTGCATACACTTGTCATAGCGAATTGATCCCGTGTTTGCATTCTCAATGCTGGATTAGATGACCGGAAGAGCCGAGTTTACTGTGGTTCGAGCTATGACTCCCCTTTAGACCATGGTACGTCGTTGTTGAGGTGAATCCCATCAATGAGCCGCACTTTGGCTAAGAGAAGAGCGGAGGTGCATGGTCTAGAGCCATGTGCTCATGTCGTTACTCATTCACACTACAACCCACGAACCGCAACGCGACATGTGTATCCTAGAACTAAGGGAGACTTGATTTTCTCTAATATCACTTGCTAGTCCTCAGACTCTTGTGCGAGCTGTTATAAGTTATTATTATTTATTGTTTTCTTCTGTCTATCGCAACTTATTGTGTATCCGTGGATGTGTATAGGTTTAGGTATGTGTAGGTTTGGACGAGTGTACATCACGGAACAGCGATTAAAAAGTGACAAGACACACGATTTTAGGCCGCCATTGCCCTATGTCTTCTAAGATTTTGGCGTCTTGAACAGCGACGATGTAGAGGAGGCTATGTGTTAGAGGCCTGTTATTGGCGATGTGGCGCTAGATGAATTATAGCTTAGCGTGGGAAGGACAGAAAACTGTCCACGGTAAGCGGGAGTAATACTTCCACAAACAGTACCATGACAGACGGCGACTCGGACGAGTGATCTAATCTTTAGTGTCCTATGGTCATATGTGTTGGTTTTGTATATTTGTTGTTTTATATACGTGTTGTTGGATTCCGCTCAGCCACTAGGTACTTTTCAACTATTATCCCCTTAGTCACCAGTAGACTAGTAAATAGGTATAGGTTAGGTTAGGGTTAGGTCTAATTTGTTAGACCCTAATCTAACCTATACTACAACTTAGATTTTTTACGCTATAAATAGGTTAGAGTTAAGTTAGAGGTAGTTAAAGTATAAGTTAGAGTTAAGTATAGTATACCTAGATATACCTATATATACCTACCTTCTCTACTAAAGTAAGGTAGAAATAAAAGCAAATCTCTATATAAAATATACTAACCCTAACTTAACTTCTAACCTAACTATATAGTTACGCTTAGACTACTTTAACTTAACCTTAACTTATTTATAGCGTAAAAAATCTAGGTTGTAGTATAGGTTAAGTTAGGGTCTTATAAATTAGACCTAACTCTAACCTACAGTCTGTGCGACCCTAACCTAACCTATACCTAAAGTTGGGTATACTATACCCATTTACCAGTCTAGTCACTAGCGTTGAGAAAAGCAAGTTCCGGTTGAGCATCAGAATGGCAGCACCGATATCGCTCAATCTTTTTGGCTCAACCGGACGTTATTATTCCTTCAAAAGGTCGATCCAGGAAAGACCGCACCTGGGGCGTGTTTGGTAAGCATCGTTCGGCCAACCTCTCATGATGTATGCCTCTAGGCACAACTAACAATCCTGCAGATCTGCAAGCGATGAATTCATTTTGAAAGACGTACCTCCGAACATATTCTCAGCATTTAACGAGAATGTTCGACCAGGACTTGCTCAAACATCCCGCATACGACTACCAGTGGACACCATCCCAGATCAGTGCATATTCGTGTATGAATACCTGAATGATGATTTTTCAAGTCTAGTTCGGCGTCAGATCCCAATGCGAGCTCGGAAGGAGATTCTCAAAGCTACTTTGCAGGGAATCGCAGATATGCATGACCGCGACATTGTCCATCTAGGTGAGCCCAATGATTCGGCTCTTCATACAGTCAATATAAACGACTGATCTTCTCTAGATGTTAAACCTGACAACGTTCTGGTTAATTGCCGTAACGTTGACCGAGACGTCGTGGTCGAACAGGTACAAATCTCCGATGTTGAGAATGCAGCCTACCTCCCAAAGCCTAGGTGTATCAAAAGTATGCTAGCTGGGAATGATGACTGGCGCTGCCCTGAAGGTCACTTCAAGGGAGAACTCAACAAACCTTCTGATTTATACTCATTTGGACTGGTCGTAAGTGCTTAACCTGAGCAAAATCTTTTCGTTACTAACATACCAAGTGCATCTACGCTGTTCTCGGGCGCGTTATACTAGGGCGTGATGATGACTTCAAACTACACGTGTCGAAAGGCGCACTACCTGCATTTATCCGCCTGCAGCGCCAAATCTCATTTTTTGGAGACAAAGAAGGGCTGAATAGACTCATGAAGCATGTTGGTGATGAGGAAGCGAACTGTGAGATTCTTGGAATGCTTTGGGAGGACCGAGCAGCAGATTATATCCCATATGTGCCGTTCTCAGAGTTGAAAGATGTTGACTCAACGTTCAAGGATTTGATCCAAGGATTGAATAATCTGGACCCCTCACGGCGGCTCACAGCTTGCGAGGCACTAGACCATCCCTGGTACGAAGGCGTCGAATCCGCTTAGTAGTCGTAGTAGCAGCAGCAGTAGTAGTAGTAGTAGTAGTAGTAGTAGTAGTAGTAGTAGTAGTAGTAGTAGTAGTAGTAGTAGTACAACGGTATCGATGGAGATGATGGCACACGATAACTTACTTGGAGTAGATACGCTGAAATCTTCGGTGCATAAATTGAAAAAAGCATCGAGTTCCTAGGTTATAGTACCGTGATTCCTTAGACTTCCGCGGTAAGAAGACGACGAAGACATAGCCACACGCTGCCCACCTTCTTGCCGATTTGTCTCTTCAAAGAAGAACGAGATATCATGCCTTTGGGTTGCTGTAATCCACAACAGCAGTCATAGCCTCCGGATTACTGTCCATGCTTCTCGCTACTGTAGATTTTAGCTCTGGCATCTGTAAAATATCGTCCTCACTTGGACCCAGTCCAAAGAAGCGAACACTCAGCCGAATCGTGTATTCGAGAGCGCCTCCATTAGTCTGAACGTGGCGTGTGAGGCTGAGCAATGCAGCGATAAGTTCCAGCATCATGGCCTTGCTTGGCTGCGACAAGGCTGAATGAACCGAAGCTTTCTACGATAGAAGCCTGGAGTTACTTGGTATATTCGCGAGCTTCGTTAGAGTAATACAGCAGTAAAGTAGTATACCAGCAGCAGTAGTAGGAGTAGTGGTGGTGGCGGTGATTTTGTAGTAGCGAGGCAGTGTAATAGTGGGGCAGTGTAGTAGCGGGGCAGTGCAGTAAGGCTGTGCTTCCCAAACCAAAAGCTCTCCTTTATCGACTGGGAATTTGATCTTGTCTTTTGGTAAATTCCTGCCACCTCTGACTTTTTTCTTTGCTTGCATGCGGTTCACGTGTGGTACGTGGTGTCCACACATTGCACCATGTCCGGGGCCTTCGAGACAGCGGCTGGTGCGTTTGCCGTTGTTGGAGTCGTCGACGTCGTGATACGAACTGGTCGCGAAATCTTTGCCTTCCTTTCTGAGGTGAAAGACGCACCAAGTAACATTGAAAAACTATTGAGCAGCATAAATGACACAGTACAATTATCTCAGGCTGCTAAGGCATGTCTCAGAAGTCTTGACACTCGTCACTCTTCGCTACCTAAGGCTGAAGCTGTACTGTCTCTCGAATCGGCTATCAAAGCTCTCAATCGTGAGTTGCAAAGTCTCAAGGGTATGACCGCAAAGTTCAGGGGAAGCAAGACATGGAGTCGAGTCAAATACGTTCTCAACAATGCCAAAGTAGACAAAGCGATCAGAAATCTGGAATCGAACAAACTACTTCTTGCTGGTGTTTTGACACTGGCATGCAGGTATGTCTGGAATACACGTTGCGAATCCACTACTACAGGGCATGGACTGTACTGACTCTGATTGCCATAGTGAACTGTCTGCATGTGGACAAGTGGAGACTGTTCAAAGTATAACCAGCCTCTCAACGACTTTGTGCACCAAACTGGACACTCGAACTCAGGAAATCAAGCAAAACCTCGATACACATCATCAAAGCATTCTCGCAATGCATACCAATCAGGAACAAAAGATCGTGTCAACGCTCAAAGCTCAACATAGCTCGCAGAGCAAGCAAAACGCGGACGCTAATCGGAAACTCTTGTCTAGGCTATCTTCCGCAAGCCTCGAAGTCATCGCTCGCCAAAAGGAGTTGAGACGTCTAGCTAAGCAAAATTCCCGCCATAATTTGACTGTTGACAAAAGAGTAGAACTCTCCACTCAGACTGCTACACGCCAACACGAAGATACCAAGGAGTCAATTTCTATACTTACGTCCGAGATTATGCAACTAAGAAAATCACTCGGAATTCGTGCTCCGCAGCCTATCCAGTATCATCGTAACATTCTCTTCTTTGGAGAGCATCGCGATATGATTATAGCGTATCTATTGCCTCTCCAGAGCGACCTAGACGTTGCAATTGAAAGTCTAATCGTTGACCACGGTCAAGAAATCTCAGTGGACCATGTGAATTGGCTTCAGATGGAGTTTCGGCGACTTATTGCTTCAGCAGCGCAAGAGAGCGCGACTCGCTTTCCAGAATCAACAGCGACACCAATCGATGAATGGCATTATCCCATGAAACTGAATAGCAGTAGCTCAAAGATGGGAGTCGAACAGCAACTCAAACGGCCCCACTCAGGCCATCAGGATGAGAGCCTCGACACCAAACGGAGGGCTGTCATGCCACGCTCACATATAAGTTCATCGAATCAGATGTGGTCAACGAACACACCTTCCGGAGATATCCATATCTCGATACCACCTGCACGATCCGATGGGGCCCATGATCAGACCGGGACGGAAGTTGGTCTGTCCTGTATGATCACTCAAAATCGCTCGACATTTGCTGTAAACGCACGATTCCGCCGCGTTTCAGATGGGACATCTCAGCCAAATGTCCAAACACAACTCAGCGTGTTCAACAAGGTTGAAGGTTTGGACGATGTATATTGGCAACTTTTTCACCATGGAACCATTGCCGAGATTGACTTTGCTTACCGTAATGGGACAATCTCGCCTTTCCACGTGGACAATCAAGGCTTCAACTACTATTTCAATGTATGTGATCCCATTATCTTCCCTGTAGCGATCATCAAACTCGAGGCATCATGCTAACCTTTTGGATGCTAGACTGCTGTAAGACAGGTCCGGGTCGATGCACTTGTCTATCTCTATACTCATGGCATTCGTACGAGCCAAATCATTCATGCTCTTGACCCCAACAAGGAGAAAAGTTTCTTGAACAATTTTCTGCTCTTTTCAGAACACCAAGTCACACACAATCCAAAGATGCGAGAACTGATAGAACACATCAGTGAAGAAGTAACATTTTCTGCTACCACGTTTGCCGACACTGCCCTCACACTATCTATCCAAGCATATGCTCGAAGAGACTGGGGTAGAGCATGGCCACTGTTCGTCATCTGTATTGAGATGCTACAAAAGCAGAGACCTGATCTGCTAATTGGATTATCGGCTGGATGGCTCAATGGCGAACATACGATGCACAACCGGATTTGGGAGTACGTGCCACCGAAACAACTACTCTCGCTGTTATTCAATGCTGGGGCGGATAACGAGAGAACATATGCTGGAGAACGAAATGCCATAGAGTATTTCATGTTTCTTCGATTCGGTCGGACGGTTCAAACAAACCCGAATTCCCATTTCCGGACGGATGCAGACTTCCTTAGTGCCTTGATCGCGTTCAACGTATCATGCACTGGGGCTTTCGTAGAGGCTCGACTTAGCAATTGTTGGGATGAATGGTGTGAGGCACTTAGACCTCATGGAAATGATATCGCAGATGCCGTCGATGAAGGATATGCTATTTCGTTTCTTGAGGCACACGAGAACAGATCGGAGGTTAATGTTGGTGGAATTATCAAGAGGAAAAGTAAGAGAACAGGGTACTACTATACTGATGATGAGGACGATGATGAGGACGATGATTGGGATGACGACGATGGAGATGACGATGGCACGGATACTGTTAACAGCAGCGATACGAACTGACTAGTCTAATAACCTGTATCGCTTAACACTCTTCCCTTAAGATAGTTCAATAGCTTTGAAGAACAACAGTCACAAAGACTATGATTGGGATAGTTCCGGAAAAACAATCATGTTGTGCGTGGTAAGAAAGGGCAAGGAATGCTGAAAGACAAGACAGCTTTGACACTCGCAATCACCGTCTGTTGAATTGGTTCCAAAGGAACTTACTACACGCACACACACATGTAGTCATCAAATAAGACACAGCTTTACGACAATAAGACCGCTACACACGGCAACACATTCCACAATTGCTTACCCCACATGCATCCGAATGCGATAACGATAATGCAAGTGCCCAATGTCCTAATGCTTATGCCACGCCCAACGTCGGATCCGACTAAAAGACGGAATGTGAAACCGATAAGCGAAAGCCGGTCGATCCCAATGTCCAGATGGCGTGACTCGCGCATCATCAGCACACGCACAACAAACGGGACGAAAAAAATGTCCAGAAGGCCCCACATCCGTCCCGTCAGAGAACTAAACTAGGACCTGAAACACATAACCCCACCTGGAACACCCAAGGACCAGGATACGCCTGTGTCGCGGTTCTGGAACAATACTCGGTGCCCCATTTACAGGTACAAGCTTGCGCAGTTGCAAATGTCCCTGTTTCAAACACTTGTCAGTTTACCCAAACTTCACACATAATGCACCCCCAGCACATAACAGACCCAAACAACGGGCCAACGCGTTCCAAACACCAGGGCTCAACCCGCCGGCGCGGATACGGGACATATGAGAGAGAAACTAAATGGGAAGAGCACATACCGTTTGATGAGTTCCTGACACGTCCCCATTTTTTGGAACAAAGTCGGGTCGCCGATAATCCGAGCCGCGTTCTTGACCTCCCGGCACGTCTCGTCTAGCCGGGTGATGACGCGGACAATAGTGCCTTCCATGACATCTGTCAGGTCGGTTATGCGATTGAATGACATACCCCTCGCCCACTCATACACGACTTCGACCATGCCGAAGCGGGGCTTGCTGACAAAGTCGTTCGAGTCATCTGCGGAGAGGATGACCTGATGCAGAGTTTGGATCTTGTTGACCTTCTCAGAAATCTCAACGATCTTGGCGACACCGCGTTCCAAATTTGCTGTTAGCGTAGGCTCTACGTCGGTCTTCTCTTGGAAGACAAAGGCCGAGAGTAGTGCGACAATTTCTTCCGGTTCGTACTCGGCGAGGACATTCTCCAAAACGAGTTCGGTAAGGACCAGCTCGTCGGCAGAGTGGATCTGAAAGCTGTCAGTGAATGGATAGGCCTGGTTGAGAGAGACAGGCATACCTCGCAGGCTACCTTGCCCTTCAGCTCCACGCGAGAACCTTCGTCAATAAAGCCGAGGTCCTTAAGTACGTGTATGCGCTGTTCATAGTCAGGGAGTAGCTGTAAATTCTGATCTGACATGAGCTGGCGGAGGGCAAGGATGTTCTCTTTGATAAGCCACTGATCATGCTCTTGAGCAAACTACGATGGTTAGCTTGAGTTGGGGACACAGCCAGCCACGAACACGTACGTGTTTCAAGAAGTTTGGACACTTCAAGCATTTTTTGCTAACCGCATTCTGACCCTCCTTCATGCGGGCTTCCGCCAGTTCGCGGAACTTGAGGCTCTTGATCTTGCTGTAGTCGTATTCATCCCAGTCTTCATAGTCCCAAGATCCACACAAGGGCAAGAACTGATCTTGGGCCAACTTCAAGGTATCTGGCATATCTGTTAGCGCCGGATTCAAACCGTAGCGCACCCACTTACCCTTGGATACCTTCCGACCCAGGTTCTGAATGGATTCGGGCACATCGATGATGGTCTTGGTAAAGCATTCGATATCGTTCAGGGGCACGTAGGCTGCCTTGAGGATCAGATCCTTGGGGTTGTTCGGTAACTTGCGGAACCACTTTGCAAAAGGACCGACATATGGCAAGAGGTCGTCAGGCTTGCGATCTTGATGCTGCGCCACCTCTAAGACTTTGACCGTAGGCTCGTTGCCTTTGCTAGTACCATCTTGCATTAGCATACCGGCGGTGCGTTTATTGTCCTAGCCAAGTTAGCAACAAGTCACTCTTCGGGCGGTATTTAGCGGCGTACCTTCTTATAGACAATCAATCTGTTCTTCGCCAAAGCCCGTCGTCCAATAGGGTTGATGAGTAGACTCAGGTGCATCTCGTTGGTGAGTCTCTTGTAGTCTTCACAAGACTGATGGCAGGCCTCTAGGTCGATATCGCAGGTATCACAAGGCTCACGCTTGATCTTCTCCAGCTCAGCTTCCGAGACTTTGACCTTGCCTTGATGTTCAGGTAGCAGCGCTTGGGTGGCATTCTCGCTGAAACTTCGCTTGATCATCTCTTCGATCTTCAAAGCCTCTACACGTAAGAGGTTGAGCATCATGTTATACGTCAGACGAAACTGTGATCTGAGCTTAGTAGGCTCACCCAACATCATCTGACGGAGTCTGGCTGCCGGTGGTGCCTCGTCGGCTCCAGGCGCACATATGATTACAGTGCCGACTGTGTCGAGTCCTCTTCGTCCTGCACGACCAGCCATCTGAGTGTATTCGCCAGGGAGCAAGTCGCGGAACTCTCGTCCGTCGTGTTTGCGGAAACCAGAGAACACTACGGTCCTAGTGGGTAAATTGAGACCCATCGCGAAAGTCTCCGTGGCAAAGAGAACCTTGACAAGTGTCTTGGCAAATAGAATCTCTACAACCTCTTTGACGATGGGTAACATTCCACCGTGATGGACAGCAATGCCTCGGCTGAGCAACTCTCTTAGGCGCTTGATCTGAGGAAGGTCACGGTCTTCCTTGCTCAGTCTAGCCAGCGACTTCTCGATGGTCATGTGTATCGCGCTCTTCTCAGCAGCGTTGCAATAGTCGATGTTTGACAGCGCCTCTGCATTCTCCTCGCAGCGCTTCTTGGAGAAGACGAATATACAAGCCGGCAACAGGTCTTTGTTTCGAAGATGCTGTATGAGGTGGACCCAGATGTTCCGATCTTGCGCGGCTGTTGTTCGACCTCCACCACGACCGGTCCTGGCGATGTTGCCACGACCCCTCGCAGCCGGAGGTCCTCCGCCTCGAGGCGCGCCACGCCCGCCACCTTGTTGACCTCTTCCACGTTGGTTCTGGCCCCCCCGGGCGGGCGGTCCTCCGCGACCACCACTGCCTCTACCAGCTTGGTTTGCATTCGCAGGAGCTTCTTTGATCTTGTCTTTCCCAGACAAGACATCGTTTGCAGCTTTCCAGCCGTTGTCGATGAATTTCTTGTCTGCTGTAACGATCTTGTGGATGTCTTTTCCAGCCCAAAGATAATGTTCGAGAGGAATGGGACGCTTTGGGGTGGAGATGACGTAGATGTCCTTCTTCTTTGTGCGACCAACCCATGACGCGAACTCGTACGTGTTGGGGACAGTTGCGGATAGCAGAATGAGAGTCACATGCTCTGGCAACATGATGATGACCTCCTCCCAGACAACACCACGCTCCAGATCATTGACGTAGTGTACTTCGTCGAATATGACAAACTCTACATCTCGGATAAGATCCGCTCCCCGATACAACATACTTCGGAGGATCTCGGTGGTCATGATGAGACAGCTAGCTTCGGGCCTAATCTGCACATCTCCAGTAAGAATGCCGACGTCATCGAATGTTTGGCGGAAATCGCGGAACTTTTGGTTACTTAAAGCTTTGATAGGAGATGTGTAAATGGCTTTGGTCATGTGCTTGGCAGCGAGTGCGATCGCGTACTCTGCAACCACTGTCTTGCCAGCGGAAGTATGTGCGGCTACGAACACTGAATCGCCGTTCTCAAGATGGTAGACCGCTTCTTTCTGGAAAGTATCGAGCTCGAAGGGCCACTCGCGCGCCATATCCGGCACAAGTTCCTTGAAGTTGGTGATGTCGCGATCGATGTCAACCATATGAGCCCACTCTCTTCCGCCTTTCCTTCCAGAGCTCATAGCAAGCGGGCCGTGAGGAGCCAACGCAGGGAACTCTACTGGTAGCAAGGCGTCAATCTCGTCGTCTCCAGGCTGGTCTTCGTCAGGTTCTTGGCCGTTCGCGCCGGCCTTCTCGGTAGTCTCTTCGTCATCGGCATCCACATCCCTAGGGGCTGCACCCGCCTCTGCTAAGGTGTCTTCGACCTCTTGCGCAGCTTTGGCATCTGTGGTTGGCTTTTTCTGGAAGTCGAGCCCGCGAGTGAACCCAGGCGGTACCTCCAACAGGCCCCCTTCAGCACTGAAGTTGATGACCCTGTCAAGGCCACCAACCCGTCTCCCATTCACATCCTCCTGCTGTTGAATTGCCTCATCTTCGATCGCAGCTACCGCTTCCACTCCATCAAGACCGCCAGGCGCGAAAGGAAAGAAGCCGGCTGCTCCGCGCACGAATTCAGCTCTGTTAGCAGGCTTCCTGAGAAGAGACGTCGAGTTCTTGGCTGTTGCCGAGTTTGCTGGAACTGTGACTTCTTTGTATCCCGTGACGCGGCCCTCTAGCCCCTCGCGCGTGAAGCGGATGATGGTTCGGGTTTGGGTTGGGGCGATCTGGAACAGGCTGCGATAATTGGTGGGTGCATCCCAGCGCTGCTGAAGCTGGTTCAACCACTGCGTGTCGAAAGACTTGGAGGGTGTCAGGAATTCTTGCTCTAGTTCCTTTTTGATGACATCTTTGGTTTTGCGTTGTCGTTTCGGTGGCCGTTGTTCGCCAGCTATGGAGTCTATCCCATCTTCGCCGAGGCTACTGCTGTGCAGCCGCAGCTTCTCCAACTCTCCAGACAGAGCTTCCATATTCGCGGGTTGAGTACGAATCTGGTAGATTGCTATGCCTGTCCAGGTGCGGGATTGTGGCGCGCCGAGTGAGAAAATGGATGACGTTGTTTGTTTGAGACGCCAAGCCGCATCGGGAGGACCCACTTCCCCCGCTATACACGGGGTGACAGCATTCGGTGCTTATGTCGTGTGC